AAAAAATGAAACGTTCATTGCACAAAATGTGCTGCTTTATTTCTGACCTGTTTTCAACTGCACTGCTGTCTATGGCGTATGGCTGTTTTATATATTTAAACACTTCAAAACCCTCTTGTCAGGCAGTTTTATTTTGGCCATTACCCCTCACTGTTGCTTCACTTCTTCTTCAATTACTAAGCAAGCAAACCAGCCAGAGCATCCTCTGCAACTAATGCATCTGTGACTTGACTGTTGAAACATTTTTACTGTGTGGCAAGAGACCCATTTTATTTTGCAAGCAGGGAACAAATACTTACCAACTCAGTTGAAGGCTGACTGAATTTTTTTTGACATCAGGTGCTCTAACCCTTTGCAGACTTAAACGATCTTGATAACTCAGATTTTAAATTTGAAATCTTATCTAGTTTGTCTTGAAACCCATTGCTGGGTTTGATCTGTTAAAATGCCAGCCCGATACATCTAAACCATGCATCTGAACACATCTTGGAGATTTAAAAGTATTGGGACTGACAACTTAATTTGTTTAAATTTCTCTGTTTAAATAATGGTACTTAAGCCAGTCAGTATAGTGGGAATATGCCCTACATATTTGGCCCCAAAACACTTACAGATCCGGTCAATGCAGTAACAGAATAAGCTTTAAAATGTATTTGTGATCTTCAGTTGATAAGTGAACAGCTGACCTTCTGTTGAACTGCTTTTAAAATATGAGAGAATCAAGATGGAAATCATTCATTGTGACATTGGTCCATTACTGTGCAAGACTCTGTCACTAACTGAATTATTTATGATTTATATTTGATTTATTTATGAAATATAGCTTAATATAACAATGATCATCGGTTCACTAAAAAATGGCACATACCTCCTGCATATGCAAATTATACAGTCTACAGCATCTTCATTTTGTCATCTTGTCATATGCAGCCCTTGTGTATATCTATGTACATCAAACCAGATTTTTTTTCCTTACAAATATAGTTTTGTGTAATTGTAAAAGATTTAAATCTAAGATTTTCTTTTGTCGTTTAGCGTCTAAAATACATGATTTTAAATGGAGTGCCAAAATGTTTGTATTTGGATTGAATAGGATCCTCACTTTCAGAATTATCATGTTTTTTATGTAGTTATTTTTGCTGCTCTTTATTAAAATGTAAGTAATTTGTATCATTCATGATTATGAAATACCTCCCTTTTCAATACATTCTGCTACGGGTTAAAACATTCAACAAAGTTCATCTGTATGAAACGAGTCATCAATGCTACACTGCACTGAGTAAAATGTAAGGACCACTACCTATTGATCTCTACTTTTTAGGACAGTAATTTAACTCCTACGAATGCTAGTAATCTGTATAAACTGAAAACAGATACCAACATTCATTCTTTTTATAATTTACAATGTGTTCTTTAGCAACATGGAGTGAATTTATTTTCTACATTGGATTTATTTACTTATTTCCAGAGTGAATAGTGAAGTATTTGTTTGTGCGGAGGATTTTTTGCAGGAGACAGCTAACACTGTATAATTCAGGACAAATATTTTCTTTCATTCATTATGTCTTCAGTACAACTTGCCTTGACATGAATAATATCTTGGAAACTTACACAAATGAGGCATGTATTTAATGTTAAGAAATTAATCACAATGTGAACTTATAATTTGTGTAATTTTATTTCATGCAGTGGTTATATTGCACATGGTTTAATCAGGACTGAAGGATATAAAATATTTTAATGTATATGTATTTTAGCATGCAAAACTGTGCATAAAATGTAATAATAAGATCTGTTATTACTTAATGTATTTTGTTTCTCCGTGCACATAATTGTACAGGTCTGGGGCACTTTGGAGAACCGAAGCCTGGGTTTATGAGGATCAATGATTTCCTTTGTTACCAGAATAAGTTTCTTAAAGATGCTGCTATAGATTCTGGAAGATCCATGTGTATTTTTGATTATCTGTTCAAGCCAAAGTAGCAATAAAGATTTATACTGCATACAACATGTGGATAAGATACTTTCTTCAAACATGGACGTGTCAATTAGAACTGATTCATATACATTTTCCCTTGTTGCCACCTGATATTAAACCCAGTTGACGACTTTTGTCCCTAAGCAAAATTGCTCCATTTTCCTCCTTGTACAAGTTTCATGGGGCAAATTAGAGGCCAAGTGCGTTGTTGCAAGACCTTGCATTGCAACACTTTAGACAGGGACGATGTACAACAATGAGAATTGCTGCCATTTTGTTCCTTACACCATTGGCAGCTACAATCTGGAACTCACTGAGCGCAACCCGCCCTGCATGTCATCCCTCATTCTTACACATCTCCAGGCCTTTGTGTTTTACACCCAGGAATTAATTCATTTAAAAATACAGTGGAGTACAGCATTTTCTGTTTATATACCGTATGTAAAATGTTCAGATGCATATTAAATTGTAAAGTAGCTTATTAGAACCGTAGAGCAGCCACTATTCTGAGTGTTTTTGAGATATACAAGGTTAATTTTACTCAAACTGCCCAGTGTAAAACCTGGATGGCCAATTTAAATATTTCATTTTTGGGCAGTTTTGTGTGACAAGTGATTGATTTATACATAGATCAAATGGATTATGATATTCAGATACCTTTTTTCCCATAGAAATTGCAAAATTTATAGTATATTCTGCACACCGACTGATGAAATGTGCACTGCTCCTGGTTTGTTGCTTTTCATATGGAAAATTCGATTGGGGTACTATAAAAATCAGTTACTTGCTGATTTTTATTTATAGTTTACATATTAATTAACATACCATCAATAATAATAATAATCCTTGCATTGATATGGCGCCTTATCACATCTTCTAGACGTCTCAAAGCGCTTTACAGAATATACTGACTATATTTTGTGGACGAATCACGGGAGCCAATGCGCACAAGAACAAATTGGAAGTAAACCTGTGCCTCTTTATACCTTCCAGTAGCTTGGTCAAGAGCACGTCTTACTGAGGTCTGGAACATGCCACTGGATCTTCTCCCTTGCTAACTCTTCCCCCACCCAAAAAATTATAGTAATCGAAGAGGAGGAAGGAGAGCTAAGATTCCATATTTTTTTGATAACCATTGCATTTTAGTATTTTATTTTTAAAAAATACTGTCTTTTGGAGGGGATTCAAGCTAATTCTGACGTCCCCGTTATTGGTTGAACTAAATTTAACACACTTACCAATGGTCAAAGTTGGTACCCACTATGTTTAGCATTTACCCACTGAGCTCTATTGTATTTTGTACTTATTACAATTTTTCAACCTGAGTATGGAGCAAATTGTTCTAAGTGCCTGTTTGAGTGTTTTTGTGTAGGCGTGCCTTGCGGTAGCAAAGTACCGCCAGTACTACACTAACGCAATAAAATACAGAAATCAGTATTCCAAAGAATACTACTGCACCGTCCGTCCCAGATACATCGCAGTTCATCCAGCTGAGGCCATGCCTTGCATATATACGTTCTCTGGTCTTACAGAGATCTGTACTGTTAATTTGAAGGACAAAATACAAGTAAAGTCCAACTGATACTCCATAACCCACAGATGCTAACACATTGAATAGGAATTCAAAAATCAACCACTTTAAAGATCTAATCCTTAAAAGTCGGGCTCCTCTAATCATGACACCAGTGGTGATTACAAACATGCCTATGGACACTGCAATGCCACCGTATAGTACGGGTGCTCGGAGAAATGCAAACTGTTGGTCAAGTTTCTGTATTTCCTTCAGTTCCTCCCCTTCAATCGGAGAAAAGTCGCTGTTGATGCTGAAAAAGCTAGTTGCCAGGCCCGAGTTACTGCTGTATCCTGAGATTACAACGTATGATGCCACCACACACACCAACACCAGGAGATTCAATAAAACCTCCACCAACTGAATTATGCCTGCAAGACAGGAATAGTGGGTAAGTGATGGTTTAGGAATTTTGTACTATACTCTTCATTCACCCTGTCATTTTCAATTACCTAATGTCTTCATAGCACAACTTGTATTTGATCTTTTTGATTTACCATTTATCCCAGTAGCATTTATGAGAATAAACATTTAATCCTAAATTTAAAAGCCAGCATTAACTGATATTCAGATGCAGTTATCTACATTACCATTTCTTTGTGAGTTACTAAATGCTTTATTGGAGGAGTGAAAATGCGAATAGAAACGAGGGGGGAATAGTTGGATCAAAACCTCTTTGAGTCAAGTTAACCTTTTGTCATAATTTCTGTCTAATTTTATCAGAAATCAACCAATGCAAGGATTGCATTCAAATGTGATATACCAAATATACTTCTCCATACATCCCCAATCCCATTACTATGCTGTGTTCTGATGAGTTCCAAAAGTGGCCCAGTTGTGTTAAGAGCACATTTATTAACACTGACTGAAGGAAATAAAATAACACTGTGGTTCTATTATGCTTGTAAACCTGAAGTAGCATTGATATAAAAAGTGTGCTGGTAAGTAAACACCCATAAAGCAAAGAAATTAGTATTTCTGTGTTGGTTGTAGGATTTTTCTTCACTTGTCATCGTCTGTCATTTTCAAATGAAGCTTAAGGGAACTGGTTCTCAACCTTGTTTTTAGGCAATAAAACTAGTACAAAGTGCTTGTGACACAGGTTGGTGCTCAAATACAGTGCATACTGAGTTGCAAAAGGTGAAGTGGCACACGGTTGCAGTGTATCTGTGAAATCAACAACAACTTGGATTTATATAAGACTCTTCATGTAGAATAACATTTCAGAGCACTTTACAATGAGGGGGTTGGACTCTGAGCAGAGGAGGTGTGTGTGTGTGTACGTGGGGTAGGTTGGGAGGATGCGGGAGAAGCTGGGAAAAGGAGCCAAATGCCAAATTCTATATCAAACGCAGGCATTATAAATATTATTATTTAGAGGAGGGAGAAATTGAATGAGTGATCATACTTTGGAATTGTTTATTGAAAAAGGCATGTTTTTATTCTGTAAGCAGTTGCTACATTTTTACTCTAATTGATGATTGATAATACTGATTTGGGGAGGAAAAATTACAAATTGGACATTGTATCTTTTAATGTAATTGAAACTTTATACAATGTTAAAAGTTTCCAAACTGAAACAATCAACAGGTTACATTTCTTTCAGAACTATAGCACCGTACAATTTACGGGACACAAAGAGAACACCAATTGTCAATAGAAAAATTTAAACATACAAAGATGTTGATTATACACCCAGAAAATAATTGTTAAGTTATTTTCCCAGTTGCATTCAATGGAATAAATAGAACAATGCAGTGTTTTGGATCTTGACTCGTGAACTTTGCATTTGCTGTTTAGAATTTTGATGGATGATGTTATGGTTGAGTAATTGGTACACTTTCACTGAGTGTTTCTTTTAGATAAACTGGTTTTGACATAAATGCTTAACATTTTACACACTGTCCCAAAGTGACACATGAGCGCATTTATATTGTTAAAATGATTCCTTACTTAAAATAGGACTTGTTACCTAAAACTTGACTGAAAGACTGCTGCGTATTCTTCAAAAACTGTAATAGGTTTACCAAAACATGATCTTTAAATTATCTACACACCATAATTTTCCTTATTTTCCCCCTTTAGCTTTTTAACTGTCCTAAATGCTAAAATATCCGCAAATGCATTGAGTTCATATACTATAACTGCTAGGGCAGCACACAAACCAGCAGCAATGTCAGCACCATGCAGACTACAGTTAAATCCATCGTATCCTTTGCTTTTGTACATGCTCATCCTTTCCTTGCACACTGCTGAATTGTAGCCTTCTATTAGGTGTTGGAAATAAAAATACAGCGCAGGTATGTAGGCAAAACCTATCACGATGTCCAGTCCACATTCAATAATCAGTAAGATTGGAAATCGCCAAGGTATCCGTGCCACACCTAGAACCAATAGAAGGCACGCAAAAGTCATCAGGGCTCCACTGTATGCCATTGTGGCCGTGACTGTCGGCAACTTCAGCCGGTAAAATTCAGCATCCAGTTGGTTTACTTTTTCAGCCTCTGCTCCTTGAAATCCACTATACGCTGATCCAAAAGAGTAGTAGTAAAGGCTTCCCAGACTGGACAGGTCCGTGTAGCCCCCAGTGCCAGCGTAGGAGATTGCCCCACACACCAGAATTAAGAGATTCAGCAGCACCTCCACCAACTGACAAAGACCTGCAACAACCAAAACACAACCAACCATTGACACCTGAATATTCAAATATGTTAATGGCATTCACTCAGCCATTCATCGCATAGTAGCAGAGTGGAGATCAGGAAAGTGAGTGAGATGTGGGGAGAAATCAAGCCAGTGACTTCGTTGCTATGATTGCATCACCATGCTGTCGCACTGTTCCTGATCTTTGGCAGTTTAAGAATAACTAGTGAAAGGAATCATACTGGAACATGAAGTCATATGACTTGCACCAACCTGTTAAACCAGAAATGCTACATTCTGTCCACTCCTCTTGCTTTGCTCTGACTAAACTCAGGATAGTTTCTATGGACTGCTGGCAAACAAATCAATTTCACTAATCCCAATGCACATTATCCATAGCTTTGCATACCCCGCGCTTGATATTTCCAATCCTAAACAATAAGGAACTACATTTATACTATACTGCTGATGTGAAAAGCTGACTTTCCCGTCTAAACGTACAATACAACATTTTTTGTGCTGTTTGACATGATGCTTACATCTTAAACATTACCTGGTATTATCAATGTAACTCATCACAAGCTGCGATTTGCAGTATGTGAAAAATGCAGTGCCAACACCTTGTTTGTCACGGAGCAGAACTCAAAATCGATGAGTGAAATAAGTGTCCTGTAGCTCAGTGGTTAGAGCACTCGCCTTGCAAGCGAGACACCTGGGTTCAATTCCAGGCAGGGTGAAAACTTGGGCAAGTTTCCTTACTCCACACAGAGCCTAATAATAATCCCTCCAAAACAAAACAATAATAAATTGGTCATTTTCAATCCACGACTGTTTGTGGGACACCGCTGTGCGCAATTGGCTGCTGCATTTCGCCCACAAATATGCGGTCAATTCACTCTACAGTATATTCTGTGAAGTGCTTTGAGATTTCTAGAAGACATGAAAAGCGCTATATCAAATGCAAGGATGATGGTGAAGTGATTCATTGTTAACTCTGAGATTGTTCTGACTGTGTGGAGTTCCTGTCATTTAAGTGGTATGCCCTGCATATTGATCGGTGTAGTGCGTTAATAATTGGCAGTCCGCCTGCCCCCAGGAGCCATTAAACAAAAACAAACTTTTTTAAGAAACAATTTTCCATCTTTCGGAAGACTTTAAGGCACAGAATCTTGCTGAGACACAGCTTTATAGATATAGCACTTGAATCCAATTGATAGTGGCTCAAGTTGAAATCAATGAGTGTTGGCTCATTGTGGAGGGGGCAACATCGTCCTGTCTGATTACATTCTCATTCCAATGTTCACTCTGCATAGCAATCATGACCAAAAATCCTGTCTAATTAGTTTCTTCCCCTCTCCCCTTGTTCCTTCCTCAGGCTAATTGTAGTGCCTAACTGTTGCCCCAGCCCAGCAAACTGCACAGAGCAGGAATTGAACACGAGGGCTTTTCTGATTCTCTATGATCACTTTTACTCAACAGGCTATTTAGGGAGCCTTCTCTGTTCAAACGAAAAGCTGCCAATTGCACAACTGTTTTCATCTTACTACATGCAGCAAACTTACGAATGATTGTCTTCCTTTACCCAGTCTACAGTTTTAGTCTGCTCCTTTTGTAACCATTTGACAGAGCGCTCGTGACAGGCAAGTGGAACTGAAGCAGAGATTATGTTTTCTTGTTGCTTTCACTCTTATTTTGCATCCCAATGCCAAAACTGCTCTGCAGCACAGGAGGCAAGAGATTTCAGGAGCTTCAGCTACCTTCCAAATAAGAGTAAGGGACAGAAAAACCAGCCAGACAAGTCCTATATGAATCTACAAACTTTTGCTGACCCGAACATAAATCTGATGCTGCCATCTTACCTCGACTTGTGCAAAGGTATCGACATTTGAAGAAATTCAAGATCCCTTCTGAATAGTCAGGCTCAAAGTAGTGCATTTCAGATGGTGTCGTGTGGTCTTCAGCCTCTATGTATTCCACTGGTACAGTTGCAATAGATCTATAAAAGAGTGGCTACACAATTAGAATGTATATTCCATGCAAACATTTTTGGAAAACATTTTAGCCCCCATTCCAGTTCAGGAGAGGTTGTCAGATATTGACTTAATGCAAAANGGGTTCCTGATGATTCGATGGTAAATGTTGATTGAAAACTATACCATTCTGTTCTGTTTGACCGTCTGCTGCCTTTACCCATTGGAATGCCAATTAAAATAAAAACGTTTTGAATGGAATCTTACCTGCAAAATTAATTCTATGTTCAAAAATCTCCAATTAAATGGATTTAAGTACTGTAAAAGAGTTTGATTCCCGGCAGGGTGAAACCTTGGGCAAGTTTCCTTACTCCACACGCCTGATAATATAATGATCCCTCAAAAAAAATAATAAATCGGTCATTTCAATCCACGACTGCTTGTGGGACACTGCTATGCGCAATTGGCTGCCGCATTTTGCCCACAAATATACAGTCAATTCACTTCACAGTCTATTCTGTGAAGCGCTTTGGGAAGTCCTCCCGACGTGAAAAACGCTATATCAAATGCAAGGATTATTATTAACGTTCCATAATAACTGGTTTATGGACGAGATAATTTGACATTTGAATAGACGGCTGATAATTTTATGTGGTCTTACCTGTCATTTCTATGAGAAACATGATCATCTGGGAAAGGAACTCTTTTTTCATTTTTGTAATGCTGATGATTATCATCTGCTGAACGACTGTAAGTTTGAGAATGATGCTCTCTCTCTGGTTTGTTGTAGTGATCATCCCTTCTATGGTGTTCCCGCTCACGATGTTCCCTCTCACGATAATCCCTCTCACTCCTATGTCGGTCTTCCCTTGGATGAGCGTTTCTATCATCATGTCTTTTCTCTCGCTCTCTCCTCTTCTCGCGGTCTCTATTATGTTTTGGTTTAGAATGATCCCCATCTTGAGTGCTTCTGCTGTCATGATCCGGATACTTTCTGTGTTCCCTACTGGGACGGGAACGATCATCACGATGACGGTGATCACGGTGCCGCTCTTTGGGATAATGATCTTTTTCATCTTTTACTGAATACTTATCACTGCTGTGTTCTGGGTGTCTTGTTGATTGAGCCATCTTCTATTGGAATTTCAACCAAAGAGGGACTTGGAGATGCAGAGGTTCCTTAAAAGAGACCCAAGTGTTAGAATACAAGCAGCAAGGATCACAGTTGGAATTGACTTCATGTAAATATTTTTAATGATTTACAAGGCTTTGATATTATGATTGTAGAGATGAGGCCAATGGTTGACCTCAGTGCATGTTCCAGCCAATTTGAGAGAGATGTACCAGCACAGGAAATAGTTGTGATCTGTCCTCTCATGTGCAATTGACGACAGATAGGTCATTATCGGGAAAACTGTAGAATAACTGGGAATATTAGTCATTCGCAACTTAATAATATTTACATTTAGGAATGCTCGCAATTGCCTCTTCCACCCACCCCACAACACCCCCCCCCCCACCCCACATGATGGTTCAGAGTTTATCCAGCAAGGAGCTGAGAAGTACACACATAGAAGGTCTCAGGCCAGTCGTTAGATTCTAACTACAAATCCATTTGTTGTCATTTACTTTAGTCCAGGGAGAGATATATTTCTACGGTTCTATGTTTAACCCTATATTTGAATTTCTGTCCCTAAAAGGCTTAAGTTCAAAAAATCCATTGCTGTTCGGTGCATATATTATTTAGCATTGTTTGAAAGATTGAAGGCTTCCTGCTGTCTCTAGTGTTTTTCCTCGGATTAAGACCGTTGGAAAGTGATCGATTTACAATATTGAAATGAACATTAGTTGATTTACATACATCAACTAAGGTTTTCTTTTTTGGTGGTGGGGGGGAGGGAGGGAGGTGTTTGAACCAGGTTGAAAAGTGAGATACCTGTTCGTTCCAACTCAAGATTTCTACCAGGAGCAAAACAAAATGAACAGATACACAGGAAGCGATCAGTCAAGTGCTTTTGGGTGTTGTACTGAAATAGTAGTTAAAATTTACTATCATCCTCTTGAATAGGATATAACATTTATCCGATGATTTCGTGCAATCAATCAATCAATCTATGGCTGTCCTCCTAATCGAAACAACTTCTCAACAGTGGTCTACCTCACTTACTATCGTCTCCAACGACATGTTGATCGCACAGAATGATCAAACCCTTGGAAACCCGACACCTCAGCACCTGACCGAAACTTACTTTGGAGAAATCCAGCGCTCAGCCGAAACTCCTCAAACCCAGTGACTGCAAGAGAGACCACCCACTCCCCCTCCCACCCCCCACACACACATTTCCCTGACCCCCAGGACCCTGTTATTGTGGGTCCAGGGCAGGTGAGCAACACCTTACAACACTGGAACAGTACGGCTTTCTTTTAAGAAAAAAAACCTACCGCCCCCAAAAGAACAGAGGAGAAACACCCGAAACAAAGAAAAAAAAACATGTCCCAAACCACCTGCTATTAGTTTCTAAACTTCACCAGTGTTTTGGACAACTCTTGTGTGTGTGTGTGTATACCTGTATCTCTTTCCTAAAGTGGACACCTGGGATTGACTAGATTTTGCAGTACCTGTGAGAGTGGAGGCTGGGAGTTTTGTTCCTGATGTGTTTTTCTGATCCCCTTGTGTCTCCAGTGGCCGCTGTTTGGCTCCTGTCTGGCAGCTTAACCTTGTCCCCAGTCGCTCCTCCTCTCCAGAGCACATCACTGCGTCGTGGGTCAGGTCTAGTGGTTCATTCACACAACGCAACCAGCGAGCAGAGAGGCCAGCAAAAGGGAATGTTCTCTTTGAACCCAGCCTCCAAAGAAAAATCTAGGCGTAGAGACAGCAAACCACACCCACCCCCCTCCCAAAAAAAGGAGCAGCAATGGCAATTCATCTCATTGCTGTTTGGTGGGACTTTTGTTGGTGCAGGTTTCAAAGTGGTTCATTCTGCAACTCATGGCATCACTCCAGGTGGGTTGGTAAAAGTCTGTAAACTTCTGGTCTATGAGGCTTAGTGTGCAATAATAATAATAATAATCAGACTGCTTGCATTTGATGTAGCGCCCTATCGCGTCGTTGAGACGTCTCAAAGCGCTTCACAGAAATATACTGTCAAATGGATTGACTGTGTTGATTGATGGGTCGCTCTTGGATCCACTTAAGTGACCTTATATTGGGCTCTTCCTGGTGAACGGTGATGTGCAGAAAAGACCTCGGAACAATTATAAAGCGCAAACCTGTTTTACGTTCTCACGATTAACACGAGGGCGCAGGCGCATATTTTTTTTCTGTCTCAAAAGTGCTTCCCGAAGTTTCTGAAAAGTTGAGTGACTGTGTATTTTGCTGGTAAGCGTTGTAGGTACATTTCACCCAGCAATGTCCTACAAGCGGCCGTGATGCGAATGAGGATGGCGAGCCTCGTCACTGGGGAGAAACTCCCTTTTCCCTTTGAATGGGATCTTTGAGAACCACCTGAACAGGGAGACAGGACCTTGGTTTAACTTCTGATCCAAAGTCCGGGGGTTACTCCGACAGCACAACCGGCAAAGTGGGTGCAGGTGTTTAAACCTTTTCAAGCCAAGGTCTTGCCCCCATTCCTGTCCCTGCGACCTCCTCCATCTCTACCTGGCAGCTCCCTCCGCTCAGCAGGCTGCCCGGTACACACTCCCACCCACCCCGCCCCCCTCCACCCCAGCAGTGGTTGGGTTTACGACAAGTCCCCCCCCACACTCCCCCCTGGAATTCCATCCCAGACCGAGTCCCTTCGCCTCCTCGAAGGTCTCCTCGAAGGTCCGCTTGAAGACCTTGCTCTTTGACCGTGCCTTCACCCATCACCTCCATCTCCCCCCCCCCCCACCGGCCCACACTAGGGTTAGGTAAATGGGGGGAGTGGGGGTGGGAGGGGGTGTATGTGGTGGGGAGGGGGTGTATGGGGGGGGTGTAGGGGTGAGAGGGGGTGTATGTGGTGGGGAGGGGGTGTATGGGAGGCGTGTAGGGGGGAGTGGGGGTGCATGTGGGGGTATAGGGGGTGTGTGGGCGGAGGGGGCTGTGGGGGGGGAGGTGGTGTAGGGGGGAGTGGGGGTGTGTGGGCGGAGGGGGTGTAGGGGGGAGGGGGTGTAGAAGTGTGTGTGTGGGGGGGGCGGAGGGGTGTAGGGGAGTGAGGGTGTAGGGGGAGTGGGGTGTATGTGGTGGGGGGATGTGTAGGAGGCGGAGGGGGTGTGGGGGGGAGGGGAGTGGGGGTGTATGGGGGGAGGGGGGAGTGTGTGGGGGGAGGGGGTGGAGGGGAGTGGGGGTGTATGTGGTGGGGAGGGGGGTGTGGGGGTGGTGTAGGGTGTGGGGGGGTGTAGGGGGGGTGGGGGGGTGTAGGGTATGTAGGGGGGGTGGGGGGGGTGTAGGGGGGGTGGGAGGGGTGTAGGGTATGTAGGGGGGGTGTAGGGGTGGGGGGGTGGAGGTTGTGTGGGGGGGGTATGTAGGGGGGGTGTGGGGGGGTGGAGGTTGTGTGGGGGGGTATGTAGGGGGGTGTGGAGGTTGTGTGGGGGCGTATGTAGGGGGTGGTATGTAGGGGGGTGGGGGGTGGTGTAGGGGTGGGGGGTATGTAGGGGGGGTGGGGGGGGGTATGTAGGGGGGTGGGGGGGACACTAAGTGCTGTGGACCATTCCCGGTGGCAGTCGGAGCAGTGGCGGTTGTGCGGCTGTCGGTGGTTTGGGGCTCAGGGCTGTTGTTGTTTGTCTGTTACTAACGGAAACGTGTCGGAGAGAGAGGGCGGAGAGGAGGAGAGAGGGAGAGGGGGAGAGAGAGAGGGAGAGGGGGAGGAGTGGGGGGAGAGAGAGAGGGGGCGCAGAGGGGGAGAGGAGAGAGAGGGGGCGGAGAGGAGGAGAGAGGGGGAGGGGGGGGTTTAGCTGTCACCAACCCCTCGGCTTTAGGATCGCCATTAGTCAGAGCTGCGGTTGGAGATGTCTTTCCGATTTAGAAGAAAGGATAAGATGCCCTTTGTAAGTGAGACCACTGACTCTCTCTCTGTCTCTCTCTCTCTCTCTCTCTCCCTCTTTCTCTCTCTCCCTTTCTCTCCCTCTTTCTTTCTCTCTCTCCCTCTTTCTCTCTCTCTCTCTCCCTCCCTCTCGCCTTAGGCCCAGAGAGGGATTGAGTTGTCTTTTTTTTTCCCCCCAACGAGTTATAAGAGGGTTTCCAATCTCTCACTCTCTCTCTCTCTCTCTCACTCACTCACTCTCTCTCTCACTCACTCTCTCTCTCTCTCTCACTCACTCTCTCTCTCTCTCTCTCACGCACTCACACACTCACTCTCGCAACACTCAGGAAGTTTCCCGAAACAACAAGAGGGTGAAGATAAAAATAATAATAATAATAAGAAGAAGAAGTTTTGGGGCTGTTTGTGGGTATTTCTTGTAAAAAATGGCCTTTGAGTTGAGTTGAGGTTGTGTGAGTGTTAATTAATCTCCAGAGGTGGAGCTGCAGATCTCACCCTCTGGACTGACATCACTGATTATTATTATTATTACTGTGAATTATTATTATTATTATTACTGTGAATTATTATTATTATTATTACTGTGAATTGCTACTTGGAAATCCAACCAAATCAGTCTCGAGGAATGACTTGGGAGTGCGGTGTCAACTTGGTTGTCCTCTGCTGTAAAACATGGAGTTATAATAATAATAATAATAATAATAATAATAATAATAATCGCGTTTGATACAGCGCTTTTCACGTCGGGAGGAACGTCCCAAAGCGCTTCACAGAACACACTGTAAAGTGAATTTGACTGTATATATATTTGTGGGCGAACGCGGCGGCCGATTGCGCGCAGCAATGTCCCACAAACAGTCGTGGATTGAAAATGACCAATTTATTATTGTTTTTTTTTGGAGGGATTATTATTAGGCTCTGTGTGGAGTAAGGAAACTTGCCCAAGGTTTCACCCTCTGCCTGGAATTGAACTCGGGTCTCTCGCTTGCAAAGCGAGTGCTCTAACCACTGAGCTACAGGACTCCCACCAGCCTTGCAGTTGACTGCGAGCTTCGGGTCACACACCAAAGCAGAAACGTGGACATCGTCAAATTGAAATGTACCACCGTTTATCCGAAAGAATACAAAGAACAAATGTTTTGAATGAGCCCGGAGTCCTGTAGCTCAGCGGTCAGAGCACTCGCTCTGCATTATAGGGTTCATGACCGTAACAAACCAGGCGAATGGTTTGGTGAATCTTCAATATGAATTTTATTGCCAAAATCAATTATAGTGGAGTGGCAAACATAGCCCAAGTGTAACCACAAGTGGAAGTACAACTTGCAAAACTTTCATTCCCCAAAACATTTGCTTTGCTGGATACGTCAATTCACTTTACAGTGTGTTCTGTGAAGCGCTTTGGGACGTCGTCCCGACGTGAAAAGCGCTATATCAAATGCAAGGATTATTATTATTATTATTATTCATGCCTGGTCCAACCTGATTGTTTTTCCAAAAGCTGCAGAAGTGGATACTGTAAAGTAATAATAATAATAATCCTTGCATTTGATATAGCGCTTTTCACGTCTCATCCACCAACACTGAAATTTTCAGTGTTGGTGGATGAGATTAAGCTGATATGTTGGATTTTAATTTGTTTTACAAACTTCATTGTATGAAAGTCTGTGAAGAGGCATTTTGGAAATGTTAATTTAATGATTTAATGAAGTTGGGTATTCTGGAAGGGGGAATAAGATCCAACAACCTGAGGGATCTTCTTCATCCTAACGAAGCTTGTGTGTGATTTTTCTTTGAATACCTTCCCACCAATTAATTTTGACTAATAACATTTTCCATCATTTGTCCAGAAACATATAGCTCATGGCTTGGTCCCTGCTGCCACAATAGCTCCTAGACCTGCTGTTCCCCGCACCCCTCCCCCTCGCAGCCCCAATCCTTCTCCAGAAAGACCAAGGTATATTGTATGTCCATCTTCATGTCATTTTGTGCATGCTTGTTTACCTCGTTGTTAGAGCAATATTGATCTGATGTGCTCTGTCCATATCACAATCTCATCTCAGGTAAGTTAATTAATCATTTCGATGACTTCTAAAATCTATTATGCTTTGACGTGTTGTTTGATTTTGTAGTATTGCAAGCAAATGTGTGGACCACAATTTATCCTGCCTTGTTTTTGCCTGATGCTTACCAAGTTTAGTTACAAGGGATTTAAAAAAAGCAACACATTATTAACTAATTCAACAATGTGTTCCTTTGGCACTTTTCGTATCTGTACAAATGAAGCAACTTTTCACAAAACTATTTTACAGGTCTTTTTTTGGGGGGTCAGCTGGGATTCTAACACACATGGAAGCAGACGTGTTTAAGAGTAGCCAAATTGAGCAGAATTGTAAGCCTAAGGTGCCTCTTTGCCGACTAAGGATTAACCAGAGCACACTGTTACTGCAATGCAGATGTTGTACCAATTTGAAGAGTCTCGACTAATGGTTGAATTTAAAATGACTGCATTGTGCTCGCGTGGTTTCCACAATATTGTGAGAGAAGTTTGCTAAATCACAATGGTGGAAATGCACAGTGGGTCACGTTTGGAATCTGAGATTGACAGTCCAGGATATTATAACTGTTTGAGGGGGTGAAAAGCTACGCCTGAAACACAAACTGCTCATCAGAGGGTTAAGAGCCACATGTCAAACATCAACTGTCATTTGATTTCACCTGCTCTTCACCTCCAGCATTTGTTTTGTTTTATATTGTGTGTTGCCTCTGTTGTCCTCCCGACGTGAAAGGAGTGTAACTTGTTGTTGTTGCAAATAGCATTTATTTGCCGTTTTAGGTCGGCCCTTTCCGCAATCATATTAACGTCATGTTTGACTGGTCGTACAGTCGCTATTCCTCAACCCAATTTGGCGTGGCCGCGTCCGAGGTCAAACTCAGAAAGTGACAGCGCCCGTTCAGAACAGAGAAGCCTTGTGGAACCTTACGCCAGTGTGACTGAACTTGGATTAAGGTAATCGTACAGAAAACTCACAGCTCTGGCCTGTGGTTGTTGCAATTGCTTTTTTAATTTGACCTTTTGTGAAGTTTAATTTCTCCTCAAAAAAAATACACTTGTACTCTTGCATTTGTTGCATTTTTTTTTCCATTTGCCGTTATAGACACTAATTTAATTGTTCGTCACTGGTTTTTGTTTAATCCTAAAAGAGGTCCTGAAAAAAATGTAGTACCCTGCAATAAATAGTAAACCGTGTGCAAGTTCATGCAAATCGTTTCAATGAGTGATTTTCTTCATGGACAGGAATGAATGGCAAGGTACGGTTAAAGGCAGGCCCCAGTTCCCACTGCCTTCTGATTCTGATGAAGAATACGATGATGAAGAAGAAGACCAAGATTTGGAACAGCAATCATCTGATAAAGACCAACACTTTTACTACGTTCTAGAAAAAGATCAAGAAGCCCCCAAACAGGAACCTGTGTATGCTGTTCCTCATAAGGAGAAAAAGGTGAATTTCTGAATAGGATCTCAGCTGAGGCCACATTTTATATTTTTGAGATTAGAAAATAAATCTGCTACAATTGGGCATTATAAATCTGCTTTGAGCTCAGAAATGGAGTTATCCTACAAGGCCATACTTACAGCTATTTTGATTGCAGTAGAAATATAATGTTTCATACTTGAGAAAACCTACAATCTTGTTTTTAATAGTTACTTATTGCCACTCAGTTTTGTCTTTAGTTCTGCATAGTCCCCTACTACGTTAGGCCAGAATTAGGGAAAAGTGATCAATGGATACTACCTTGAATTTATTTTATTTAAAAGCATTATCCTTTGAGGGGGTGAAAAGCTACACCTGAAACACAAACCGCTCATCAGAGAGTTAAGAGCCACATGTCAAACATCAACTTATTTAAAAGCATTATCCTTTTGTAATTTTTGAAACTTTAGTAAAATCTGATTGAAGAACTAAAAATTTATGAACATGAAGTTTAATAGCCATTGGGTGGTGCTATACTCTCACATCCAGATGATTAAACTCTAAAATTTATCTTGAAATGAGTTAAAGAAATTGATTTTAAACTCTACTTGGTCATCTTTCTCTTGCCCCATTCTTTTCCCTTGTTATTTGCTTAATTTGTTCTCTAATCTACCACTCTAACTTATCAGTTCTAACCTTTTTTTCTTAAAAACATACTTAGCTGCTCTCTTCCTCCTGGCTTCCGTCTCTGAGGATGGAGAAGATGGGAACAAAGAAACTTGCAAACATTTTGTTTTCAGCCAACCAAAATATAAAGATTGGGATGTGAAATCTTGATACCTATTTGCAAGTTATTTCCTTAGTTGCTCCTGTAGCCTGGTTGTGTGAGGTCGAGATACCGTAACTTGTTTGTAGCAGATTGAGGGTTAATGGCTCAGTTCATCCTGATTAAATGTACAGATAATCCATTTAAACGACGACTTCTCAATCAGACGGTACAGCAATTAGTTGAGAAGGATTTTTATTAAAACAGTTGAGACTTAAGAAATGTAAAATATTTAACCTCTGTTTGTATTAAGGAGGAAATCCCAGTGTCTGTGAGCAGTGAAATGACTGAGATTTCTTCCTGTGATGTGGTATCTGCAATTCTGCTGGACGAACCAGAACATGGGCATGTTACAGGTGAATGACAATCATTTCTTATAATATGTATGATCATATTGTATATTGTATTGTAATTGTATGATCACTGAGATAAACAAATTGCAATATTCCAGTGCATTCTTATCTTAGTTAAGGAATGCAACAGAAGCTATTTGTGTAGCGTTTGGGATTTTCTGGTACAGTGAATGTTGGGGCCCCTACCCCATCCACACTACAAGCGAACCCGTATTATAACAAAGTGTGTTATAATGGGATTCTCCCATACCAAAAGAAATACCCTCACCACCTAAGATGTCATCGTCCCCTATTAACAATTGAACACAAAATTACAGTACAAATATAGTGCCCTTCTTGTTGAGTATACAGGAAACTAAAAGCCCTAAAAATGATATTCAAAAATCAACTTGACACTGCTCAATTATTTACTCGTTAACTTATATACATTAATATCGATGAGGCTATCTGTTAAGGAATAAACATTTATTTCATTCATTTGTGACCGGTGCTCTGGCTTGTGCTCGTTAACCGTATATTTTAGGATGCTATACTTCAACGCTGCTTGCAAATGGCTTTTACAGTGAAATGAATTTTAGTGAGTTGAGTTTAATAGCTCAAGGCAAATTGACCTTGAGAAGATTTTAATCCCATTGATTTTACCTCAAATATGCTTTATATTTCATTAGCTCATGTTTTATGTGCTCTTCTATTCTCTCTGGCTATGCAACCATAAAGCTGCCATTTGGAATCCTCTTAAGGATGATTTTGGTCCTCTTTGCAATCCACATGATTCCCTTTGTTAAGATGGTGATCGTGTAGCTCGGTCTTTAATTGAGAGAAACTGGAAATGTGTCTGAATAAAATTGTTCTCATGGATTGTTTCTTAGCATACACTTTTTTCTGTATTAAACACTTTTTCCTCTTACAGAAAAACCTCCAGTTCAAACTTGTAAGGTAAGAAAACAGCATCGTTCCAATACTTATTACTTTTACACTTATTTACAAAATGGGAGAGGGAAAGATGACTTGGGAAAAGAAATTCAAAACCTTTTTCATTCTTGAATTATAAACATTGGAACATCATTACAAAGTGGTATTTGGGGGTCTATAAAGTCCCAACCCATTGTATAATGAGGCCAGTTGTACTGTACAGAAAGCCTGCTAAAGTTATGTCAGTGACCGATTAAGGACACCCTTATAAGCAACCCAGTGTTATAAGTGGGTGCCTTGTAATGTGGTTCTACTATATTTCAGTTTAGAAATCTGGTCTTCAGAAGGTCATGAACAAGCAGAAATTGTAATGTACCTGTGTTCAGCATGTATAATAATAATAATAATCCTTGCATTTGATATAGTGCTTTTCACGTCTTCTCGATGTCTCAAAGCGCTTCACAGAAGAGACCGTAAAGTGAATTGACCGTATATTAGTTCCAATATGTTATTACTTTTGGTTCCAGGTGCAAAAAGAGAAAGTTGGAAAAGTACACTCTAGCCCAGAGAATAGCCCAATTACAGGTAATATTATTAGGAGATGCTTTTGTATCTTACAGTTATGTTTCTGCATAATTTCTTAAAAATTGCTAGACTAGGTACTGGTGTACTTCCCTTTCTTGTACCCTGAAAGGGTGTCAAAAGGAACCCATTCTCTGATTGAAATGGTCGATGCACAGATTATAATAGTCTCTTCATTTAATGGATGAATGGTTGAAAAAAAACAACTGCCACAGTGAAGTGTGATTAAACACTGGATCGATGATAATTTCTTCCCCCCACCCCCCCGCTTGCTCTGCTTGATGTGCACTAAAATATTTCTGTAAAATCACAGATGTAACATGCTATCTGCATTTTTTTAAAAACTCTACAGTTCAATTGCAATAGAAAAATTAATGGGAAAACAAGTGCTACTATTTACTGAAGGACATAATTGATGGCTGCCTGGCATATGTGTGTCTTGTGTACTCTGGCAAGAGAAGGTCCAATGTTGCATCTTAAAAACATATGTAATAATGAACAACAGTGAGTGGATTACTGTATTTGTTGATGAGACTTGAGTGTTTCTCTCCAGACGTGAACGACAATGCGAGCGTTGAAACTCCCAGAACATCATCTGCTTTGACCCAGAAAAAGATAAAAGCGAGGAAGAAGGTTAATACAGCGGAAAGTAAATCAGGTTGGGGAATAATTTCAATAAGTGTTTTGTTCATTACAGCGTAAACTCGGGAGCCTGCAATCTCTTGCTTACAGTAAATCTAAAAAATGTTAGTAAAAGCCTTTCCAGTATTGAATCAATGGAATATTTTTGTATCTTTTTGCTTTGGTGAATGATCTCTGGTGGGATGCGGTGATGAATAATGCTTTTAGATACAAAATACTCTGATCAATTTTTGATGGGCAAATTTCAGCCAAATTGATTCTAAATTTGTGTTTCTGTTTAATTATGTATACTTTTTCATAAATGATACCATTTCACTTTTTCACCTAAAGCTGGTGCTGTAAAGAATGGTTGAAATTTCAAATACATTTTGTGGCACTATTAATCTGATATTCAGCAAGTCAAATACCTTCTTGTTAATCTACTCTAATATGCAAACAACACACTTTCTTAAAATAAAATTCTATATGAAAGAAGAAACAAATGACAGGAGAGAAATCCAATTTCATTAGAAGTTCTTTCCATCTCCCTCTAATTCAGGGCAAGAGTTGCTGGAAAAATAAGTTTCCATTCTCAGGGGAAAAGTGGAATGAAATTAACTGTACCTTTAATCAATTGTAACATCAAACTTACCTGAACTGTTTCCATAAAACTGGTCACCTGGATCTAATGAACATATTTAAGTTTTATTTTGAATAATACCATTACAATACAAATGTAACATTTTGTGTGTCATCTTATCTGGCAAATACCAAATCCCATCCACTGGCACTAGGATAACGAGACTTCCCTCCTCACTTTTGTGAGTCACCACTTGCCAAATCTCGTGCAACTATTGGAGAGGAATGTTCTTAGTTGTGGGTCTTTGTGTGAATCTAATCATTGACCCAAAGAGGGTGGAATTCCAGGACAAATGGATGCTGTTTGGTTTCTCTTTTGTTCTGTTAAACTTCATGTTACAGTACAGTGAATGAAAACCGAACTGAGCAATTTTACGTGAGCTGTGGAAGTCACTGACTTGACGGATGGGGTGATCAAGTGTTCAACCACTTTAAATTGCCTGAATGGTAAACTCCTTTCCTCCCCCGTCCCCTCGCCATAATTTGGTGTGATAACAAGCATTGCTTTTTAATCAGGTGGAATGATTGCACAGATGACAGTGTGCAGAAACCTTATTAACTCTAAAGCTGGGTGATTAAGAAAGGCTAATGATTTATGAGCGTTTGCTTTGACAGTTCTAATTGGTTGACTGAAAAACTAAAAGTCACACCTTTAATTTATTCAAATGGCAGTTACATTTTTTTTAAAAAAATTGAATTCTCAATGCAATTTTCAGAGAAAACGATCCTTATAACTGACTGGGATATTCATTTTTTATTGCATTTTTTTTAACATTGGCCTAGTTCAGCCCCAAACCTTGCTTCCCATCAAAATACTCATGTAATCTGCATTGATGTGAATATTAGCATTTAACATTGTTTCACTGATAAATAATTAGTTTAAGAAACGATGTTTTCCTAAACACGATTCTTAAATCCTTCAGATGCATGATTCTAAATGACTGAATAAACCATATGATGAATTGCAGAAAAAAACAATAGATTAGCTTTTTAAACGGTTTAGTTTCAGATGTTCAGTTTATATGGATTAGGTTTATTTTCATGGGCTTTCCAGAATTAATGCTCTTCATTTTGATGTGTTTGCGGTGAACTGCTCTGTGCTGTGTTGCATGCAATGCTCTAGATTTAACAGATGAGGCTAACCGAGAACTGAAGGAGCTGCACAAGGAGATGTTACAAGAACTGAAAGATAGAAATCAGATGTTGGTTTCTAGTAATCAGGCCATGGTCTGTGAGGCCCACAGCCTGAAGCAACAGCTGCAGGGAATGCAGTTTAAACTGGAACAACTGGAAGAAGAAAAACAGAAGCGGCAAGAAGCTGAGGATAGTCTGCCGAGGGAAGGTGGGAAATATGTTTCCTCCTTCAAAAGTTTGAAAGTAATTGGCAGCTACATAAGATCAAATTATTCTTTTTAATATTTCTAGAGTGAACTATACACAGTAATGGTAAATGTGCATGAGGTGTGTAATGTAACATGTAGATTTGGATTGTTCTCTTAAACATCTTTTTGAATTCTATTTTTGTCCCCAAATGGAGAGTGGTTCATTTTTAGAAATGTATCTGTCATCAAGTTTAGCTTCTACATCGGTTTTCAAGCTTAGGCTTTGAGTTGAAATGAATCTTTTAACAGCCCAAGCATTTTGATTGTTCCAGATGAACTGGCAGAGCTGCTTTCTCTGAGGCAACATGCGCAGCAGCTCGTGGACGAAAACGATGCCATGAAAGTGACCATCCACCGATTAAATGTAGAATTGAGCCACTACCAGGCCAAATACAGACCTTTACTTAAAGAAGAGGTGAAAACTGACATTAAACACATTCTCCGAACTCTAGAAATCCACGAATAATGCAACACACGGTTTTCAGCAAGTGCTCTCTATATGCCTATGTATTGGTTACTAAAATAACTAAATAAGTATTTTGTGGACTGTTCCGACCACTACCAATTGTACCCAATCACCAGAAGGCATTTTGGCTTTTACGTTTTGGCTTTCTTTGTCCTAAAATGTTCCAATGGATATATTCAAATAACTGTATCCATGGTGACTGAAGTTATTGGACAATGTTAAGACTAAGCAGCTTAAGAAGCGTCTTTATGCCTCTAATTATGTGTTTATTTGCACCTTGTGAATACATACTGTATTTAAACCACGTGTTTAAGAATTGGATGCATAATGTAAAACGAAAAGGAACTGAACTACTGCAGAAAACATATTCAAGGTGTTTTTAAATGCTGGTAGCTAATCTTTCCTGTTGGCGAGATAGCTGATGTTCATGTTTTTTATCCCTCTCAGGGATCGCACAGGCATAGCCTCCCAGTAACGGGACCGCCCCCACCCTGGCTTGTAAGTACATTATTTACTGAAATCTGATATGATTGCCAACTCCCAGTCACTAAAATTAGTTTTTTTCCCAACTTTTTGCACGCAATACGAATCACAGCTTTCCATCACATATCTAACTTTAACATTAATGGTTCCCTTTTGTATTGCATGCAGATGTTGATCTTCCAGTTATCAATTATAATTAATGATTACGTATATGATCAAGTTCAACCCTTATGAAGATTTCCAACTCCGTAACCATCTTCAATGATCCTGTATTGAATCTAATTCAAAGTGCAAATCCTATACCAACTGGCACTGCCTTTCCCAACATTTAACCTAAAAGTTTGATGCTTTATGCATAACGTTCTTGGGCTCTAATATGAGGTGATTTCTGAAAAAATAGTAAAGTGCTCAGTCCCTTCAGTAACAAGAAGTACATCACGCTGACCTGTGGGATCTCCATTCCTAAAGTAGATTGTGTTCGAAAACTTCACATGTCAGCGCTATGTGCTTCCAGTTTCAGAAATTGCTATTTCGACTCCATTGTATCGATTGAAGTATCAAGTATCAAGAAATATATTTTACTGCAAAGAGTCGTTGTTTTAAATTATTTTATTTGGGTGATTGATTTTTGATTTTTTTGATTTTTCTCTCACCAATAGGTGGATATGAAGTACTTGTCACCCCTTTTGTTGGCCTATGAAGACCAACTGAGAGAAAGAGATGATGTAATTAAAGCACAAGAGGTATGCTGTTAATGGATAATACATGACTTGTGTACATGTCAGCTATCTCTTCCTCATATGTCCTCTTTGTCTCTTATACCTTGTAGTCTTGGTTGGCAGTTCAGTGCAGTTTTATAGGAGTGCAGCATTGTCGGAGGTGCTGTCCTTTTTGCATCAGACATTAAAGCAAGGTCCCGTCTTGTCTGTTCAGGTGGACGTTGTATGATTTAATTATTGCCCAAACCAATAAGATTTATGGTTGCCTCTTGTCACTAGACTTAATTTCTTCACTTAGAATGAAATGAAGAACTTCAGAGCTCGTGTGGAAGAGATAGTGTGTGAGAATAACCAGCTTCACCAGCAGCTTGAGAGGAGTGGTGCTGTGAGCAGCAGAGAATGGTAAGCTTCGCAGCTAATTGTGCCTCACGTGTTGAAATACAGCTTTGCTGAAAGTAGTGTGAACAATGGAATGAATACTGATGACTCTGAACAACTAAGTGTCAAGGAAATACTACATTTATCTTGTCAAATAAACAGTAGGACTCTTTTAATGTCAACACGGATCTAATAAGATAAAGAGATATCAGCCTTAAGACAGATATCTTTAAAACAACATGCATCTTAATTCTAATACTTTGCCCAGTATGTTGACGATTTGTCTTGTGGAGTTCTATGTACATGTTACATATAGATCCAATAAAGTTGATACTGTATTAATGATATTATTAATGATAAAAGAGGATCCCCAAATGACAAACTTAATTTGTTTGTGGAACAAAAGACTTCTTAATTAATTAACAGAATGTTTTTTGATTTAATAAAACCCCAGGTGGATATGTCAGTGAATGATTTCAAAAATATTTTAAGATGGAGGAAAGCAAGAAATGTGTTTGTCTAAACTACTCACAAAGCTGCATTTATTTTTAGTGTAGTACACAAAACATATCATTTTCAAATCAAAAACATAATTTTAATTGCATAATTTATATCCACCTCATAAAGTACTACTGAGTTGCAAATCTGTTCATACACAATTCTTTTATTGTTATAAGTTATTTTGCTTGTACTCACTAGAATATGTACAGGATGCCATGTAGCTAATGAGCTTATTTTGTTTGCCTTTCTAGGCGGCAATTGCAGGATCAGGCAAAGTTGGTTTTGGAAGAAAACCAGGTGTTAATGGAACAGCTTGAAGTGCAGCAGGCCAAAGCAAAAGATAGTCATAACAGACACTTACAAGAAGGTGATTATTTTTCTTGCTCAAGATCCCTATAAAAGTAAAATCCAGCTTGAAATTTATATATACAAATTGATTCTCCCTTGTTCAACTACATTAGCCCATTTATCCAATGAGGATTTATTTTAAACCAGCAGTCTTAAAATGTCATTGGGTTAAATGCTATCGAGGTAAATAAATTGTTTGAAAAATAGTTAAGATTGTTCATAACTCATTTTTTTCTTTATATGATAGCGTCCAATTTTACCAAACAATTGGTGCTGTTGGAAGCAGAGAAACAAAGCCAACAAGAGGAGTTATTGGAGACTCAACAGCAATTGAAACACTTGCGTTCCAAATATGAACAGCTAAGAGCAGACCTTGACAATAAAATGGGAGTTGATGAACATTCTGCAATGGTGAATGAACTCAAACGGTATATAAATTATTTCCACATGTTAAATTCAAGGCTGGAGGGGTGTTAGAATAAAACTGTTTTGACACTATTTTAGTCAAGCCTATAGTGTAGTACTTTATACGAAGAACTCATTGTGGTTTGGTAACAATGGAGTGCATAGATTACAAATAAGATCAAATGGTAAAAACAAAAGTGCAGAGTATTTAGGTGGCTCACTCTGCCTTAGACATAAAGCGTGGCAATCCACAAGCTGTTGTTATCATATTATTTAAATAGTTTGTGAGATAGGATATCCCTTTCTCTGCGTTCCCCGATGCTTCAGTATCAGTATGGATCTCAACATTATTTTGAAGAGGATATGTTCACTTTGAGAATCAAGAATATATTACTGTAATAATAATAATAAAAATAATCCTTGCAATTGATATGGTGCCTTATCATGTCATTGAGATGTCTCAAAGCGCTTTACAGGATATACTGTAAAGTGGTTTTGAACTGTATATTTTGATTGTCGAGGCACTCTTTTTATATGTGAGATGAATCATTTGTTTTTCTCACTGAAGACAATTGCACTTGGAGCAAGAAAAACAGCATGTAGAGGTTGAGGAACTGATGGGAAGAATTGCATCTCTTCAAGCTGAGAAAAAGAGTCTGCTCTTAGAAAAGACAGAATTAACAGCTGACAATAAGACTTTAGAAGCAGAGATGGAGGAAGCAAAGAAGTCCAACAGGTATAATTAATTATACATTTGACCACAAATGCTTTCTACTAAGGTAGTTTGAAACTGAGATCTAAGTTGTGATCCACAATTTGAATTTACTCTGAAGGGAAATGTTTTTATACCATCACAATTTTTCTAAATGAATGGCTGAGATATAACTTTAATTTAAGTGCTTGGATTGCTTTTGTGGAGGTTACCTTCACTTGAAAGGCAGTCAATCTCCACTGTTGTGTAGGTGTTAATAATTAAGTTTAACACGTCCAGTATTAGCTGCTCAAATGAATGATGATCGGGTGCATTCAATTGCTATCCTGTAACTATAAACAAGAATTAAAACATGTCCCTGCTTGACCTCACCATCTGGAAGCTATGTTGCATGTACCTTCTTGACTCGGGGCAAAAGGGCCTTGTATTTTGGAAAATATTATTTTTCACCAAACTGTCTCAACAAAAATATGACTTGCAGGATCTCACAGAAGAAGATTGGTCTTCTGAAACAACAAACTGAAGAAGCCATGGAGAAGGAAGTAGCAGCTCACCAGTACCTGGCAAACCTTATTAGTCTCGCTGAAAAGACCACTTATGAACGTGACCAACTTGTCTATGTGGTAAATGACATGTTTAAATTTTCCCTCAGATTAGATTCCCTTCAAAGCTTTTCCTATTCTTGCTCAATGTTCAACCTCGTCACTGTGAAGCTTTCCAAGCCATTACGTTGTGTAAAGGGCATGCTATTCATGCACATTGTTTTGTATCCATCGGTGAGACAGTATGTTAGCAATTTGCCTGGTGTTGAATTTGGAAATCAAGGTTGGTTGGAAAAACAATCCTAAATAATTTTAACTACGATTAAGTATTCTAATACCATAATATTATTGGAAACTATTTTTAATTTACATTTGCTGAAGGAATGTATATTTTTAAGCCTGTCTCGTCCATTTTTGTGTTTTTTTGTCCATTGCACCTATTTTAGTAGGAGTCCTGTAGCTCAGTGGTTAGAGTGCTCTCCTTGCAAGCGAGAGACCTGGGTTCAATTCCCAGCAGGGCGACACGTTGGGTAAGTTTCTTTACTCCACACGCTTGATAATAATCCCTCAAGGAGAGAGAAAAAAAATTGGTCACTTTAATCCACGACTGTTTGTGGGACGCTGCTGTATGCAATTGCCTGCCACGTTTCGCCTGCAAGTATACAGTCAATTCACTTTACACTATATTCTGTGAAGCGCTTTGAGACGTGAAAAGCACTATATCAAGTGAAAGGATTATTACTATTTTGCCCCAGAAGCTTTCAACGGGCCAAGCCCTTAACCCTTCCTTTGCCCTTTTTACTGTAGACCAGAAGCCTGGAGAACGAAAAGCATGGAGTTTTAAACAAAATAATGGCAGGCAATGTCCGGCTGGGCAAATTGGAGGAGAAAGTAAAGGTATGGATTTCACTTTTCAAAAGTGTGTTTGACATTGGTGAGGGCAGTGAATGGATTTAAGTGACACCCTAAGCAGACTAGGTGTGACGGTCTCTGTATCTGTACCAGAACTGGAACTAAAGGTGATATTGATTCATTTAATAAGCTTATTAAACATATTATATAAATTGAGTTCCAACGAAGTGTTTCTATAATTACTAAACTGCTCAGTTTGTCCTGTCTACAATCACATGATTATACTGGCTTCATTAGGAGGTACAGCTCCCATAAATCGACAATTGATTGCAAGTATGTTAATTGAAAATTGTAATCATAGAATCATAAAATTGTACAGCACAAAAAGAGGCCATTCGGCCCATCGAGTCTGTGCCGGCTCTTTGAATAGAGCAATTAATGTCAATCCCACTTCCCAGCCCTTTCCCCATAACCCCGGAAACCCGTCCTACTCAAAAAGTAGTTATCGAATCGGCCTTGACCACCCTTTCAGGCAATGCGTTCCAGATTCTCATTCCAGAGAATTTGCAGATCAAGTTATTATTAGAATATTCTTTGGTTTTTTTTTCCTCCAGCTCATGAATTTTCTCTTCTCCCCATCCTCAATGAAAGACATTTTAGAGTTCTTTGTTTCTTCTACTGGTATTTCCAAGGTTTCTGGACACTATTTGGTACTTGTCCAAGTGTCATTTTTGAAGTATAATCCGAGGTAATGAGTACTGTATGAGCTGTTCGAGCTGAGATTTGCTGACTCAGCAAAGTCAACATGGTTAATACAAATTTGACTGTTCCTTGATTTTATGTCTCGACTGTTTCTTAGTTAAAATTGTTAAATCATCTTTGGAGCAAAATTGGAATATTTAAATTTTGATCCACATTTTGAAATGCGTGTTACTGATCAGCAAACATTGTTTTAATTGCCTTCTGGGTTTAGTTCTCAGCTCTTAAATTATTAAAATGCTAATGAAAAGAAAGCAACTGTGAAGGTTATTGCACGGTTGCTTATCATTTGTTGAGAAAAGACTGCACCAAATAACATATAGCAAGATAGTCATTTATACTTATTTAGCATTCAGAGCACACGGTACTGTACATTTAAGTTAAACCTTATAATGATCAGCATAGCAATATTCTGGAAAGCCCTTTCTCCAAACATTTGGTTCACCTGGACGCTGATGAGAATGCCTTTACAAGGGAAAGAAAGGCTGAAAAGACTATTTTGTCTACAGAGGAACAAATATATTCTCATCCCTTTTCCCACTCCATGTAAGTATAAATGTTTTGTCCTAGTTGTTGGTCAAGGTATATTTTGTTCGGTGATTAGACTTTCTTAGCACTCTGAAATCCAATTTTTATTGCGCTTAGTGAAAATATTTTATAATCATCATTTATTTTAGTTGAATTGAATTCCGAAGTTTACGTAGACTCAATACTTTGTCTTGGACCGATTTGCCAGGTTACGAGGAAGTTGCAACTATACCGTAATAAAAGCAAGTAGGAAAATATTAAAATATTTACAAGATATCTTAAATGTGCAATCTTCTCCCAGCTGCATGTTAAGATAAAGTGAGCGAAAAAGAGTGTTGGGGAAAGAAACCAAATCAATCATTTTTTGAATGAACTCCTGTTGAGGCAGCATCTGTGGGTGACATTACACCAGAATTTACAGTTGTTGTCATAAAAATACTTTTCCTTTTGTTCAGACTTAATTCTCCTTTCTTCTGTTGGAGACATATCTAGATGTTGCGCTCCCAATCTGTAGGCCTGGTTGGTCAGAAGCCCATAATGATTATCAGGAAAAGGTGGCTCAAACATTAGTGATAGCAGAGTTGTGAGATTATGGAATGTAAATTAGAAGGAAAATAATTAACCATATTATCCACACACTTTGCCGAGATATACAGTGCATTACATCAATTTGAATGAGTTCCCATTGTTGCACAGGAGATTCCATTGTGGAATAATGGTTTGAGGAGTACGTTAGTTAATTGGTATATTTAAGGCATGCAAGTCCACGTACGAGTTGAAATTAGCAGTTTCTTCCAAAATTGTGATAATTAATAATCTGAAATGGGGCAACTAATCAAATCTATCTATACTAATAAACATGTAATATCTGTATATCTGTGTGTCTGGTAAGAACTCAATAATCGATTAGTGTAGAGACATACATTTATACATTATTTATATCAAAGTTCTTGCAGGGGGAGTGTCATGGGCATATTATTTTCAGGCATCTCCTATCGTTGATAAGCTATATTAAAAAAAAGCTCATCATACATCATACATGGCAGTTACATGTACCCTGCAGTTACAGTTAGTGGCCGTGCCGACTCTCAGTGGTACTGTTGCATTGTGTGTCACAGAGCACACATGTGCTCAGACGAAGCGAAGCAGAGGGAACAAGATGGAGGTGGTGAAGTGGAAGTTGCCTCGAGCGGCATTGATGGCAGACATTTGGCTGCTTTTCCTGCTGCTCCTGGGCGGCGCCATGTTGGGAGTTGGACCGGTGACGGGTGACGGTTGGGTCGGTAAGGCCACTGGGTTTCCAGGTTCCTCTGAGCCGAGGCCTGGCAGCGACTAGCCGGGGAGGGTGAAGCCTGGGGCTCGAGTTGGGGTTTAGCCCCTCTCCCTCCCCTTATGTGTATAATTTTATATAAGAATCTATACTAATAAAGACGAAATGTCTGTCTGTGGGTCAATCTACATTCCATATTGGATCCTTTGGTTGCAAGCGAAGATAGAACCTATGTTGCTATGAAATATGAAAATCTCATGTAGAAAGCAGCTGTCTTGAGTTGTAAGTGTGGATGAGCATTCTGGAACTTTCTCGATTGCCTTTGGGGTTCGAGGGAGAAATTTTTGTCAAGTATTTTGCTCTGGGGATTGAACACATGGAGTAGAATTCGAGTCGGGGAAGATTATCTATGGATGGAGCAGGTTCTGTGGGCGATCCTGCATTTTCTTTAATGCTTCCTCGTGCTCCCAAACAAGTCTGATTCTCATAATGACTGTGAAATCAGTATAAATGCTGACAATTTGTAGATTGGTTATGCATTTATTTTAGTTATATCAATGTCCTATTTAACCGGGTAATTTTGATTAATTCTCATAGGGGGCGCTGCATTTTCAGTTTCTGAAAAACAATTCTCTATTTTCTGAAAAAGTAAAGAAAATTGAAATGTGAAGATTGCAGTGCAAGTGCTTATGCTGGAAAATTTACTTCTAAGTTGTGATTGACATAGGGAAACTTGTAATTTAACCTCATATAAATGTGATTTGCATACATATTTTCTTTTCTGACTCTCGTACCATGAAAACAAAACTGAATTCAATCTGTTTTTGTGTGACGATTGCACTACTCCTACAAGTAAGGATTTAATTAGCTTTCGCATTCACCGGAGTGAAATATATATATGTACATATACACATACATATTACACATATATATATATATATATAAAACCTAACCCCCCCCACCATCCTGCTCGCTCCCTTCGTTCAGCGGGCTCCAGCCTGCTTCACGTCCCCTTCCTCGCTCTCCCCACTTTTGGCAGGTGGGCCTTTTGCCACTCTGCCCCCGCCCTCTGGAACTCCATCCCGCAGTCCCTCCACCTTGCCCCTCCCTTGCCTCCTTCAAGTCTCATCTCAAGACCCTCCTCTTCGATCGTGCTTTCGATCTACCTGCTTTCCCACCCCTGCCCTTCACCCTCCCCGATTCCGACCCCCGGCTCGAGTCTGAAACTCTTGTCTGTCCAGCGCCTTGGGACATCCTTCTGATGTAAAAGGTGCTATACAAATGTAATTTTGTTGTTGTTATTATGTGACTTTCCCCTGGGGGATAGCCAATTTTCCCTTTAAATATAGTGCTAATGGTTCTTGGAAGTAATTTTTTTCTCGATCGATGCAAGTTTTTTTTATTAATTTTTAATCTTTTTTAAAAAAAGTGGTGGACTTAATATGTTGCAATTCACTGTTTTTTGGGGGGTGTTTTATTGAATTTCTTGACTTTGATGTATGGTTTTCATCTGTATAGTTCTGCACAGGTTTTCAACAATATTACATCTCAAGTGGCAGCCTCCCCAGATCAATTTGGCTGGTGAATTAATGCCAGACTCATTTTGAATTGAGTGTCACAGAACTTTACTGCTAACAGATTCTCGTGACATCTGTCTTCCATCACTGCATGATTTTCCAAATTGTGAAGTTGAATCCAAGTTTAGTACAAGTGCTTGAGGCAACTGATTTAAATACTGGAAGGTGATGCTGACTCCAAGCTCAACTGACTGAGCAACGCAGGATGTTAATATTCTGGAAGTAATGGTGTGTTCTGAACCATGTTTAGAAATACAGTGCAGTCCCATTATAATATGTTTCACTATAGTACAAATTCACGTACAACACTGTTACACTGTGGACTCCATTAACTGTGCATGTGCATAGTAGGCCTGGTTGCTTTCCGCCTGCTTTTCCCACAAAAATGGCCATTGTTACAGCATGTTTGTGGTCACATCCAATATTCCATCTCAGTATGATGTGGAATGTGCTTTTTCAAGATCCGTAATAACAAAGGCTGCACTGTGTTAAGACATCTAAATATTTGCTTATGTTAATTCACGATTTTACTTGCATAACATTATCAACCCTTCAGTAACTAAGGACTATGTTGTTGTGAATTAGAATGTTTTCCTTTCATCTCTGGAGCCTTGGTTTGAAGCCAAACTGATAGGATGAAAGAACCCTTCTACAATGGCTCTAAAAATCCTACATCAAACCACTTTGAGCATTCTAAATACAATTCCTTGGGCACAAACTGTTCATAACTAATATGAAGTATGATGACCGCTCTGGAAATGGAATGTGACACTGGAACAGTATAGCACACTTGTCTGAAATTGGGGTTGAAGCGCATTACTGGTGAAGTATGCAGGAAGCTTTACTCTGCGTCTGATTTGGGACTGATTGGTGCCGACACTAGATGGAAAGGTGAAAATGATAGTTTCTCTAGAACTTTGATGTCTCAACAATGACAACAGCTTGCATTTGTATAGCGCTCATCACATAGGATAGCATTTCGTCTTTTACAAACATCAAATTCACCAGAAAAAAAACAGCAGTGAAATTTAAAATGTGATTCCACACATGAATTATAATAACTTAAACTATCATTCTGTTAATTTTTTTTGTAGCCACAGACAGCTCATATTAATTTATTTGATGCATTTTCACGGTAACAACAGTACAAAGGCAAGCCATCAGTTGAAGGAGAGGAGCAACATCGCGAGGGGTATGTGTGATAAGAAGAGTCTGTAACAGCAGCGAGAGAAATTATGTAATTTAGCAAATGAATGAATCAATCACAATCAGCCCTCTTGGTTCAGAAATCAGCGTTGCTGATTGAGATGGCCATCAGGATAGAAGTACATAGACCATTATAATTGGCTCATCTCTGAAGGTTACAAGGCTAGAAACTGGTAGTGCTCTGATTGTAATAACAAATACGATATATAAGTCATGGAGTTGAAGATTGCTGTAAGTAGAACTTGAGAGTAGCTTACATTAATGTTTCAAATGCTCTGATGTTTCTGGTTATCATTCTTAAAATAAGGATACTTTTTTGCTTGCATCTGTTTGAATATATTTTCCTTTTCACAAACTTGTGAAATCTAAAAGATAAATCTAAAGAATTGTAATATTTACATGACATTGTTGCAGAGGGTGACAGCCTAACTTTGGCCTAGCATGTTTTTTTCTGAGAAAGGTGTGTTTCTCAGTACCTTTGGAGTTGATGTAAATGCTGATTCCTACTAAACAAACTGATTATGGTTACTAGTCAGTGAGTCAGTAGCTGAGCCATAATAGCCGAGGTAGTCCACGGTAGAAACCAATCTTTGCTGAGTTAGTGGTAGAAATCTTCAATCCATCCCGTGAGTTTAGGGAAGAGAAAATTAGACAACATTGCTGCTCTTAATCACTTTCTGGTTCCCTGCTTGAGATGTGTTGCTACAGGAAGGCTATTGGACTGCATGGGGATCAAAGCTGATATGTAGACTGTTCTCTCTGACCGTTTCTCTAACACCCACTCACACGCAAACAGTGGGAATTCTGTCTGTCTGCCTTCTATCAGGCTGTTAGGAGAAGCTCATTTTATTTCTAACTTAATACGTTGATGAGGTAAAGCAATTGGTTTTTTTTTGGAACTGATTACACTGTGATGTTAAAGTTAAGTTTGCAAAATAAATCACAGAAATGGAGTTCCTGTCCACCGTTTCTGGAATCCAGAATTCCATCTCTGTCGAAGCATTATGCATTGCATATCACAAGAAAGTTTCGAGATTTTGACGGCAAATAATCTTTCATGGAGATAGGTATATACTGTAACGTGGTAAAGTTCTTGGGACAATTTGACTGGAATCAGCAGAAATGTAAAGATTCACTCAGGGTTCAGGAGAAGGGTTAGAAAGTTACTTTTTCCAGATTTGAACAGCGATTCAAAAAGTCATTTTTAACTTCACAAACATTCTATTTTTTAATGTTAATCGACATTGCATTAAATATTATTGGTGAGAATTTACAGTATACATTTCAAATGGAAAATATTTTTTCTAGTTTTATTTGATTAAGTCATTGTCATGAACCCCGTTAAAACTAGCACACAAACAGAAGAGCATTTACATACTAAAGCAATGACAAATATTAACAAATATTCACAGTGCACAGTGTATCCATCACAGGATAGGGTGGGAGGCCATAGTACAGGCCTGCAATAGACCAGAAACCTCTGCGATGCATCTGAGCATGTGTACTGAACCCCAGCCGAGCACCTGTGACACCTCGGTGCTGGTGCTCTGCGGAGGTTGGGTATGTATGCTCTGATGAATCACAGAGGTATTTGACAGGAGAAGGATGGGAAGCCATAGCACAGCCCTTCAATAGACCAGATGCAACCTCTCCTGAACACCCGGACCAGCCACAGAATATATGTGAGTTATCTGATCAATTTTACGTTGTAATTACAAGAATTTCCACAATGCGACGAGCAGCGTGTTAAGGGGAGCGACGAGGAAAGCCATGTCTCTTATTAATAGGTTATATGGGAAGCAGCCGAGATACTGATGGCATAACGACTTAAGTTAGTGATGAGTTAAGCCAGGGTCGAGTTATCCAGAGTTTACTGCACAACTAACAAACTCATTTTCAATATGTTGCTCAGGTATTTGCAAATGCAACAAGGCACATGGAAACTACTAAACTAAAAATGCTTTGCAATGCTTCTCAAACAATTATCCAGATGATGATTATTAGTACCATTGCAACTGTACAGAGAAGCAGAAAATAAGCTGTTATTGTAGCCAGCAAACCCTGATCTTCTAGATTTCTCTTTTATTAGAGAAACTATTCCATTCACTTTGTTAGCAGGTAATTGTTTGAGCAAGGTTACAGTCAACAAGTTATTACTGGCAAAATTGGAATTTATGTCTATGACTATTGTGCTTTAACATTTATACACTGACAGATAACTTTGATAACAAGGGGGGGGGTGTATACAGACACAAATACAGCTTTGTTGATGAATTTGGTTCTAGATTTGATTTGATTATGGAAATGGAATCTTACACAACATCCAGTGAAGGTTATTTGTTGATTCTGAGGATCCTCTTCATAAACTGAAGTAAGGAATATGATTAGAAAATAAACTTGAAAATTCAACAACTAATCAATCGTGTAAGGAAAATGTATGTGCCATTCGCTCCACATGCTGAAGTTACTTAGCATGTGGTATAAATGGAAAACCATATGGGTAGCTGCAGTGGTATTTTTATTCCAACTGTGAGGAAGACTTAATAACTCAATTAAGATAAACAGGGCTTTCCAGGTGACTAAATGACTAATCTACTAAATTCATAAAAAATGGAAAAGTGTTCTTATTTAACTTAATTACCATTGAATAATCTAAAATGTTTTATTGATGATCCAAAAAAATTTCAATTAGAAATACAGTAATTAAAAAATATATTTTTCTCTATGAGGAGCAATGATATTAAATTTATCAATTGGATGTATCGACAGAACAAAATGTAAACCTGATCTGAAGCCAGCAGTTACTTTGTTCTCCAGATACCTGCAGTCACAAACATATCAACTTGGGGTTCTTGCTGAATTTGTCACTTTGCTGAACTGTTAGGCAGTACCAATTAGCTTCTGGGTGAACAATCGCATATACCCTGACAGAGGCACTGACAAAATCCATAGACCAAGCACACAGTCAGACTGGAAGGAACGAGACTGAGGCTCACAATCCCCAGGGTCACTTTCTGGATCACTAGAAGATAAATTCCAAGAGGCAATGAGCCAAAGTAGAAGAAGCCTAGCAACCACAGTAATATCTTTGGCACGTGATTACAAAGTTTAGAGAATAAGTCTTGATCAATCCGGCTTTGAGATGTAATGGATGGTGAATCAAGACTGTGATGTGAATAGTAATCAGAGTTGGTATTCCTGTTTGGAGTTCTTGGGGAATCCCTTTGCACCTCCATTATGGTAATAACTAAACAGTTAGAAGACCCATGGGTTGGACTGGAAGAAGTCAAGTTTTTTGGCGTCAAAACTACTTCTTTGGAGTCTGAATTCCACGATGGTCTGTCTCTGACCATAAGTTTGGACATGATGTTTACATCGTCAGGGAGACCTGCAATTTGATCTTCATGGACTTCGGTCTCATGACGGCAAAAGGGACAGCTAATGCTGTGGGTGCTGTCACTTATGTCGAGAATTTTGTTCAGACATCTTACACAAACTCTGTGCAAACAATCCAAGATCTTGGGCTTCCGACTGTGGCCATTGTATCTTTGGTAGCAAATTTTGCATTCCAGTTCATCACTGGAAATCTTTTCCTCCCCTTCAATGCGAGTGCAGCTCATCTTTAATTCATACTGGGAAAGAAAGAAAAAATACGCTTTGTAAAAAGAAAATCCAATCAAATTCTAGCCTGAAAAGACAAACAAGCTATTTTTTGATTGATTGAAACAGAAACGTATCTGCATCTATGACCATGTCATTAAGCAGCAGTTTTCATTCATATATACAATAGCTGGAAATGCTAGTTTCATTCTTGTCAACCATTTCAAACTTAGTTCTCCACTACAGTATTCTCACTTTGCACATTTTAATTTGAAGCAAATGTTGGAATCAAATTCCAGCATCCCTCACCTTTGAGAGCACAAAAGTCTATTAAATGTCTACATATAATCTCCAGGGTCAAAATTTTATCGTTTAAGAAAATAGCTGATTTGCATTACCAAGTGCATTTTGCTTCAGTTGCTGAAATGTGCACATGACTGCAAATACTGCTCCAATGACAAATTCCAAATATAGAACCTACTCTGTTAGGAATATACTGAGTAAGAAAATGACCTCGCCAAATTGGAAGTGCATTCAGTTGTTTCCATATGTTGTACAATTCTAGATGATCTCTATATAGTAAATGCCATGATACTTGATATGATGTATTGGTTGTAATCTGGAAAGATGTCAGTTTTAGTCAATAGAGAGCACTGTCACCTCTGGGTCAGATTTTTGTAGGTCCTGTGCCAGGACTTGATCTTATAGCATAGGATAGTGCCCTATGGGAGAAGTACCGTATTTTTAAAGTGCTATCCTTAGGATAGGTAGTTAAACAGTCTTATAAATTGTACAATAATTAACTGAAAGCACTTTTAGTTGTTTCAATGTGACAAGGTGCTATAAAATGTTTCTATATTCTCTCTGCTTATATTTTGTCACCAGAATTTTAGCTATAATTGCTTTTTCTATGATATTGCCTTTCAATAAACTTGAGGTTTACTGAATGGAAACCAGCAATAGGTTACTGGAAAAATATATTTTCACTATTGCATATTTGTGTTCATAAATCTATTCATTAAGCACGTTTGCAACTACTGAATTATTACCTTGCACCTTTGAACCTTGGATGTTTGAAATTTATGATTGATATGGTACTGATCAAAGTGAGGATGGCAATAGAGGGACATTTTTTAGATGAGATCTTTATCCATCGTCTGGCCTGAATTCAGCTGCCAACTGCCAATCAGGAATACATTTTCTCAAATGAAATGGAAATGAGTTAAATTTGCATATTCTTGATTCAATCCAATTTGAAAGAAAGGTGTTGTTTTACGATGATCCCGTGTAATAATAGATCAAGCTGAAAATATAACGATGAAGGCAAGTGCAGTCAAATTGCAAGGGGAGAAAAATACTGTGATAGAAGAGTTCATGAACCATTTTAAATTAAATTGAGTCATCGATCCTTCAGTGTTTTTGCAACACACTCTGCCTGTTAGTTCTATTTCCAGGGTTTATCATTTGCTTCGTGAATGGAAGCTTATTCAGATGGATTATGTTTTTCATCCATCCTTATGAAGGGTGAACATTGTAAAATTTGGTATGGGCCACACCTTTTTTTAAAGTACAAAAAGTACCATCACTGATGGAGTTGAAAATATTGAGAGTATCCAGAGATTTTAAAAAAAATAGTTTTGGTACTCTTGCCATTTGAGCATTTATTTCAGTATTTAATGTAGCATTTCATTCATATTTTTCTTCCTGATTTCTTTATTTTTGACGTGTGACAATATGGCATGTTTCCCTCCCCCTCATTTTCCATCCTTGAAGATGACCCAGTCTTCAAGGATAGAAGATTCTATCCTCCTCTATCCCACTCTACCACTTCTTTTAGCCAGGGTGGCAGGACACTGTCAAGTTCTCTGCGACCGTTGTATTAAGGACTTGACTGCAGGAGGTGCTATTCTAGTAAGGCATGTTGAATTATTTTCCTTCCTTCACTCTGAAGGAATACTTTGCTTTCAAGCGATGCTTCATAAAATATATGAACTTAGAACTCGCTATATTATACCAGCTGAGTCAAAGGTGTTGAATTTATACAGACTGATGGCCTCCTGGATTCTTTATTAAAAATAATTATGCAGAATATCTAAGTTCAGTTTTTTTTTAAATTAAGCTTCTTTCCCCTGCCAAGGTAGCTCGCAGTAAAGGAGACAAAATGGATCCACACGGTACATCGATATTTCTAATTGATCATTTTAGTGCAATTACAGCTCATCATTTCATAATGGCATCTAATCTTTTGTTTACATCATTGAAGCTGGATGAAGACCACACCTCAATAGGGAACAAATTGCATCATGACAGTCTGCTACTTATGAAAGGAGCTTTGTTATAGGCAAGTCTATGTCAAACTGTACATTTGTCATGAGTTTTAACAACACCTTGTGTGGTTTATTGCAGACATTGCTTTAATATGAAATAAAAGGCAGCAAATTTGCTTTATCTGAATAAGAAATGGGTGTTCTTAAAGTATTATATAATTTTTAATTCCCAATAGTTTTATTGCTTGTGCTTTCACCAGGTTAAAAGTAGCAGTTTTAGTGGAATGCTCCTGAAGTCTCTTTATTTCTGAATAATATTTCCGGTTTCTGTTCATTCCTAATTATTGTGAGAAAACAGCCTTGAGCATTAAAGAAAATAGAAATCTAATTTACATCGTAAGCAAGACTCTGTAGAACCAAATTTAAAAATTTGCAAAATGAAAACAAACAGAATTGAAATTAAAGTCTTCTGATGAGATATTAGCTCTTATTATCACTATGAAACCTTTTTGGGGGGGGGCAAAATGTTTACAGACCTAAATACGAATCGAAACCTGAAGGTTATTTTAAATAGTTGATATAGAAAGTATAAACAACCTACCTGGGATTTGTCATAATTGAGACAACTGAAATTTCTAACCAGGACGGTACATTTTCCACAGTTGATCCACGGGCCAGCAGGTTATTGATGAGTTAGTTGTAAGCACTCATTGCACCAGATTAAAATGACAGGAATAGTGTCTCTCCATTAAATCACGCAGTTGTACAAAACAAAAGCCACTGTGAAGCTTGGAGACATCAACAATCGTATGAAGGAACAAGAAGAGGACTTTTCCAGAAAGACTGCTCAGTACCAGCAAGAAATATGCCACCTCCAGCGACTGCTGAAAGACAAGCAGGAAACCCTTGATGGAGTGCTTGAACAGAAAAGGTAAACCCGTCACAGCCAATGCAAACCAATTAGAGCAGACTGGTAGATTGGGCAGATGCACAGCTGCAGGCTCCTGTGTTCTATTATTCCCATCTGGTGTCTCGATGAATGTACTACCTTGTTCAGATTAAATTTGTCACAAACCCACACACTCGCAGACAAAAGGCAGAAATGAGAATTCAGTTATCTTAGCCTTGATAATGTCTTTTTTTCTCTTTTGGAGTCGGTCATTGTTGCAGATCCTGTTGCCAGACTGCTGGCTAATAGTTTTGCTTGTTTCTGTAAACAAATAGATTAATTGTTCAGGGGGAAAATCTGCTTGTGAGCTGAAAGCTTGAACGTCTACGATGCAGCATCAGATCCAAGCTCTTTACTGCTGTCTGAATTATCCTCGCTCTAATAATATCCTGCTTTCAGTGAGGATATCAGTATGTTCAACTTGCCAGCTGTGGGATATTGATTTGATGTGATGTGAAATGAAGGCCGTCAGTTAATCCTCCCATTTTGGGTGGGGGTAGGGAGGAATTGAAGACAAATGCTTTTGCATATAATATTATGCATCCTAGTGGTCCCTTTGATGTTGAAGCAGAAGCAGACACTTACAGCTGAAATCATCCTTCTGTAACTGAGATTTTGATTGTGTATAGAATGAAAGCCTCTCTCTCTCCAGTGATAATGCCAGCAGAGATTTATATCCTGCTGGTAGCAGCTGTCTGAAATCCCAACCCATCATCAGCACAGAGGGAGGAAAATTGGCAAAAACCTAATCAGCTCTTTTGGGAGATCTTTGTGCTTTTTTGAGATAAGATTAAATCATTGAAAAGCTAAATCCTGAACTGCTACAGAATTGTTCAGTTGTTCAAGTAGCAAGCACTACCCACAGAACCATTTTACGGGGATTAAATGAAATAACATACTAGATAATTGACAATGAATTAAAGAAACCTCTATCAGAATTTCAGAATTTTGCCATGAGGTACTGAAGGACTGGCTATAGAACTTGAGTATTTGTAATAAATTATTCGTTTGTAATTTTTTGAAGAAGTTTATAAAAAATCTCAATGTCATTAATCTGTGATGTATGTAAATAGAAAAAATATTTTCATGATTTGAACAGAATGTATGAATCCTGGTTATGAACTTAGGTATTGCCCAAGAGGTAAAAATGTAATTCAAATGTATGAATATCATGTCTTATCTAAGTAAAGTTAATGGTAATAGAGACACTTGTTCATAATTAATAGTGTGATGCAGTACTTGTGTATTAATATACAAGTACTACATCACACTATTATACTGGCTTAATACTGAATTCAAGCAGTGACGAAAAGTAATCACCAGCAATTCTTCAGAAATACTTCTTTGATGAAAAATGTTAGCCTGGCTCAGGTGGTCACAACCTCACCTCTGAAGTCAGAAAGTTGAGGATTGAAGCCTAATGTAAGGAATTTAAGCTCATAGTCCAGGTTGACGATCCAGTGCGGTCATGGGGGTGCACTACATGATTGGAGTTGTCATCCTTTGGATGAGACATTAAACTGAGACACAAATTGGCCTGTTCAGGTGCATGTAACAGATCCCAAAGAGAAAGGTGGTTCTCCCGGTGTCCCAACAATCCCCCACCACCCCTCCCCAGATAAAATTGGTCATTCACTTCATGACTGTTTGCGAAACATTGGCTGCTGGGTTTGTTACAAAATGCAGTCACTGCACTTCACAGTAAAATATTGTGAAGCAATATTCAATCAAAAAGTAATCAAAGGATTATTAAATGGTATTTCCTTTTTTTAAGTGCAGGTTTAATTTAAATGTTGACCATTTGGAAGGCCTGTTACATACTGTGTTAAAGCAATCAAAATATATAAACAGCTTGCTTTGCTGACTTACTGTGGTGTCTGATTAATTTGCTGGGACCAGACTGGTTTGCAGCATGTTTCAACCAGTACCTCGCTGTTAGGCATCCTTCATTGTCCTTGAATTCCTTATGGGCATTGCCAGCACTTAACTGACATGAAGAAAAATGATTGAAGTTTTTTTTTAAAAGACAAATCTCTTATGGTTTGTATAATATACAATTTTTATTTGAGGTTAATTGTTTTCTTCCCTCTTGTACTCCTCCCTTCATTCCCTGCCCCAGAAGATGGGGCAGATGAACAGCTTCCAGGTGTTCCCTGATGCAGTTCTTTATCCAAGTTGTAACAATTAATTGAGAGCACAGCCAACAGAGCCAAGATGATCAAACTTTTTCATAATTTATATACTAACTTCATATGTCTCTTGAATACTCCTATTTTATTCCTTTCAGTGTAGATCTATCCGTGCCATATGCTATTTTTACCAACCAGATAACTAGCCTGATATCAGTATTAGTATCAGTCTTGATTCAGGTACTAACAGGTGATAAAGGTGCCTGTCCTATTAATTGTTTGTTCCACTGAGCAATACTTATTCTCCATTTGGTATCTCATCTTCATGGCATGGGTGAGAAGATTAGGAACTTGTCATTAAAGGAATGTGAATGTAAGGGCTCGAGAATCAGTAGAGTTAAAAGTTTCTGAAATGACAAAAATAGCTTCTACCGGAGGCAAATGGTTCAAAGAAGATGTACTCGCTTGTTTATCAGGCTGAGCTTGAAAAACATTGTGGGCCAGGCTGAACTGTACCTTTGAAATGTGTGTTGTGCAGAATTGTAGCTGTTGCAGGAATTATAATTGAGATGCTCTTTACATAGCAGAAGATATGCATCAGCCTAGTGGTTAACTTAAGTGCATGCCATAAAAATAATGCACCATTTTGACATCAGTTAATCCTTCCTAGTGTTTCTATTACTGTAATGCATTAATGCCAAAAAATCTCTTCCGGAAGAGTAGGCTTTTGAATCACAGAATTATATCCTGAGGATATCTTTGCCATAGTAAGAAGCTGCAGTGCAAACTTTACAGTGGCTTTGTAAGGTTAAGATCAAGGTACTCATCTCATCAATGCCATCACTTAATGACCGGATAATTATGTTTTTAGAAAAGTAGTACAATATGTATCCTTATGGAGTCCAAAAGCACACTTTTTTAAGTACCAGGTGTGCTTTGCATAATTTTTAAATGGAATTTGCTATTACCTTAAAAGTAATTGTTGAAGGATTACCCATTTTGGAACCTAGACATACAAAGAAGTTTGCTTATTATCTGCACATTATTATCTTATTATCTGCCTGATTTACTGAGATTTTTTCTCACTAATTTTATAATAAACTACCTGTACCCATTGCAGCTATGCTTGCAACCAGTTTCATTTAATCGGCCTTCTCTCTTTCGTCTGGCATTTGTATTTGTCCTTGAAAGGCTTGATCTTCACTTCTTAGGCATTTGTATCCCTTAAGATTAAGAAAATGTGCTGTTGAACTTGTTACCATTGCTTGTTCACATATTTGCACACGTATCCTTTTGAGAGGACTCCTGATTGGGAGGACTCCTTGTTGGAGTTAATATGTGATGAGCTTGTTTAGGTCACGATAGCAGATTCCCGAACAAAATATGCCCGTGACACCACCCCATGCAAGACTTTTCCGATGAGGTATAAATCATGTCTCTACATCAATCGGTTATTGTGTTCTTGGCAGACAGACAGACATTTCATCTTTATTAGTATTGAAGATAATGATCCTTGAATTTGATGTAGTGATTTTCAGTTAGGGAGTGGAGGTGATTGTTGTACTGGGGGACTTGCAGGGGTCAGAAGCAGTTTGGGATGTGATAAAAGAGTGAGGATGGTGAGGATAGCAGTGAGGCAGTTATGCAGAAAGTTGATAGCAGGCAGAGGGCTAGAAGGGCAAGAGTTCAGAGGACTTGAGGGCAGTTGTAAGGACATGTGTTTTTGTTTCCGAGAGTGGCAAATAACGGCGCCAGGCTCCCCATCCCGCCCCACTTTAGAATCCCGCCTAAAAGTGCTTACGGTCACCTCCCCTCCCTCCTTCTCCCCTTGGTTCAGGGTCAGATTCTGCCACTGTAAAGCACTCCGGGATGCTACCCCGCGTGAAGGGCGCTATTTAAATGCAAGTTGTTGTTTGGTGGTGGAGAGGGGATGAAGGAGATAAGGGAAATTAAGAAATAATCAGAGAATATCAGATATTTGGGTTTAATTGTATAGAATTTAAATTATTTTCATTTTGAAACACAAACTGAATTAGTATGCAATGTGTACCTATTTCACTGATCTATTTACAGTTCAGATTGAGTTTCCAATGATTTTAGTCTGAAGGTTCATTTTATTGATTATATGCTGGGTATCACATATACTTGAGTTTCAACTCAAGAACACTTAACAGATAGAACAAGCAGCAGAAGATGGAACAAATTCAAAAGTACCACCACTTAAAAGTACAATTACTTAAGACTTCACATGTCAACATCTCCACAGACCACAGGCTGATACTTAAACTGAAAATAAGAAACACATCGGTGTTTGTGATACCTTGAAATTAACAATATAAATAATCCTTACTGCAACATATAAAAGTGCCTCAAATGGTTTGACAGGTCAGCTGTGTTCCAGAGGAGGCAAAATAGTAATTGCTGATATAACTGTGATATGGATTTTTGGGACACGACAAGTGATCCTATTTTCTTGAGTTTAGCATTCTCCACAGACTGCAAGAGACTAACTCAGTGATACCAGGAAAACCTCTCTCTCATTCTACACAACAGACCTGGAGCCAAAACAGACCATCATTCTTCAGAATTTTGTTTCACTCAGAAGTCTTGATTGCATCTCATCTGAGATGAAAGGCAATTGTCATCAATCAGAAGGAAAAAGAACAGGGGCAGTTCCAATAAAATGTAGAACTAGCAAAACTGTATATTGTGAGAAGAATGGGTATGTAGGGTTTGAATGCATTATTTAATTTAAACTTAGAAAATGTACCTATTAATGGCCACAGTTTCAATTCATTTGTGTAAAACGAAAAGTGACTATTCACAACATATTATCATGCATGGCACATGACTTACCAGTTCTGTGACCTAGAATTGTAATCAAAAAGGCAAAAACGTTAGACTGAGACATTAATAGGTTGTGATGGCATTTACAAGGAAAAAAACCTCCAGCTACTTTTACATTTCAGATCATATTTCTCAGACATAACCTTGCAGCGAACCAAAATCTTAGTTTCAGAAGAATTATTTAAAAACTGAAGCATATCAAAATAATGTATTTTGTAATTACTTTAATAATTCAAATTAAAAATAAAATAGTGTGGTTTATTGCTTAAGAACAAAAGAAAGCATAGACTATTGAATAGCCTGTTTACATTTTCATCATCTATATCCAAAGAAAGCGTCACATATTTTTAATTGACATGCCCAACGAGTTAATTCCTGATTGAATAGTATCTAGTTTAGATCAGAACTCTCATAGGTCAATAAAATGTACTTCTGTTTATTGAGGAATCCTGTTATAAAATATTTATGATTTAAAATGCACCTTTGAAGTTATATTTGTGGTCTTTGAAAATGCGATTGTGAGTTGATGTTGAATTTTGAATTGTTTTGTGTTGTGAAGCTATCGTCGCTAGTTTGAAACTGAAAATGCCTGATATCCATAGAATACTTGCAGCTGACAGAGTGGGGGCTATTATCCTGATGATCTATTGGCTGAATTTGTGAATGTTAATTTGTTTTTTTAATAAAAAATTGATCATAATGACTATACACATCAGATTATCAAAAGTACTTAGTGCATCAATTGACCTGTTCGGTTGGCGATCTGTGCATATCAAAGGTGAAAGAATATATGAATTCACATGACTGCAAACAACCATTATATTCCTCCTGGCCAAGTATATTAAAAAGAATTTTAAAAATCAGCTAAGGAAGCACTCAGTAGAGTGTTTAAGAAAATCTTGATCTTCTTCATCAACCCTCAAAGTTCGTTATGGTTAATTATAACGCAGTATACTAATTGGAGAGTTCTGGTGAGTATGAAGCATTTATTACCACAGGAGACTGAAAGTGCCAATGATGGAAGTGACATCATTATGTAACTCATGCCAGCAAGATAAGAGTCCAAGGAAACTAATGCAATTAATTCGCTGTTTTCTAGGCAAGTGGAGACTGAACTGGAGACAGTCTGGGAATCAACCACAAGAGAAAATCGGCATATAAAGGATCTTTTGCGTGGTACTTTAAATAAAAATAGTCTCTTGGCCCCCGCTCACTTTTACGGCTCTGGTATAGATGAAAACCCTCACAGATATGCCAGTAGCCATTCAAACTTCAGAGCATTCAGCTACTGTGATGTGACCGTCTCTTCCCCCAGAAGGTTGGAGGATGGTACGCCACATGGGGATTACGTTCCATCAAATAATGATGTCCCTTTACCTCACCGTGTGGCTGAAAGTGGAGATTGTACAGCTACTCAAAGAAAGCAGAAGTCGAGAGAAGGAATTGTCATGAGTCCCATGTTCGAGTCTGACTCTGATCAACAACAAAATGCCTCCTCTGATGAAAGTGAAAAAAACGATCATGATTTCTACTCCTAGTACCATTGCGATTGCTACCAATGTTTCTACATTTAACGTTTCCACAAATTAAGTTTTATTTTCTATTCAGTGTGCTGCAAATGCTTAGTGCATATTGAAAAGTGGTTTTTCAGTCTTTCATTTTACAAATGTGTTTTTCCTTTGCCATTCAACACTTAAATTAGTTTTTATTTATCACTCGGCTAGAAGCATTGAGTTCAGATTTTATTGTTGTCAATCCTTGTAATCGCTCCAAGACCTTTTAAAACTATTTTGATTTCAACCCGTATTATTGAGAGGTACTCTTCAATTATTAGTTTAGAAACATCCATTGGTTCTTAGTTTATATGTTCCGGGTTCCAAATATTGTATAACTTTTATCCAACCGTAGAATTTCATTGAGTTTTAGAATACAGAGTTTAAGGCACAGGGAACAGGAAAACTGAGACAAAGGAAAGCATATGGGTGTTCCAGAGGTTGATTCCAAGAATTGATACAGAATATATTACAGTTGAAAAAGTAATATTGTTAGAATCGTAGAACTTTACAGCACAGGAAGACCCTTCAGCCTATTGCTCCGTGCTGGCTGTCTGAATTTCTTTTGGGTCAGCCTGATGTCTGACACACGAAAAAGCAATCCTCAGTCCCATTTATTTGCTTCTTCCCCATACACCTAGAAAATTTAATTACAATGATGTTTGGTAGTGCAGCACAAGACTGTATAACCTGTGGGATATAATTGCTTGTGTCCCTCATTTTTCTTTAAAACTTTGGACCACAATGGTCTTTTCGTGTTCTGTGTAGTTGGAATTGGTCATAAACTAGAAGAGCAGAGTTAAGTTATCACCTGCTTTCCCCAAATTATATTTTGTCCTTTACTGTTGATGTTTATGGATTTTGTGTGCTGACATTTTACTATCATTAAATGAACTAAAATCTTAATCATTTGGATTTCTAAACGTCTTATCTTCAAACTTTAGAAACTTTTCCCATTTAATGAAGAATATAAAATCGATGATGAGTACAGCAATATTGATGGATTTTGCCTTGAAATTAAATTACAGGGTAATATTTCTGAATGTGTCAGAAACAGTCACTCTTTGTTTTAAGCTAAATAACTTGAGAAATAATTGATAGATTTTTATGCTAGACTGCCTCAAGTTCTATTTCACACAAGGTTTTTGAGTTGCCCATCAACTTTATTATTTTTACAGGTTTTCTTTTTTCTCACTCTCTTATTTTGTAAATTACACTTATATTTTTTGTGATTTTTTTCTCAGACCTTTGCACTACCATCGCTATCTGTTAGAATGAAAAATGCTATTACTTCCAGTGCTCTGTCATAACCAATGCACAGCAGCCAAGAGTTATGAAATGAGGAGTAGCATTGGTAGCCACAACCACTTTGACAGAATACTATAACACCTCTCCTATTCCTTCGGTGAATCCTGGCAGGCTTCAGCATGTATGTGAAGATTCAGGCGATGACAGGAGAATAGGACAGCATGTTGAAGCATTTAATTGTGTCAATAACACATTTCCATGTAAACTAACCATATAAGATGTTCAGAATGTGATGAAGTAAATCTGTAATAATACTTTCAGATTCAACAAGAAAGATCAGGTTCAGAGATGCGATCGGTAAATTTAGGACAAGAGTTAGGAGTTTTTTTTTACACACTGAAGATTATCAAACTGCCATGGGTTACTGGGAAGTTCGATTAAGGCTAAACCGTTGAATTCATTTTAAGAAAAGCCTTGTGCAGACAGACATATAAAAAGACGGTTGCAATTAAAGACCTGTTGTAGCTGTAATTTGAATTTCAGCTGAGCCTTTAATGAGTGAAATGACTTAATATTCCTGGTAAGACTACTAAATTGGTTTTGGTCCCAGTGCCTTGGGACATCCTCCTGACGTGAAAGGCGCTGTACAAATGTAATTTGATGCTGCTCTTGTTTTCTGAATATTTTAAAATGAGAGAAAGTGAACCCTGTAAAGCTGGTGAATCTATTCCCAAGATGTTGGGTCACGCAACTTTGAAAACCTAAAGCAACCAACAGAGGCAAGTACTGGCACTAATGCATTCATGTTCATTCATGTTATTTTTCTGACATTCAAGGCCAAAACAACAAAGGCAGAATCAGAAAGGTATCCCAGAGAAGCTGAAGAAGGCAGGCTTGTGATTTAAAAGCAGAAATCCAGAAATGTAGCACTTTCTGACAATTAACATGTCAGTACAGAATTTCTGAATGAAATACGAGAAACAGTCCAATCTATAATATTCAATAGAAAGCTTCTGTATATGTCATACATTTTATGGATTCATTAGAATGCAGACTCTCCAAATAGTGTATTTAATTTAATTGGTTCACTTCTTTAACTGATATTTTGCCCTGGAAGATTTCTAGTCACAAAACAGGCTGTTTAAGGGAGCTAAAAATTGCAATTAAGTTTGTTAACTAGTGGTTAACACTGTAGTAAATTGGTGCCGATATATCAGATAATTTTGGTTGATTTTGTTTTGGCGGAGGGGATATAAAAATTGTCCATCCCACTCACTTCTTTACAGACTACAGAAGATGGCAGTCTATTCTCAGCCTCTGTCTTAACAGTGATCTGAGCTGACAGGGAGTATGCAAGAGCAATCCAGGCATGACTCAATGTTCCCATCCCAGGACTGGCTTCCCTTACATTTGGAAGCGCATATTAAAGTACAAAGATGTTGGAAAATAATACGAGAAAGTGTGAATGAAAAAGAGCCATTCAGCTGGACCAGGTAACTCATAACGTTAACCCATCTCCACATCACCATTGTTCAAGTTTCCATATCTTCACAACCCACACAGTCCCTCGCCTAAAATTGAATTGGAATTCTTTTGGCCTCTGTGGAAGGAAAGGATTGAATGGCCTTTTAATTCACCCCACGCTTATCATTGCAGTCCAGTGCTGTTGCCAGTCGATCATTTTTCATTATTCATCAGGATATGGCAGTTGAATGATTGTAACCCTTTCGTTTTCTTTCTATTAGCAACGAGTGATCTCATTAGTGCATTCAAATATCGAAAAAAAACAGAAAAACATTCCAAAAATATATTTTACTGTCCAAAATTCTGGTTAAAAAGTTTGTGCCACCACAAGCCCCCCCACTGAGCACATTACTGTTACAACTTCATCTGAGTTTGCTGGTCAAAGATGTTCATGAATAACTGGATAACTGGTAGGAGTGTGGAGAGGACTATATTCTATTTATAGGACATGCCAGCACATCCATCATTTTGTTTTCCATCTCTTTTCACAATGGAATTTGAGGTAAACCCATTACCAAATAAAATATATTTTCTGAATTTGGTCACGTATTCACCGAATCTGTTTATCCTCGATGTATATCTTATAGTGCTGAACAGAAGACCACAGCACATTCATTGCTGTCATTGTAGGAAAAACAGTCTGAGAACTGGTCAATCAAGTAAGTACGAGGTAATAGGTAAATATTCACTTAATATCAGTAGATATGCAAAATAATGGATTATATTGCAAGTGATAGTTAATAACTTCTTAAGGAATTCAACGACAACTTGCACTTATATAGGGCAGTCCACGCAGGTGTTTTTTTGAGTGAAACACAGCAGCTAATTGCAAATAACAGTATCCTACAAACAGTCGTGGATTGAGTGACCAAATTATTGTTATTTTTAAGGGGATTATTACCTCTAGAAAGTGATCTGCCAATCGACTAACATCTAGGTTTCTACTTACTGCCAGGTACACAGAGGTGTTTGGAGTAAGGAAAATTGCCTTAGGTTTCACCCTGCCCAGGAAATGAATCCAGTTCCTCTCGCTTGTGAGGCGAGTGCTCTAACCAATACATTACAGGACCCAACTTTGGATCAATGGGTCGAATGGCCTTTGCTGAATTCCTGCTGTTCCTTGTGTTTGCATTTTAGTATTTTGTCATTAAGGCCACGTTTAATTTATAATTAGGGGAAGTGATGGTAGTAGACTTACAGCATACATTAAGTAACAACGGACAAAAACCCATATAATCTGAAAAATTCTACCCGGGCAGGTGGGTTGTAAAACTAATTGTTTGCAAATTTTGCTCAAAGTTTTCAATCTTCTATTCAGCCTTGAGGTGCTGGACTTAAGGTTTTGATCTGGTCTGGGCCAACAGTTTTAAAACATTGTGAAAGCATTTTTTTTNCTTCTACGTTTCTGATCTAAAAAGCTGCTTGCAGCAAAATTCTGCTGCACATTGTCACTCTACATTTTGCAGTAGCCTTGGCAGATTCATCTTCAGTCAGATTCAGAAAGATCATTTTTACACATAGAAACCCAGGTCATATGGGCAACATTGTCATCTGTTTTTAATAGCATCAGATTTCACACGTTGAAGTAATCACACCCCTGGGCTTTCTATGGTCCTCTGCAAAAGGGTATTTTTACTGTTTATTCTCAGAATTCTATTTTTAAAAGACAAGGAAAAAAATAACCTTGTTTTTTTTAAAGCAAGTCAGATAACTAGGTCATGCTATTTTGTAGTTTTTGCTGAACATTTGTTTTTATGATGGATGCAATATTTTCCTTCCAGGTTTGTGACTTTCTTATTGCATAATTTGTTTGTGGATTAAATCAAATTTGCACTGAAGCATTGTGCAAATTCTACTGTGAGCCAAGGTAAAATGAACACATGTAAAAACATTGTTGAATGTTATTTTCTTACCACTTTTCGTTTCTTGTGAAGTTATTTGTTCTGTCGTTCGTCTAATTTGCGTAATTCACAAAATGTTTCAAATCATTGAATTTGACTTTAGTTTTGACAGCCAGTATTGTTTTTAGACAAATGTTGTAGTACTATTTGGTGCCTTTCTGACACAAAGAGTACTACGGCATTTGTCCAAAAAATGATGTCAATGCAGGCAAACATAGTGTTACCGGAATTTTGAGACCTGTCTCGTCAAAAGAAAGGTATAGTACGTTATTACAGTGTACATTCTACAATACAGAGGCTATGCTTATAAAATAGCCATGGATCACCTTTTATGGCTAGAGCTGATGTACAAGTGGATTTTAAACTTTGCAAGATAATAAACCGAGCTTTAAAGTACTCAGGGCACTTTGTGTGACATAAATATAATTATTCGGCATCACTTTCTTGTAGTTTTATGACTTTTGCCCAAATTTAATTTCCAATCTTCGCACTACAAGGTTTTAACCTCTGACTAGCTTTCAGTCTCTAATAATATTTTATGCCCATATCCTTATCATTGTTTTCGTCTATTTGTGCTTGGATTTGGTAGTGGGACCCATTACACTCAAAATGATGCGAGGTATTGTCTGACATCTTCAATCTTCACCACTGAGAGGTTTTAGAGGAATCTCTCAAGAATTATATGTGAAGACACCCCTGCAGATTAATTTCAAGCCATTCATTTTGATTAGCAGTTTTAAAACTCCTGCTGCCAGGTTTTTATTTGAAAGGTTAAGATTCATGAGTTTTCAAGACACTCACATTAACATAATTCATTTAATAGCCTGACATGCCAGCTGTATCTTTCAGCACCAGCTCCCAAGGAATCGGACTGTGAATACATTTCAGCCACATGGACAATAGGGTAGGACAGTGGAGCTGTTAAGTAGGTGTAAAAAGAACCAGCCTTCCATGGAGCTTACACCCTGTTAAACATTTCTCCCAATTTTGTTATGGCTTTGTGCTTCACCAGCTTTTTTTTAAATATCATAGATATTATAAATCTTAAATTTAAGTTAAATTTTAGTTCATCAGCAGTTTCCCTGGTGTTATCTGATCAAATTACTTTATGATTTACCAAAACAGGTTTATCTAGAACATGATAATTTGGCCAATAAAATAAGGTGTGGGTTCATATTCTGTGCTTGGACTTTTATTCTTTGCAATCTCTGCAATAATTTAGGATTTTCAGCTCTTTTGCAATGTTACATTAGCCCCCATTACAAAAAAATGTATTGGCTGTTCTCTTACATAAAGCTGTGACATCCTTATTGAACTTGAACTGTTTACCAGATCAATGTTGCAATGTTTTCATCCGGAGTTTTAAGAATGCATCATAGAAACAGACGAATCAGATCCAATGCTTATTTTTGGATTTATGGGCACAATAAATTCAACTTGTTTTGATCAAATGAGAAGGACCTTTTCATATAGATATTTAAACTTGTTGACCTTGACCCTGACTTGTTGGTCCTGACCCCTGACTGTCTAGGGCCTTGGGACGTCCTCCCGACGTGAAAGGCGCTCTGTAAATGTAATTTTGTTGTTGTTGCTATTTACTATAATTGGCAAATTTCCACACTAATAGGCTGGTTCTTAAGGACTTATTCAGTGTCCTGGTTTGGAAAGGGAGCATTACAGGCTCTGTACTTTGCCTAGCTTTATTGTATTCTGTGAATTCTTGCCTCTAATCTAGCAGTGGAAAAAACAATTAGTCTGTCTTTTTGCAGCTCCTCAAGAGTATTGTGAATTATGCCATAAATACAAAACCCCAGGACACCTTAGGTGGTGGTCTTCTGGGAATATTCATTATTATTGAGTTCTAATGTAAATGCTTTGGGCACGAAGACATTTATCATTCCAGGACCCTACCCCGTGTGAAGGGCACTATATAACCGCAAGTTGTTGTTGTTATCGCATAAAATCACATATATTTTAAGAGATCAATTTAATAAATTTAAGCAGTACTTAAAAATTCAGGATGGATTTATAAAAATACATTTTGTGCTTCTCAGAGTTTGTCTAGGTATTAATCTTGACCAGGTGATGATTTGTATTACCCATCTTTCTTATGGTAGGTTAGATCATTTTACTGGGATCGTGGCATGGGATCTAGGTGACCCCGAATAACAGGAAAAGTGGTAATAATTTGAAGTAGAACTATAATAGTTGTCTTAAAAATAATCTTAAGCCATTTTAAATAATGGAGAACCTTCACTTTCACGCGAAGCAGGATGGGATTTGGAAATTCTGGCCTGTGATTATCTAATAAGTAGCAGTATTTATTTTGAATTACAGGGACTCCATTTGAAGAAATGACTATGGACGTTTCTATCCTCCTGTTGCTGCTAATAATATTTCTGAAGTACAAAATCAAAGAAAGAGTGTGATGGCTTTCTGGGACTCATTAACTACTAAACTGCAAGAAATTATTCTGTCATTTTCTTTTTCGTTTATTTGGTGTTTGATCTCTGAAAATCTAATTAAAAGGCACAGACCATCAATTAAACTGGTTATGCAGATATATCACTGTGATGCTTCCTACTACCAAATGTAGACATGATTGAAGGATCAGAGGCTAATTGTGCTTTCCTAGTTAGAATAGAATTAGCTTTGTGCTCCATTTAACTATATTTTCAGGCATAATCTAATTCGCTCATGCGTTTGTTTCAATGCTAATTTGCAGCTCCAGTATTGGTTTGCTCACACAGAAAAATAATTGAATGTCTACACGGAGTTGTCATCTGTTTCGTTTGGGTAGTTCTTGAAAATGGATGGACTGTTTTGAAACTACATCCACGAATTTAGAAAACGCTTTGAGAACATACATCCGGGTACATATCTGAAAGCATTCTAATGGCTGTCTTGCTGTTCTGAAACAACTAGCAGAATAAATCTATCACTCATAGAGTTATTAGAGAGTGATAGATTTATTCAGCTAGGTGCATATTACAATTTGCAAACAGGAAACGGTTAATCTCAAAATAAATGGCAGCCAGAGTGAAATTTGTGTTTCAGCTACTGGTGATAAGTGACTGTAATCCTGCAGCATGTATGAGTAGAAATGAGCATAAACATTTAATTCCAAAGAAAACCAATAAATAAAACAAATGTAAGGTGGACTGATTAAAAGTTGCATTTTCAACATCATCTTGAAACAGAAATATATTTGTGGAAGATTATTTTTAAATGCTTCAGTACTACTATGGTTAAGTATAACCGCATAAATCAATGCAACAAAATTTCTTACTATGCTACTTTTGTACAACATTGTTTTTTTCTAAACAAAAGTGTACATTTTGTTTAGAGATTATAGCTTAATCTGTGGAGTTTGGGAAGGAATTAAATTACAATAGGATTAAATAATCTTAACGTTCGCAGTGTTGTGAAGTAGACCAGAACAGAACTAGTGGACAGATTTAAAATTACATAGCCTTAAATGGGACTGGAGATTAGAATAATTTCCTGCACATGCACAAAGTAATGGAACTGTTGAAAAGAGACATCTGAAAACTACATATGTGTGTAAAAAATATATATATTTGGGAAATATTTAACCGAATTTGCACTTGTGTTCCACCTTTAGAGCTCTTTCTGAAACTGTTAATTTCTATGGAAGTGGTTAGCATTTGATTAATAATTACTTCACAAGTAATGCTTCACCTGCAAAGCACCTCCTCACAAATGAGTCAGAAGCAGTTACTGAGATGCCAGCAACCAAATGGAAGTCGTTTATTGGATGACTCCTCTAAACTAGCAGGTAACAAAACAGTTACAGATTTTACAGTCCTACAAGCCTGCTCTCGCAGCACAATTCTGCATTTGTTCTCCGAGGCAAAGAGGCAAAGAAGAGACTTCTCAATACTAATTAAGGTAAGATTTGTAATAGTTTGAATGTTTACTAACAGTTGGCTCACTCTTGCCTCTGGATCAAGGGATATGCATTCAAGCCCCACATCAGGAATTGAGTTGACACTCCAATACAGAGGGAGAGCTATGCTGTCAGAGGTGCATGAGGTGCTGAAGCTAATATAGCTCCCTGTTTCCAAGAGAATGTTAAAGATCGCATGATGCTGTTTGGCGAGAGAAGTGAGTTTCTCCCAGCGTGTTGGCCAACAATCCTTCCCGTTAACTGATCGTTCGCCTCATGCTGTTTGTGGAACTTTGATTTGTGCAAATGGCTGCGTTGTTTTCCTTGCAAAAGCAGTTACTACATGAGAATGTATATTTACTTGTGAACCGCGATGAAATGTTTTGACGTAAAGAGGTGTTCATAAAAATGCAGTTGTCAGATTTTAATCTGTGCTATAAAGGTGCTTAATTTAATTTTTTTTTAAAGGGAATCAGGAGAGGCTTATCAATCATGACATTAAGGTTACAAGGAGACCTAATAGAGGTCTTCAAAATCATGAGGGGATTTGATAGGTTAGAAAGGGAAAAGCTGTTTCCACCGGTGGGTGTGCCGGTGATTCAAGGTTACAGATTCAAAATGGTATCTAAAAGAAGCAGAGGGGAGGTGAGATGAAATTTTTTCACACAGCAAGTTGTTCAAATCTGGAATGCATTGCCTGAAAGGGTGGTCGAGGCCGATTCGATAACTACTTTTAAAAATGTGGTGGACGGGTATTTGAGGAGGAAGGGTTTGCAGGGTTATGGGGAAAGGGCTGGGGAGTGGGATTGACATTACATTGCTCTTTTCAAAGAGCCAACACAAACTCGATGGGCCGAATGGCCTCTTTTTGTGCTGTACGATTCTATAAGCTTTACTCTGGTATCCGTTCAGTTTGATCTTGATAGTTTTCCTGAGAAAAGCTATTTGCGTCCTCTGTTTTGAATTCTCTAAAGGCAACGGGGAATGCGTGTGGCACCAGAGGTTCCCACTCTCGCTTTCTTGTTACAGTATGACGTGCTGAACGTGATCCCTTACTTCAGCATTAAAGATGAAATATTGTGTTGCAACTTTACACTGTTTTCCTACATGAGTTTACCGGGAGGGGGTGTGTCATGTTATAACACTATTTCACTATGGAGTCCTGTTACTCAGTGGTTAGAGCACTCGCTTTGCAAGCGAGAGACCTGAGTTCAATTCCAGTCAGGGCGAAACCTTGGGCAAGTTTCCTTACTCCACACAGAGCCTAATAATAATCCCTCCAAAACCAAAAACAATAATAAATTGGTCATTTTCAATCTACGACTGTTTGTGGGACATTGCTGTGCGCAATTGGCTGCCGCGTTCGCCCACAAATATACAGTCAATTCACTTTACAGTGTCTTCTGTGAAGCGCTTTGGGACGTCCTCCCGACGTGAATAGCGCTATATCAAATGCAAGGATTATTATTATTATTATTATTATTATTTACAGTGTGTTCTGTGAAGCGCTTTGGGACGTCCTCCCGACGTGAAAAGCGCTATATCAAATGCAAGGATTATTATTATTATTATTCATTGTTGATGTCAGGCAGAATAGTATCAGTGTCATCCAGGTTATTTTTAGAGTGACATGTCTTTGGGACTGACACCTCATCGCACTTCTGAATGATTTTAAAAAAATAGCAACAGAACCATAGATAAGTTTAAACTTAATACTTATTTTAGAAATACATGAATTGAACAAAGGAGTAATGCTAGTTCTCTGGCAGGGTTGTTATTTGTTATGTGATAGAATAATGATACCTTTACTGTTCTTTGTCACCACATGTAGCTTTTAATAGACAGTGTGACTGAAATGAACCGGGTTTAAAAAAAAATTGGTTAATCCACGACTGTTTATGGGATACTGCTGTGTGCAGTTGGCTGCCGGGTTTTGCCCACAAATATACAGTCAATTCACTTTACAGTCTATTCTGTGAAGCGCTTTGAGATGTCTAGAAGATGTGAAAAGCGCTATATCAAATGCAGGATTATTATTATATATTAACTCTTTAGCTTACTTCTCTTTTAATGTCTATTCCTATTATAATTTTACTTGCCTGGTAGCATGACTGACTGGATTTTATTGTATAGTTTAACGTTGTACTACTCCATATTATCAGCTACAAGACTACTCTTGTTTTTTTTCTTAGCAGTGTAAGACTGAATAGCACTGAAAGTCTTTGAAAGAAGGAGAATAATAACTATGTCATTTATATTTCAATCACATTAGTTGCTAATAGCACAATTATATTTTTGTGATGCAATATAGTATTCTGATTAGTACACAAAAATGGTTTGTGAAATATTTTTGAGAGACATCAGTGCTCCCTTTAATCTTTGCTTAAGTTTGTTTCTCAAAAACTTAAATTTATCTTCTCTGCAGGTGGTTGAAACATTAGCTCTTGTGCTAAGGAACTAGAGGAAAATATAAATGGATGACCAGTTAAGAAATAGGAAGGCAAACTCAGACCCGAAAAATGAATATCCAATCAATAACCAAACTGATTCTCAGATCGCCAAAGGGGTCGAAGAGAAAAACATGGCTCTGCAGAAAGAGGTGAGTATTTTACTGCCACAAGTTCTTTACTTATTTTCCAAAATAGAAACATTGGAATTATTATGGATTTAACTGATTTTCAACCAAATAGAATTTCATCCTGATTATCTATGCATGATTATTAAACACAATCTGTTCAACTGCAATTATAAGCTTACAATGAAGCTAAATGTTAGTTCATCTGCCTTCACAATTTCTGTATTGACTATCTATACATAACAATAAAATTATATTTGTATAGCGCCTTTCAACCTCCATGGCAAATTCATGACGTGGTTCTTTTAAAGAGGTTTACACCCTTACAGCATCCATGTCATCTTTCTCAGCCCTTGCTGCTCAAAGGGCATGTTTGCGATTTGTATTCACACCTTTTAAGGAGTAGAACAGTGGAAAAGAGTGATTTGCAAAAGGCAGATTACTATTTGCTGTATGATTGCTCAGTGCTCCAAGTTGAAGAGAGAAAAATAATTCTTGATTTGGGTTCAAGCAATTCTATAACCACAAGTCTCTGATTGCAAGGCTATTAAGCACACACCATATTGGAGTTCAATACTTTCTTAATAGATGAACTTGTAGCTGGAGTGATTGCACTCGACACTTGGCTAATTTGATTGATCATCTTCCAGCATGGAATATGGAAACCAGTAACTGGTCTTTGATCAGTTTATATTCTATAATTTTGTTTTGCATTAACATTAAACTAAATAAAGGACAGAGACCTTAGGGAAGGCAGTGTATGGGCTTTGTTACTACTTGAATTTTTTTTCTTGCTTTAAATTGTACTGTTTGTATTTGATGCTGTATTAATTGCAGGTGCAAGAATAACTACTCAAACAAACAGTAATTAAATCAATAATTAATGGGTGGGAGAGACTGTAATAAATCCTATTATGCTATGCATGAGCAGGTTTAATTAAGACCCAAATGAAGTAGCATTAAATAACACCAAGCAAGAGATTTTAGTATCTTCACTGGGGTATTATTTACACTGCCAATTGCATATTGAAGATTTCCAAATCTCCCCTCCCGATGACATTTTAATGGATGTTACTGTGAGAGGTGTAAAGCTAACTTCCTCACGTTCATAAGCCATTGCTCTACCACATCTCAATTTTTTTTAAACAAGCTAAAGTGATGAAATGTAATTGCTCCCCGCTGTCAAACCTTTCTCAGAATCTTAATTTAGAAAAAAGAAATATGCCTCAAAAGATCATTACATTAAAAATTAAAAAAGAAAGCCAATAAAGTTAACATTTGGTGTATATTCTCCTAGTGAGACACAAAAGGATTTTGAACAGATTTCGAACTGCATTTCTATTGATCTACTTCTTAAAACAGTTCTTCAGAGTTAATTCCCATCCCCACTGCTGGGGATGTGTTGCAGAGCAGTTTCTGGACCATCAACAGCCTAATTGCTTCCCCACAGGGACAGCAGAAAGGAAGAACGATCCCTGGGCTGCTCTCTGCACCACCATTGACTGCCTGCCTCAGAGCAGAATTTGGCAAGCCCCAGCAATACACTGCTTCCCGTTCTTTCAGCAGTTGCTGTGTGACCGAGGAAGAATCTAAAACTAATTATCAATAATTGACAGCCTCCAATATTGATCACATTGATAGCTGATTGAATTCCAAACTAGGGCAATAAGGCTCGCTTGTTTTTATTATACGTGTGCTTAATAGTGATGATGAATGGAACTTGTTTAATAGGAATATGCCTTGCATTTGCATTTCAACTGAAGAATGGGTGATTTTCCAGTGTTGGGAGTATGGTGTATTTTACTCTGCATCTAATCTTTGCTGGAGTTCAACCAACTAAAACTGGATGGATGACATTGAGACCACAGCCTTGGCAGGCTTTCCACTGCATGCCAAGTTAGGGCTGTGGTTTGCATGGTTAGTGAAAACTCAGGTGCGGAAAACTTGAGGCCATTTACAGGTCAAGAGTTAACTACTGTTGTGCTCTCCTCAGCACAGTTTCCACAATGTTTTCACTTCTGTAAAGACTAATTCATTGACTTAAATATTGATCTGGGGACATTCTTTGATAACAAGAATGCTACTGGCATCCGTGAAAAGAAAGCAGTCACTTCAGGAGACATAGGGAAGGAAAAAAAAGGAGGGGTGTGTGGCAATATTGATCAAAGACACAGTTGCGACCCTGGAAAGGGACAACGTGCCCCAACGGGCCCCAAAACAGAATCTGTTTGGTTAGAGGTAAGGAGCAGAAAAGAAGCTGTTCCTCTGTTAGGTCTATATTATAGACCACCAAATAGTGGGAAGGAGATAGACGAGCAAATCTGCAAGCAAATTTCAGAAAGATGCAGAACTAATAGAGTAGTGATAATGGGGGACTTCAATTATCCTAATATAGACTGGCAAAATAATAGTGTAAAGGGCAAGGAGGGGGAAGGATTCCTCACAAGCGTGCAGGATAACTTTCTGGATCAGTACGTTTCCAGCCCAACGAGGAAGGAAGCAGTGCTGGATCTAGTTCTGGGGAATGAAGTGGGGTAAGTGAAGCAGGTTTCAGTAGGAGAGCATCTGGACAACAGTGATCACAACATCATTAGGTTCAGCGTACTTATGGAAAGGGACAAGGAACAATCAAAGGTGAAGATGGAAATAGAAACTCAAATGGAAGAGGGCTAATTTCAATGAGTTAAAAAGGGACCTAGCCAAGGTGGACTGGAAAGAAAGATTGGCAGGTAAAACAGATAAGAAGCAATGGGAAGCTTTCAAGGAGGGGATAGTTCGGGGACTGAACAAAGGGGAAAGGTAGGGCATCCAAACTTCCCTGGATGAATAAGGAAATTGGGATTAAAATAAAACAGAAAAAGGAGGCTTATGATAAATGTCAGTTTCAAAATACAGAAGATAATCAAATGGAATATAAGAAAGTAAAGGGCAAGGAGGGGGAAGGATTCCTCACAAGTATGCAGGATAACTTTCTGGATCAGTACGTTTCCAATAAGAGGGCAAAGAGATTGTATGAGAAAAGATTAGCGGGTAACATAAAAGGGAACCCTAACATATTTTATAATCATATAAAGAATAAAAGGTAGGGTGGGACCAATTAGGGACCAAAGAGGAAATCTTCTTGTGGAGGCATGGCTGATGTACTAAATGAGTACTTTGCATCTGTCTTCACAAAAGAAGAGGATGCAGCCAATGCCACAGTATTAGAGAAGGTAGAGAAATTGGATAAGATAAAAAATAAACTGAGAAGTGGTACTAAAAAAGTTGTCGGTGCTCAAGGTAGATAAATCACCCGGTCTGGATGGGATGTATCCTAGGTTACTGAGGGGAGTAAGGGTGGCCACAATCTTTCAATTCTCCTTGGACACCGGGGTAGTGCCAGAGGACTGGAGGGTTGCAAATGTTACTCCCCTGTACAAAAAGGGTCAGAAGGATAAACCTGGGAACTACAGGTCAGTCAGCCTAACTTCAGCAGTTGGGAAACTTCTACTAGAGACTAAAATCCAGGACAAAATAAATTTTCACTTAGAAAAATATGAGTTAATGAAGGGCAGTCAACACGGATTTGTTAAAGGCAAATCATGTCTAACAAACCTGATAAGAGTTTTTTGATGAAGTAACGAAGAGGTGAATGAAAGTAGTGCAGTTGATGTAGTTTATATGGATTTTCAAAGGGCGTTTGATAAAGTGCCACGTGAGAGACTTGTAAGCAAAATAGAAGCTCACGGTATTAAAGGGACAGTGGCAGCATGGATACAGAACTGGTCGAGAGACAGAAAGCAGAGAGTGGTGGTGAACGGTTGGTTTTTTGACTGGAGGGAAGTGTGCAGTGGTGTCCCCCAGGAGTCAGTATTGGGACCACTGCTGTTTTTGATCTATATAAATGACCTGGACTTGGGTACGGGGAGTACAATTTCCAAGTTTGTAGATGATACTAAGCTAGGAAAAGTAGTAAACACTGAGGATAGTAGCAGACTGCAAATGGACAAAGACAGACTGGTTAAAATGGACAGACACGTGGCAGATTAAGTTTAATGCGGAGAAATGCTAAGTGATGCATTTTGGGAGGAAGAATGAGGAGAGGCAATATAAGTGAGATGGTACATTCTTAAATGGGGGGGGGGGGAAGGAACAGAGAGACCTGGGAGTTCATAAGTAAATCTTTGAAGGTGACAGGACAGGTAGATAAAACTTTTAAAAAAACATACGGGATAGAATACGAAAGTCAGGAAGTTGTGATGAAGCTTTACAAAGCACTGGTTAGGCCTCAGCTAGAGACTGCGTTCAGTTCCAGGCTCCACACTTTAGGAAGGATGTTAAGGCATTGGAGAGGGTGCAAACGAGATTTACCAGCATGGTAACAGGAATGAAAGACTTCAATTATCAGGAGACGCTAGAGAAGCCAGGATTATTCTCCTTGGAGCAGAGAAAATTAAGAAGAGAAGTAATAGAAGATTTCAAAATTATGAGGGGATTCGATAGGATGAACAAGGAGAAACTATTTCCACTGGCGGGTGGTTGGTAACCTGAAGACACCGATTTAAAATAGCTGTTAAAAGAAACAGAGGGGAGGTGAGGAGAAATTTTTTCAGACAGTGAGTTGTTCGGATCTCGAATGCATTACCCTGAAAGGGTGGTGGAAGTCGATTCAATAACAACTTTTAAGAGACTAGATAGATATTTGGGGAGGACAAGTTTGCAGGGCTATGGAGAGAGAGCGGGGGAGTGGGATTGAACTGCATAGCTCCTTTCAAAGAGCTGGCACAGACACGATGAGCCGAATGGCCTCCTTCTGTGCTGTCTAGTTCTATGATTCTATGACTTATGTATACGGGAATTCAACTCAGATTGATGTAATCTGCTATAGTTCTATCACTTGGGAAATCTCAATCATGGTTCTTGTCTATAATAATATATAATAATCCTTGCATTTGATATAGCGCGTTTCATGTCTTCCAGACGTCTTAAAGCGCTTCACAGAATATACTGTGAAGTGAATTGACCGTATATTTGTAGGCAAAATGTGGCAGCCAATTACGGAAAGCAGTGTCCCACAAACAGTCGTGGATTGAAAATAACCATTAATAAAATTTATTATTGTTCTTGTTTTAGAGAGATTATTATTTTGTGCATAGGGCAAGACTACTATAGTAATTCTTTGCCGTTAATTGTCTGAACAGGTTTAACAGTTGAATGAACCTGACATGTTCCTTTTCTGTATAGGTCGTTTTACCCTTTAGTCTGCACTTAATCACTGAGGCACTGCAGGATTTATTTTCTATTGTTGTATCCAGTGCAGCTCTTTTCCAATATACAAACACATCAAATGCATATTTCCTGTTACACCAAATTTATATATTTATAATTCCAAATGGGCAATGCATTAACATATCTATGGAACAGCAATAACTGCATGTAGTAAATTCTAGAACAAACCTATATTACTTTGGTATGACATTTAGCTATTGTTAATTCTTTTAGCTGAGGAACTAAAAACCACACCAATGAACGGCAACTTGTTTAATAACTAACATTATCATTGGTAGATGACTCATGGCAATTTGTGCAACAAGAAATATTTTTATTTTGACCTTGTTTGACCCTTCGTGCTCCGAGGTGCTACCTCATGTTACGTCAGTCTCTTCAATTTGATGGTAAATCTGTTCTTCAGATAAGATATTACACCGAGGTCCCATCTGAGAGTTCAGGTGGACAATTAAAGATCCCATGGCTCTATTTGAAAAGAGAAAGGAGTTTCTCCCGGTCTTCTGGCCAACAAGCCCCCAGATAAAATTGGTCACTCACTTCATGGCTGTTTATGGGACATTACTATGCACAACTATTTCGCTCACAAAATACAATCCACTTTACAGTATATCCTGTAAAGCTCTTTGAGACGGTCTTCACAACGTGAAAGGCGCTATATTAAATGGAAGGATTATTATTTATTAATATTGTTAAATGATTTGCTGATTGGATCAGGCAAAAGGCAATCTAATTCATTTTAACTTTTACAAGTTTATTAAGCATAGTTATCTTGCTATAAAAAGTGATTTAATAAGTTAAGATGCAATGTTTTTTGTATTCCTGCCATACATCATTAAACACATGTTTCATGTACAATAAGTTACTCTTGAGTGGAAAATATATTTTTAGTTGGCTGATGGGATGTAATTTGCTGTTTTTCTCAATGGGACTGCTTAGAATTCCCATCAACCTGTGTAAATTCTGCTTGGGGGTGCATTACATCAGAACATTCCCTTGGCTTGGCAATGACGCATCTCTGGTTATGGGAAGATGTGCCTAGTCGCACACCTCAGATTCCTTATTAAGAAATCGTATTAAGAAGTACTTTTCTTTTTTAATGCTCAGAATAACTGAGGTGATAATTGTGGTGTTGGATAATCAGTGTAGAGTCCATCGTTTTTTTGATTTATGAGGAATATACATAAATAAAAAGCTTTAATTGAATAAATGGTGTTTGAAAAACAAATACAATATTTTGTGAAAAAAATTCCACATGTAATCATAGATGAAGGTCGGTTAGCTATAAGTAAACCAGTTTGTTGGAGTTTACAATAATGTGTTGCAGTGTATAACCTTTTCTTATTGCACACAGACTGACTGTTTATTTTTCTTTTCCTGGGAAAAGGTTGGTTTGCTAAGTGGCATCAGTCTTATTGTAGGAACAATGATTGGCTCTGGAATCTTTATCTCACCAAAATCAGTCTTAGCTAATACAGGAGCAGTGGGACCTTCTCTGATTCTCTGGGCAGTTGCGGGAATCATATCAACATTGGGTAAGCAACAAGTGACATCATGATCAGTTTGTTTCTGAAGCTGCCTGTCTAAACAAGTACAAGTGCATTGGTAGCATGTATTTTGGAATATCTTCTGGAAAGTCAGGTACAAAAATAACCATGTCCCTCAATGAGGAAAACATCATTATAATTGGAAACATATCATCAAATAATTCCGCAGAGTTTTGAAAAGTTAACCCTGAACAACTTTGAAGAAGAGTTTAGTGTCAGGGAGATGTAAATAAAGCTTTGAATTATATCCATCTTGTTCCCTACCTGATTTGGTACATGATGCTTTATTTCAATTAAAATGGGTAAACTCAAGCTATTCTGCATCACTGCTGCATAACAGGATATACTGTAAAGTGCAGTAGATTTCATGGAGAATAGTCATCAAAAGATACAAAATGAGCACCAATGAATCCTCAGCAAACAGACTGCTGACATTGAATTCTAACTTTACTTTACGACACGTGCATGAAAGTGCAACTAAGGCAACAGAACGATATTGTATTTAATGCAATATAATCCTTGCATTTGATAACTTCAGATTTCACATTAAAAAGTAAACTGACCTCCTAGATAGTTACTAAATAAAGTAATTGGTTATTAATCAGGTTTTAGGTTTATTTACATTTGGAACTTGCTGTATGCCACACCTTAAAGCCAATATGCAATAATTTAGCAGTATGGTGGTGATCACCAAAACCTTAAATTATAAATAAAAACCCTTTTAATTTGATACAGCGCCTTTCACGTCGGGAGAACGATTCCACGCACTTAAAGGATATACTGTAAAGTGCAATGACTGTGTATTTTGTAGGCGAATGCCCACAATGTATTTAGAAAAATATGTATATGAGCTGGTTTTATTTCTGTGCAATTTATTTCATGTACACAATTATGTGTAATAACGGTAATTAAATGTATATTATTTTCCTTTAATTAATCTTTGCTGTGAGGCTACATAGTTAAGATTCAAATAAGTTCTCAATTGTAAAATTTTAAGAATCCTTATGGTTTCCAGTACTTGTATGAATCGAGCATGAACTTCCTCAATCTTATCCTTGATAAACACTACTGTGAAATGCAGAACGTGATTGCAATTTTCCTATTTTAATAGGTGCATTGTGTTACGCTGACCTGGGTACCATGATCGTTAAGTCAGGGGGGGAGTATTATTATATCTTCGAAGCATTTGGTTCAATTCCTGCTTTCTTATACTCATGGATGAGTATAACTGTTTCAAAACCATCATCATTTGCTATAATCTCCCTGAGCTTTGCTGAATATGCAGTGACTCCTTTCTATCCTGGCTGTGTGCCGCCGCAGATGCCTATAAAGTGTCTTGCTGCAACAGCTATTGGTAAGTATCCTTCATGGATTTTTTTTCAACGATAGTTTCAGTCTGATTTATCAAACCTGGGATGCCTCTCATTGTATCCTTTGCTGATAATTCGAGTGCATGCACTCTGAGCATGTCTAAATTTCCCAACACGAGTGCGGTGACATGTTCCTGAAGCAGCTGTGGTCTACTGACGGCAAAGATGGTTACTAAATAAAGTAACCACAAAAAACCTCAACAGTTGGGAGTATCGTGGGTCGGTGGTTAAAAAGTGATCTCATAAAACACCAGAACAAATTCATACAGTAACTCCTGCATTAAACCCTCAAAATGGAATCTCCAAAGCAAACTGAATCAACAGCTCCACTGTACATATCCAGAGTCTATTGAATTATGTCCCAGATTTCATGGAGAATAGTCATCAAAAGATACAAAATGAGCACCAATGAATCCTCAGCAAACACTGCTGACATTGAATTCTAAATTTACTTTACGACACGTGCATGCAAGTGCAACTAAGGCAACAGAACGATATTGTATTTAATGCAATATAATCCTTGCATTTGATAACTTCAGATTTCACATTAAAAAGTAAACTGACCTCCTAAAAGGTTATCCACTTTTAAAAATCTACACAGCAGTGAAAGTACAAGTCACATTTGCTGTCTTATCCTCGTTTCTATTTTTTACATAAAATTATACAACTTTTAAGGGATAGAAACAGTACATTCAAGTCAACTAGTTGGTTCTGGTGTTTATATTTTACACAAGTCACCATCTCAGTTGTTTGTATTTTAAAAGAGCGATTCTCTTCATAATTTTATTTTTCCTCTTTGCAGTTTTAATTACACTGGTGAACTCATTCAGTGTCAAGCTTGCTAGCTATGCCCAGAATTTTTTCACTTTTGCCAAACTGGCAATAGTTGCTGTCATCATTGTAGCTGGCCTGGTTTTATTAGCACAAGGTAGGTTTTTCATGTTATCACATTAAATAAATAATATATATTTGTCTTGGAAGCATATTCTTCTGGTAAATCACATCTTTTGAACAAAACCTGGTTCTTGTGTCTTTGTTGCTTCACCCTGTATTTGGTAGCTTAATCAGTTACTTGTAAGTGTTATTAACTGATCAGTAGGAAACTTTCTCACAAAGCCTATGCTAAACAAGCAAATTTCATTTTGCTTAATTCTTTAGAGTAAGGAACATTTTTGGACAAAGGCCCATTAGGCTTTACAAGCTCGCCCCTTTTTGATTTTATCATTTATTTGTCAACTACAATAATCCCTAAATTTCCTCCCCGAGCAGCATTCTGTTTAACACATCAACTTAATGGTGCTTTTTGAAGATGTGGAGCTAAGTCGGTAATTGCTCTGCAAAGGTTTGAGTGCACTTCCCTGAAGTATAGATACAGGATAATTCCTGAATCTCATTAACAGATTCATACAAATTTCAGCATACTGCTCACTCCTTCACTTGAGTCATAATCCGCCCCCTCCACCTTAGTAGTTAATTATTTGGTTAACTCCATCCCAAAAGATATGTATTATTTGGAGTGATAGGGCTCTGTTCCTCCAAGGAGCAGACAGATGGGACACAGTTACATTTTATTTCCGTACAATGTAATCTACATAGTATAACATTTCTTATCTTTTGCAGGAAATACCCAGAATTTTAAAAATTCCTTTGACGGAGCTCATATCTCTTTTAGTGCTATTGGTTTGGGATTATATGGTGGACTTTGGTCTTACGATGGATGGTGAGCAGTTTATCTTGTTGAGGGCTGCTTTTGTGATTTTGTGTGATTCCACTGGATAGTACATATGATTCACATGGTTGACTTAAATGATTAGTAAATTTGCTGTTACCTTTCAATTTTAGACAATTAAGAATATCAATACTGCATATTTCAACAAGTTTCGTCCACAAAATATACAGTCAGTTCACTTTAGAGTATATTCTGTGAAGCGCTTTGAGATGTCTCAAAGACGGGATAAGGCGCTATATATCAAATGCAAGGATTATTATTATTATTAAGTATATAAATTGATAAAATAATCTGGGATAAAAGTGGATTTAACCTGACAATGGAAATTTTTACTGAATCAATATGCCTTCCTTTCCAGGAATCAGCTCAATTTCATTACAGAAGAATTGAAAAATCCCTATAGGTAACGTCCAACAGTTTTTATGTTCAAGGAGTAAAAAAAATATTTTCTGTGAAGAAATGGTTGAAAATATTTGTAAAAAAATCAACAACTTAGCACACCTGATTGCACTGTAGTTGAGATCAACTCATTTATCATTGACCAACCAGGAACTTAATGTGCCTGACACCAGACACAGCTCTGATATTTGGCTGATTTATAATAGCAAATAGAAGCTGGAGTTTAGAGTCCTCCGTCTTCTATTTGACCTTGTTTTTTGTGGTATAATAGTAACTACAGAAGGATGAATGATTATGTGCAGGATAGGTTGCCTTAATTAAGATGCTGTTATGAAAAAAACTTACTAGTGTTATGTTTTTTAAAGCCTTTTAATAAGAAATTGTAGCTTATGTAGATAATACAGTATCAGCAAATATTTGTCAAAGCTTTACACTTTAAACTGTTCCTAATAGGACCTAATTATCTGTGTTTAACAGAAATCTTCCACTCGCCATCATCATTGGCATTCCCTCTGTGACTGTTTGCTACATCTTGGTTAACGTTGCATATTTCACAGTCATGACTCCAACAGAACTGTTGCAATCTTCTGCTGTTGCAGTGGTAAGTAGCTCTCCACTGCTCATGCATTACATGCAGTCAAACATATTAAAGCACCAACCATGTCAACCACCCCCTTGGAGCAGTACTGACCGATTTCCTGTAATAAACCACCTCTATTCAGCAACCACTTGTCAAAAACAACCAGTACCCACGCTTTTTTTTGTTTTTAGCCCTATTGGTATAGATACCCTTTTCAGTAGTTGAGTTGAGTCCTATAGCGTAATGGTTACAACACTCGTCTCTTAAGCGTCTCGTTACCCCACACACCTCTGTTAACAGTAACAGTAAGTAGGAACTCAATTGTTAGTCGATTGGCGGATCACTTTTCTAGGGATAATAATCCCTCAAAAAATAATAATTTGGTGACTTGATCCATGACCGTTTGTGGGACACTGCTGTGCGCAATTGGCTGCCACTTTTCACCCACTAGATATACAGTCGATTCACTTTACAGTATATTCCGTGAAGCGCTTTGAGACGTCTCGAAGACGTGATAAGGCGCTATATCAAATGTAAGGATTATTATTATTTAGTCCAGTCCTCTGAGGGATTATTGAAAACAGGTTTGACTGTATGACTAGAATTTCCTATTGAGAAAGTTAAGAAAGCTAAAGTTCAACCCACAAACATAAGTTGTCATATAGGCGAAAGAAAATATATAAGAGTCTACAACTGTTACATAAAAAGCCTCTATTCAATCACATATTTATTTGTATTTTTCTAAACACAGACATTTGGTGATCGGGTACTCACACCAGCAACTTGGATAGTTCCTCTCTTTGTTGTGTTTTCTACTTTTGGAGCTGCCAATGGTAGTTGTTTTACAGCTGGCAGGTAAATTAAACAAAACCAGTGCCGTTTCTTTCTTAGGCTTTACTATTGCCACAAACTATTCTTGTTCAGTGGTAATTTGAGGCAATCTTCTTCCAGCCCCGTGTGAAGGATATGCTTCAGTCCAGCTTCTAAGAAATGAAAAAAGAAAGCAGCCCAAGTTGATTAATTTCCCTTACTTATAACTGGAATCTCCCAAATAACGGGATCAGGGACATGAGTTTTTTTTAAAAAAAACAATATTTTTATGTTGCTAAGATTAGGAATTGATTGTGGGAAAATGTAGGCAAAACCCTTTTGTTATTCATTCATGCACCAATATCTTCCATTCCTTGTTGCCTGTATAGCATATTCTCATGCAAAATTGTTTTATTTCATCTTGATCAACTCATAATTGACCTGAAAACTATTGTGCATTTAGGCAACTGTTTGATTTTCATATTTTCTTGTTAACAGACTTACATACGTTACTGCCCGTGAGGGTCATATGCTTAAGATTCTGGCTTACATCAACGTTAAGCACTTAACACCTGCACCAGCTCTCATTTTCAATGTAAGTTATTCATATTTTGCCTTGGAAGATTTATATATTTGGTCATTCTGCGGCTATTGGGTATCAGGCTACTAAAGATGAGTCATGGAGGGTAGTAAGCAGGTATAACCCACAGCTAATAATAGTACAAATCCACTGCCATTTTTACAATCACAAATGTTCTGAGACTGTAAAATTTGTACCAATTATGTATTTTATAACAATGTGATTTATTTTCTCCAGGGAATGCTAGCTATTATCTACATCATTCCAGCGGATCTAACCACTCTTCTAAACTATTTCAGTTTTTCAGTCTGGATTTTTTACGGACTGACTTCCTTTTCACTAATTTACCTGCATTTTGCAAGAAAAGATCTGGAAAGACCAGTTAAGGTTAGATGTGTTGGGATCTTTTTTTTCTTTCTCATGGGGTATAAATAAGTGGTTGATAATTATACTTATTCTTTACAATAAACATTTGTTTTGCAGGAACTGTAGTACCTCATCTCAATAGGAGTTTGTTCTGCTTTTACAATTAAAAGTAACTTCTAGAAACAGTAACCATTTCCCTGTATACAGTTTGGGTAAAGACTATGCAGCACAGTTTGTTAGGATTTGATTTGCCAAAGTTGTGTGTGCTTTTCAATTATTAAACTGTTGGTTTTTTTCTTGTTTCAGGTTCCTGTAATTATACCAGTTATTATGACTCTTCTCAGTATCTACTTGGTTTTCGCTCCAATCATTGAACAGCCAGAACTGGCATACTTGTACTGCACACTCTTTATTTTGGGAGGACTAATAATCTATTTCCTATTTGTTCACTTGCGCTTCAGCTGGACTCGCACCTTGATGAGTAAGAAGAAAATTCTTTAATGTCTGAATAGCTCTTTGAACCAAGATGTGAAAGGCCCCTCACAAACTGATGCTTCTGGATATCATGGGCAAGATATGGATTTGAAATTGGCCAAAGGGAAGAAGCAGTGGGTGGTCATTAGGGAAGCTAGATCAAGATTAGGGGAAGTATTAAGCAAGGTACACAGAGATTCTGTACTGGAACTCCTTGTGTAGTTGTGAAAATGGATGCTGGGTGACACTGCCAAAGCACTAGAGTTCAGATCCTCAGAAGTATATCCAATCTCAAGGTTTAGGGGGACATATGGTAATTTCAGGACAGCCACAAGTAAGGGTTTCTATACCCAAAAAGAATTTACCAGGAAAGATAGCTGAGGCCAGAACACTGGAAACACAACTTGATTCTCCGTTGGGAGGAGTGGGTATGCTGGGTGGATGGGATCAAATGGGCACAAGGGTCATCATCTGAGAACCTCTCATGATCTTGTGACATGATCTTGTGGGGTTTTGAACCCCATCAATAATTCCATGTTAAGCTGTATTATGCACTATATTGATACTCGTGCACTGCAATAATTGCCATTATTGACATAGCTAAAGACTTTCTTGTAAATATCTAAAAGTACTTTCTTGGAAATGATCTGATTCAATTTACAAGATGTAAATGATGGTTTAAAATGGAACATTTGGATTTAATTGTTCCTGATTCCACTTGGCTCCAATAGTGGGAACTAATACACTGGAGGGAATGTATGTACTGGTACATACTGCTCTGGCACAAATGTTAGCAAACCAGTACAGAATATTATTGGAACACGCATGTAAAATCCATCTGTTATGCTATACCCTTAACTTTTAGTTAATTACTCTGCTGAAAAAAATGACTTTTTCTTCTTTCCAGATCCCATCACCAAACATATTCAGCTGCTTTTGGAAGCAGCACCACCAGAGAGTCAAATATAAAAGTACATATTGCTTTACTTTTATACCTCCCTCTGCTTTTAATGAAGGAAAAGGCACAGAAGAGGCCTTTCAGTAATGCAGCTCTACAACTAACAGTTCTTAGGTACAAAACAACATTCAGTAGTACCCTATGTAATTTTCTGTTCAACATTATCTTGCCAAGTATGGTTAAAACTGGGGCTTTGAATCTCCTACAATTCCCAACAACATTGTATTATACACTGTATTGATACTCATGCACTGCAATAATTACCATCATTATTATTGTTTAGTAAATGGCTAAAAACTTTCTGGTAAATATCTAATAATACTTTCTTGTAAATGGAGGCTTAGCTCTTAATGTTCCAAAATGTATACCACAGATGTCTAACTCTTATCATCCTTAGTTTCACCTCTTAAGTTGAAAATTCTTGAACCTAATGAGTTCAGAATTCTGATTAATACTATTTTTATCAATATAATTTACACTACATTTTATATTACAACCAATGATTCTAGCAAAAGATTTGTGGCATACAGTAACAGCCCTGTAGAAATTCAACTAAATGGCCATTAATTTTTGATAATTTGTATTTGTATTTACATTTTTTTTCTCACCATTGACTGTTCATGGAGTTCACATTGATTGTTGTGCTTTGTAAATAAGTTTAAAAAAATAAATTGGCGAACTATTACAGCATATAAAGTGCTCAACTCAGTCACAATTTTGTGTGGATTCCTTTCTAAGAGATGTCATTATCAAATACTGCAAGTCATTCCCAAACAATGTTATTCTATTTGCTTAGACGGGTTACTCTTTAATTTCAAGTGCAGGTCGATGGGGTTTTGAGACTTTTTTTAAAAAAACGATCTGGTTTGGAGCAAGCTCTTATTCTATAACTACCGGTCACTGTATCTTGTTGCCTAAAATGCAAATCTGTGTTTTCATTTCCTCCTCTCTCTTCCCCCCACCTCCCCCACCCAAAACACAATTGGTCACAAAGTTTTTTTCAGTTTGGGATCAATACGCAAAGTATAGCAAGAACTAACACTCTGAAAAGATACTTTGGGAGGTCACAGTTTAATTTGAGTGCATGAATCCATGTAATTATGATCAAAGAAACAGCTGCAATACAAAATGGGAAAAAAGATAAAACATTATTTGTCCATAAGCCCCTCAGGTAAGAGTTATAGAAAAATGAGAAAAGAAGCCCAAATGCTAATGTGAAGGTATCAGAGCAGAAGTTACCTAAATCTTAGTTTTGTTTCGCTGTTAACATGATTATCAAGTGAATGCATTGTGATTATACTCAAGCTGTAAAACTATCAATGAGGACTCAGATTACATTTTTTTCCATCATTTATCAAGAGACAACACTTCTCTGCAATTGTAGAATAAATCACAATGACTCATCCAAAATGAGAAAGAGAATGGGAGATAGGAGGGAGCAATCAATAGATAGCAAAACCTTCAGCAATGTGCAATTTCAATTATTGGATTTCTCACAGAAAAGCAGAAAATGAAATAGTTGAAACAGTGACTGGACATAAAACCAGGCTAAATTTTTGTTCTTATTATTTTTATAGTACCATTAGGGGATTCAATTGTTGACAGACAAGAGTTTTCAGAATAGCCCCATTACCTGGTTCTTTAGTAATCTTCTTCAGAACTGTCACTACTACTAGTGATACAGCCCGATTCATCAACGGCAGGCTCTATCACGCTGTGAGACCTTTCCCGAGTATCTATCAATAATTAATCAGAAAAACAAGTAGTCATTTTTATTGCACCAAATTTTATTTTTAAGTTTTAAAGTTCAAATATAAGTCCACTATTTTCTGCAACTTAAGTAAACTATTTTAATATTCAACTAAATTAATAATTCAATTCTTGCAGCAGGGCCAGTATGCTTTTTCCCTTTAGAATTAAGGTGAAGCCCCACCACAACGCGTTAGGCGTCCATAAAATGGCAATTTGTACTATTACTGGGCTCAATAGCCAGTCTGCGCTTCCTCATGCACTGAGCAAGAGCACAGAAAGGTGACCACCACTGGTTCACAATGCCAACCAATGCACAGAAAGCCAAAATGACCAACTTCTGAGTTATTATCATATTGTCACCAATGTTATTTTCCTGTGCACATGCTCAGCACACATGAAGTAACATTGCAACAACTTGCTTACCCAGAAGTCATCCATTTTAGCCTCTGATCTGCTGCAGTTGAAGCTTGCTCATTTTAGATTTTTTGTAACTGCACCAAATTGCTCTATAACCAAACCTGCACTATAACAGGGCTCTATTTTATTAGATGTATCTGTAAATATTAGGTATCAAGTTCTGGGAGTGTTTTTAATGTGGATTACAAATCAAGAATCAACATGTTGTTGGAAAAACCGTCACCATTTAGAAAAATGAATTATGAAGAAAGGTTTATTCTGAACAGAAGAGGTAATTAAATCACACTGAAGCATCTTACCTTTAAAAATTGGAAGAAATGATTCATCAGACAAATCCTCAAAATAATTAAAATCAAAAGTCACATTTGGATTCTGAAGAAAAATAACAGATGAAAACAGAAATTAAAACCACTTATTGCTTTTTATGTTATCTCAGCTTTTGAGACTTGGAATTCAATTCTACAGAATTATTTTCCCAATAACCCGGTCCCTGCTCAGTACATTTTCATCTCCTCCGCTTCAAAAGTGTACAAGCACCACCCCCACCACTACTAACCTGTACAGTACACAGTGCGCTAGGACTCAGGCTTCTCGTGCTGTTTCCTCAACTTGTGGGTGGAGTGGGCTCCGGTTGTACATTGTGCAGCCCCAGGGAGTGTTGGGATCACGGAAGCGGCATGAGCGGAAAATCCGACTTTGCCCGGCACCTGTGGCCTCACCTGACCTCTTGCCCCAATGCTTGATAAGTGCCGTATTCAGAGCACATGGTTTGTGTGTACATTGTTGGTTTTGATTTAGTGACTGTTGACAAGTATTGTAAACATGCCACCATGGAAAGTCCACTCTCTCCTTACGTGAGAGTGGACTTAATCAAAAACAGTGAGGGCAAAAGTCATAGATAGTTAACTGTGTTCTATGGCATTGGCAGAACACAAGTTGGATGCATTCTCTAAAGGTAGGCTGAATACATGAGAGCTTTTGTTTTAAATGTGATGACTTTATTTTAATGAGATTGCAAATTATGGCTGTTGAATGTTCATCACCCTTGCCCATCACCAATGCCCTTAACATTACATCAGTAACCTGAATCACCTGACCTGTTTCAGTAAGCAGGTCACCTCTGAGTAGGAGAAGTTGGGGCAGACAAGTTTGTAGGGCTATGGGGAGAGCGCGGGGGAGTGAGATTGATTTGGATAGCTCTTTTAAAAGAGCCGGCACAGAATGGCCTCCTTCTGTGCTGTATAATTCTATGATTCTATGACGTAAGTCACTTTTGCCCAGTCCCTTGAGTGACTGGATTAGTGAGGTTCTATTGTACTAATAGGAATGGTAAATCAATTTAGGATTGGATGCTTGTGTAAAATTCAGAAATGATCCATGATTTTGTTTACAACAGCAAAGATGACAACTGAATTACTTCAAAGTTACCTTTGATTTTAGCAGATGCTTCCATGTACTTTTCTTTTCTTTGCACAGTGTTATGACAGGCTCTTCACTTATAATGACACATGTGCACTTGTCTTCCAAAATACAGCCTTGAAGTTCCAAATCTGCTAGGTACAATTTGGCACCAACAAAGGCACTACAATTTAAATGTTTGGTGTCAAAAAGATTTGAGCTCAAAAACGTAACCAGGAACAATTCTGCATATGTAATTCAATACCTCTTCAATCTCACCTGAACACCAGTCTGTATTTACTGAATTCACATACATGTTGTGCAAAATTTCGTAACTTGATATTAAGAACAAGACAATCTTCTTTTTGAAACCAGGTTATTTTAGGGTGAAAACTGCAAAAATATATCAAAGAAGTCAAGTTTAAACAGACTGTCCAATAAGCTTAGTGAACAACTTGATACGCGTAGATTATAAACAATGATTATCACGTATGAAAGCTTAAGTATAAAGGGTGACCTCTTGTGATCCATACTTGATTGAGTTGTCCTCTTTCTAGTGGCATCCATAATACCTGTTCAGAAAATGTACATACATAAACTGATCACATTTATTGCAGTAACATTTTTGGGAAGGGTAGAACAATTTGACAGATTAAATTATAAATTTGAATACATTAGATTTGTTTTATGAAATTAAGAGGATGAAAGCCTAGAGTTTCCAGTGATGTCTATCCATAACTATCATTGATGCCTTCAGTATTGATGTTTTGCGATCAAATAGAAGTTGTTTTTTGTGTTTAAAAAAAACTCAAGATGTTTTTTTAAATCAACTACCTATGTATAATTCACCAATCATCCTTACATATAATTTGGCTCACATTATAAAACATCTCTTTGACTTAAATATGCAGGAAACAAAATGACTTCCAAACCCAGCGAAGGCCTTTGAAACAACTATCAAATAGTACAGATAAAGGGGTAAATACTTTGCATTCAAAGAACTTGTATGTAGTTTCCAAAAAGATTGGCCACAAATCTTAGACTATTAAAATTCTCAAGTGCTTTCAACTTTACAACTGAGAGTTGAGCAGAGCCAAATCTGAATAAACTTGTTTGAATAGAACAGTAAAGATGTAGATGTAATGAGCACTACAAAAGCCATATCTCTAAGATTTTAATTTTTTCAAAAAAATCTGAGAAACTATATTACAGTTCTCACTTTGTACCAACAGAATAAAGTTCTGTAAAGTCGTACCAGAATTTTCTTGATTGAGGGTTGTATCATTTTCCAGGCACTGCTGTGCAGTATTTAAATTTGCCAGGGAAAACTTCAAATTACTCATGAGTTTGTATGAAACTTCCTGGCAAGGTATGCTTGATAAAAGCCTAAAAACATTGAAGAAGACATCATTTCATATTTACTTTCTAATGCAGTTTATTTAGTTACAATTAACGCCCAATGTGTTACATCTAAAGTAATTTATTTTACTATATTTTCCTTGGTTATAGAATGCTCTCTGCACAAGCAGAAATCACTTATCATCGTTTTTCAGACTGTAGCAATACATACCTGTCAACAGTCAAATTAAGTTCACTTGCCAGCATCAAGTTCAAATTCTGTGGTTTGCCACTCAGGTGACACAACGTTTTCAGAACATTTTCCAAAACCTAAGAACAGGTTTTAACATGAATTAAGCACTGTCACTGGTTGTGAACCAGGATTTTTTCAAAATTCCATACTGTATTTTTGTATTAAATACATTTAGATGCATTAAACTATAATGACAATACAATTTAAATCATGAATGGATCACACTAAAATGTCATATTAGCACAGAGGTTATGCAAGAGTTTTAGAAACCTATTTAGAGACCTATTCTCTGCACAACAATGCTTAATTTTCTCTGTATAACTCACAAGTTTAGTACAGACAAACAGTCTGATCATACCTCTCCTCTTGCAGACTCATGAAGCTTTGTGCAAAGATGCCCAATAATTTGTTGGTCTTCAACCTCTTTACAAGCCCTGCAAAAGTACTAGGCTTAGTAAATGTATAAATTTGTGCATGAAATAGCATATTGTGTTAGAAAATCAATCTCAAATTACAATGGCATATAATTAATTCTCCTAACCCCCAAAACTAAAATATAATGAATGATGCCCTCAGAAAATAACTTGGGATAAATTACTGACAAAAATAACTAAAAATAATAGGCAAACATATGGCTCTGTGTTCTTCAGAACTTTGGCTAAAAAGTAGCTTTCGTGCTAATTATTAGGTAGGTAAGAACAATTATACTTTTTCCTGTGTGGATATAGGGAGGGGAAAGCAAAGTCTGCTTTCTAAATTCTTAAAAGCAGATGTTTTGATGGCAACAGGTTAAAAGAGAACTTCACAGAATACAACCACTTCCTGCTCTATGCAGAATTATCATTTTTAAATCATTCCCCCCTCTTGCGTTAGGTTATACAGATAATAATAATAATAATAATAATAATAATCCTTGCATTTGATATAGCGCTTTTCACGTCGGGAGGACGTCCCAAAGCGCTTCACAGAACACACTGTAAAGTGAATTGACTGTATATTTGTGGGCGAACGCGGCAGCCAATTGCGCACAGCAATGTCCCACAAACAGTCGTGGATTGAAAATGACCAATTTATTATTGTTTTTGGTTTTGGAGGGAATATTATTAGGCTCTGTGTGGAGTAAGGAAACTTGCCCAAGGTTTCGCCCTGCCTGGAATTGAACTCAGGTCTCTAGCTTGCAAAGCGAGTGCTCAACCACTGAGCTACAGGACTCCACATAAACATAGTCTGAAAATATCTGATAACAAAACAGTTTAAAAACTTCCACCCTCAAGTACAGGGGGTGGGGGGAGTGGAATAATATCAAGGTAGGTTTTTTGCTTGCGACAAAAACATTTAAAATAGTCTGAACTGTTGAGGTAAGGTGATTTTGTGTTACACAATTTTACAGCCTTTTAAAGGAACATAATTATTCTGTTGGCACAGTACCAACAGTCGTTCTTTATACCTGTCTGAGAAAAGAAGTGCAGCCAATGCTCCAACAGCAGCTTCCCATATTCTATCTTCAGCTGGTGTTTTTAACAACCAACATAAGTGTTTCAATGCATCAGTGTCAGCAATAGCTGAGCGCAAATCACTGTTTTCAGCTAGAATCCCAAGTGCAATACAAACAGATTCTTGTAACATTGAATCGGTTGACTCTAAGACCAAAAGGAAAAGCATGAAAAAGTGTTCAATTAGCACTTTCCTCCAAAATTTTAATTATAACATTGAACAAAGCTCTGAAAAGAGGGTGAATAGATAATAATAATCCTTGCATTTGATATAGCCCTTTTCACGTCTGGAGGACGTCTCAAAGCACTTCACAGAATAGACTGTAAAGTGAATTGACTTTTTTTGTGGCTGAAAAGCAGCAGTCAATTGCGCACAGCAGTATCCCACAAACAGTCGTGGATTGAAATGACAAATTTATTATTTTTTCTTGAGGGATTATTTTCAGGATGTGGAGTAAGGAAACTTGCCCAAGGTTTCACCCTGCCGGGAATTGAACCCAGGTCTCTCACTTGCAAAATATTTATATTAAACATAAAATGATTCTGTCTCACCGTGGAGAAGGTTCACAAGGGTGGAAATTCCCCTTTCTTCTATGATTTCATCAAATTTTCTGAAAAGAAAGACTCCTAATTTTAATATTTTATAATTTAAAAAAATTAGAGAAAGAGTGATTACAAAGTAGCCAAAACATTTAAGTGCAAGATTGTACTGAATTAATTACATTTCAGGTTTGTATAAAACTATGACTTTCAAAGCATCTAAAGCACTTTCAAGTGATTTAAAATGTAACATCTATAAAATAGGATTTGATCGATTATCTATTAACCTCTAAAAATAGGGTTCAATTTTCCTAGGCACCTCTGTAAAATTACCAAAGTACAAATAAATGTCAACAGGCAGATATCCAATTCAGAGTGAGCCTGTCTGTATAACTGCTAAAGGCTAAAGCAGGAGAAGCCTTTGAATTGACATTCCCAATAGATTTTACCATTATTATGCTCTTTTCTCCTCATCGACCACAAGCTTAGTCTCTCTCCAAAACACACAATCCTAATACTCAGCACAGGTTTGTTAGGATTAAACTGCAACTTTACTGCCATCTTGTGTTACTCCGGTGCAAAACCTGCACTGTACTGATGTGCAATCAATTAAACCTCGTTCTGCGTAGGCTCAACACATAGCTCACCTTATATTCAGCTTTGCCATATACATTATAGCAGCTACAAGATCAGCTTGTTCTGTTGGTGCAGGTAAGAATCTCAGCAGCCTACACATGTAGCGCATATCACCCAATTCCGATGCATAATCCACAGGGTATTGCAGCACTTTGTTTTTTATCTCTTCCAGTATTGTTGCCCTTAATGAAGAGGCTTTAAAATAAAATGCACACATTTATTCAGCTCTTAAAATTAGCATCAAAAGTGTTCATCAATTTTATATTCACATATGCACTTACAATTTTTATTGCCCAAAAGAGCATAGACTGAAGAACACAGGCCTGCAACCGAGTTGCTTTGGCTATTTTCTGCAGCCGCTTCAGGAAATAACTGATTTAAAGTTGTAGGCGTCCCTCGACCTTGCCCTTTAGATATAATCCATTCTGATAGCTTCACAAAACTTTCATTAGAAAGATCTTGCATATCCACATGGTAACACACTGCACAAGCTACAAAAGGATTTTAAAAAAGCCTTTAAACATGCATTTCATCATTTTATTGAGATATTTTACTAAAAAAAATTATCACAAAGTTCGCTACACTATCAATTTCAACGCTTATCAAATCAAAAGTTAAAACTAGGACATGTGCAGCTGTTTAGTACAATATTCATTCTTTTATTACAAGCTTGAGTACTACCTGTATGCCATTAAGACCATTTATAAAAAAAAATATTTTTTCCCTTTTTTGAAGTTAAGAAAATCTGCACATTCTGCAATTATTAGAATTTTTAGCAAGGAAACTGGGAATCCCTAAATGATTTAAAATGTATAACTGTATATAATTTATTTTAAAAAAATTGAAGAATATGAACAGTTGACCAAAGAGAACAATAAGGTATATCCAAGGCAATATCACAGGAAATAAAAAGATTCATCAGTTTCTCCAACATTATTGGTATTAAATCCAAATAAATATTTTGAAAAACACTTTAGCCTGACCTGAATTAAAAAAAAACTCCAGGTGTCGTCAATTAATATTAACTCACTTTCAGCATTTTTACTTTGTTTGATAACTTTAGCTTGAAGTTTCTTGCCCTTAAAGGTGATCTGCATGGATTTGTTACCCTCCAGCTCACATCTATCTCCCACAGGCTCTGTTCCATTCAGAGAACACCAGATAGCCTACAATATCAAACAAGTATAATTTTTACTAATCTATTTTCACAAACATTCATAGTCGACAATATAGCCAAACATGATACTTTAAAAATAGCAGAAATAGTTTAAAACTAAAAGCAAATTTCTAGTTGATTAATAAATGTACATTTACAATAAAGTTAGTGAATTTAAAATGTGTGTCAAGAGGCATCAGAGTTCTTATCCTATTGAGAATTGTTGGTAAAGATGTTCATAATTGAAAGTTTTCTCTTTTTAATTTACCCAATGTTATAATACAAGTTACCATTTTCAAAATCAATGTACAGGTATTCAATGCACTTTGAGTTAAAGAATTGAACTGACCTGAAAAGGAAGGTTAAAATCAGCTTTGGCTAAATGTTTAATTTTGTTCAGGGAAACCCAATTGCAAGAACCAGAATCCATATTGAACACCTGATATTCTCCTTTGGTCTCAGCAGATGACAGGATCTTTCCTCTATACCACCTAAGGATTTTTTAAAAATATGTAAAGCTGAAAAGGGTTATCTAGGAGGCACAATTACAGAAAAGCAAAGGAATAATAATAGTATCCAGCCAAGGTTTATATGCGTGCATGCAGAAAAGGGAGCAGAGGGGAAGAGAAGCTTTGGGGAAAGATAAGAGAAATGCTGACAATATATTAGTTACCTCTTCTCAGTTCCACTGAATGCCAAGCACAAATCACCAACAGCTGGTGAAATAAAAGCTTCTTTTTCTATAGCAGTTTGGTTAATCTCATCCTCCAAAGTACAGAGTCTATTTAGCAACACAAAAAGGTGTTGAAATTTAGAAAATGTAATCTACATAAAACATTTAAACACTTGAAAAAATAACACATTTCTGCAACAATATAGATTTTCTTACTTTTTCTGAGTCGCTACTAGTTGCACATAAAAGTCATGTGGATTGGAAAATTCAGATATAATGACTGAATGGTAATTTCCATTATCCTCCAGTATGGAATATTTTAACTCTTTACTGTTGAGTTGTAAAAAAAAGTTAACATCTGCATTAAGTTTAATTTCATTCATAGCTACCTTGAACATAATTCAAACCATCTAAATTAAGGCTGTCAAGTTACCATTTGTATTTGCTGAATCTGGTGTTTTTCAAGTTCACATGAATTTAAGGGTGGCCAAGTATTTCATCACTGTTATGATAGGAAAATGTTTTGATCCAACATTCCCTCCCTAACCAGTGAGTTTCTAGTTTTGGCCAAGTTTCACGGCAAGTTGCTGGACACAACCAGAGTTAAAAGAATATAAAGAAATGAAAATAAATCTTATTTCATAAAATGCAGAGCAATTGAGAGAGGTATTACAGATGGGGACTTCAAATTGCAGAATAAATTGAGGGGGGGAAAAAAAAGTTAAAAGCAAAAAAAGGTTCATCTTTAAAACATTGACCTCACAAATGTATCAACTACACAGATTTCCAAATGTATTTTACTGCTATTGATTACCATTAAAAAATAAAAATTAAGATTTATGGTGTACAAACTAATTAATTGGAATGTTGTGTTAATTTCATAGCAACCTACTCAGAATCCGCATTGGATAAACTAGGACCCGCTCTCTGATAGAGTGATTTTAGCTTTTCAATGTGCTCTGGATTATCAGTTCCAAATCCAGAGTTCATGATCTCTGAGCGAACATTATATTCAGTTATTGTAGTTTTCACATCAGCCAGCTTTATCACACGGACCTTAGTAACAGAGACAAGATGTTAGAACAAAATATTAATAACTATTTGGTTTTGGATTGCATTGTATAAAAAATATGGCACCTCAGATCTACACAACAGTATACTCTTAATGCACATAGAACTCTACATTTTACAGCAACTTGTTTTTAATCTTTGAAGAAATTAAATCAAGTTCCACAAGAATAAATAGAAATTCTCCAATATTGCAACATGTTCAACATCACCAATTAAACATTTCTAACTTAAAAAGGTACAATGGAGAGTCCAAAGCCCACAAATATTAAATCTTACATATATTTTGCACTTTACTCAGTAGCCAGAAGATTAATACTGTAAATAATGAAGCAAGCGGCTCCTCACACTCACCACAGGATCCAGCCATAGTGTGTTACCAACAGCAAAGACAATTTTAGCTTCATGTAGTTTACCAGTGATTTTTTGTTTGATAGGTCTCGAAATCTGGTTTAAAATCAGATATTAAGTTTTGGTTAAAACAGAACTACACAGAAAATAACACTTTTCTGTGGCACAAAAACTCAAACAAAATGAATGGGTATGAAGCAAAAATGATTAATCTTGTAAGTTCAGTATCAGAACACGAGTATATAACAATTCTTCAAACTTTCATAGCTTACCTGTGGATTCCAGTCCATTTCATTGTCAATAGGTTTCACTCTACATACGACAAATTCCACAGCCTGCATTGGCAAAAGCTGAAAGTGTGCAGGCAGCTGGAGCAGCTGGTTCTGCCTGACTAGTGCCATTTGACCACAGTCGATGTACTTTACTTCTACATTGCTGAAAACTGTATCGTCAACTTCCTCTGGCAATGATATTAACTGCACCCTTTAAAACAGAACAGAAAAATGCTACTGAAGTTTTCTTCCCCTCTCTTAGTGTGACGGTAATGACTCTTGCTGGAATACAGTTCAACGAGGTCTATAGATTTTCTTGTACCTCACTCACGTGGCCATTCTTCATTAAGGAGTCAGGCTCTGCCACTGTTAAGTGCTCTGAGATGCTACCCTGTGTAGAGGGCGCTATATAAGTGCAAGTTGTTGTTGTTAAGCAGCCAAGTCAATAAGATTAGAAGGTTACTCAACCTTGGGACATTACATCAGTCTCATCCTATCCTTACCTGATATCCACATGGACATTGTTCAGCAGAGGATGACAATACAATAATCAAAAGTGGGTTTAGTTCACTTTAGCTTACTGCAATCCACAGAACAGACAAGTGAATTTGGTTCACAGCCCATTATATCTAACTCTAAAGATTAACGGATTATTTGTAAATGCATGTAATTCGTGGAAAGGATTAAACCTCACCTTCAAAATTTGTTTGGATCCTAGTTACATTTAACTGGCTAGAGCAAAATATACAAACTGCCTTAGGATTCACTGTAAAGTGGAATGACTATGTATCTGTGGGCAAATAGACTCAGTGCAAATTGACTTTTTCAGCTTATTGGCAGAAATCCATTGATGGGGGCTGGGAGGATGAAGATGCCAACATATTTACATAATGTAGATAGAATTCTTTCAATACATGCATGATTTTTGACAAACATTTATGTTTATAAAACAGTTTATGAAATTGCTAATTCACTTACTTTCAACATGCTTTTCTAGTAGATATTTACAAAGTATAAAAGAGGGAAAACACCTTTTAGAACCTAATCTGCTATGTATTTACTAGATTTCTGTACTTTTAGGGTCTTGTTGATAGCTGCAAAATAAATGCCTCTTTTTACCTGCTATATGTGCTTTCCTCAATTCCATAAAGAGCAGACACTTGCAGTTGTTTAGCTGGTTGTCTATGACTCTCATCCGCATAGAAGTCTGTCAGATCTTTCAACATCTTCAGATAGTTCTCCTCCATTGAAACTGGGGAATTCGTCCACTTCTTTCTGTGACTTATTATTCGTCCAAAATAGCGGGAAGCCTCTTTGACACACATTGGAATAATCTAGACAAATTTAAATTTACTGGATGTGAGAAAAATAATCTATTCCATCCCCTACAAACGTACTTCATTGGGAGAATCTTAATTTTTCGAAGAAAGGTATTCTCCACACATTCAGAAGAAAGCACTGGCCAACCAACAGAAAATAAATCACTTGTTTCAATCTACACTTGCTTATCATCTGAAATATTATTGATTTTGTGTTGTTCACTCAATCATCTTTTCCTGTATACAGAAAGGTGCCTCCCATGAATTTATGCAGTAGTTATTTTCTACAAGAGAATGCAGATCAAATGATTAATACTGTGTGCAACTGGCATAAGAAATAAAAATGCAGAGCAGATCCATCAGGATCTAAAAGGAGGCACAGAGGCTAACAATTTGGTCTTGGATGAAGGGTCACATGCAAACATTAAGATCAAACAGAGTCAGCATTTCCGATATACCACTCACACATGCCATGTTCAGCAGATTCCAGAATATCCTACTACACAGAGAAAAATGACAAAAATTAAATGAATACATTAAAAGTAAATTCATTCTCAAGAGAACACATCAAAATAAGGACAATTTTACCTCAATATATCCTGTTGATGGTAAGTTATTTCCAATTGTAAGACATCGTAGCTTATCTACAACTGGGTGAAGCCGATGACGATCGTTACAAAATTTTCTATTTCTATAAACACATAATACAAATATTAGTTGACTATTCAGTATGTTAAATGCATAAATTCCAATCTACACAATTAGTGTTAGTTCATTGTTGCATGAATCTTTACAGAATGCAACATTAATATACTAAAACAGCCCCTTGTGACATCACCCCCGACATGAAAGGCACTAAGTAAATACAATTTATTGTAGTTTCGTAACTTTAACCCTACTGAACAAACCATCGGTAATTCTACATACCTGCATACTCCTTGCATCTTCAGGTATTTACATAAAGATTTTTCATAATTTTCTTTGTCGTTCAAACCAGCAGTAAATTCATACAATTCTGTAGGAATCTTAGCCTCTGTTCTTTCTAAGTAGCGCAGAATAGCAGCTGCCTGATGTGCATTTTTATCAGTCATTAGTGCAATTGATTGTCTTTGAGGAGTTAATCCCTGGTGGTAAGAGTTCATTTGCGTTAGTACAATAGAGCTTCATTTGTGCTGAATAATAATAATCCTTGCATGTGATATTGCGCCTTATCACATCTTTGAGATGTCTCAAAGCATATACTGTAAAGTGAATTGACTGTATATTTTGTGAGTGAAACATGGCAGCCAATTGGGTACAGCAGTGTCCCCCAAACACACGTGGATTGAGTGACCAATCTATTATTACCCCCGGAAAAACGATCCTCCACTCAAGTAATAACTGGATTCCTATTTACTGCTAGATAAGCAGAAGCATGTGTAATAAGGAAACTTGCCCTACTGTTCTCTAGCAGGTAAAAACAAATGTAATACACTTTAAAAAAAAGTGCTTTATTTTAATTTAAAGCATATGTAAAGCAAACTCACATACTCATTGTCATAAAAAATTCAGCTATGGTAAAAATCAGAAAGTGATCTTTTGGATCTTTTTCATTAACAAAGAACACTTTCCCACAATAACACAACTCATTACTTACCTCTACAATAAGATTCTCAAAATTGTCAACCATGCAACACAGGCGAGCTCCAAATGTCTTCCAAGAAGAAGGGAAACCATAATGGACTACACAGGTGGCATCTGTGATTCTTAAGGCCTGAATACATTCATCAGTCGTAACTGTCAGGCAAATTCATATTTAAATTAGGATTTCTAAATGCATAAAAACGTCTCAATTAATTGAAGTATCATGTGATGGTATCTGGAACTACTTGGATCACTAGCAATGTGGCTAAACAACAGTTTGACTATATCAAATGGTCAAATACTAATCTTTCTTTGTAGAAATGAGCAACTAATGAAAATACCATTACGTGTGAGGGGTGCTTTATAAATGCAAGTTGTTATTGTAGTTACTATATATATTAAAAATATGCCTGTGCATATTTAAAATTGAAGTGTTAAAATGCTCACCCAATATTACATGTGTGCCAGGACTGAATTCCTTATTCCACTGATCTACGGTATTGCTAAACTGAAATTTCTGTTCCCCATGGATCTTCATACAGTAATTGGAATTACTGTCCAAAGCCTAAAATGAAAGTTGTGAAAAAGTCACTATGTCAAATGCAATAATTAGTCTTAGAACAATTGCACTGTTTAATTATCCTTAATAAAGTACTTTATCAAGCTCATAACTAAATGGAGGAGATAAACCATGAATTTTTCTGTCACAATAATTTGCAAAGAAGCACAACAATGCATTTCAACACAATTTAACAGCTGCATTGAATGTCTGAACAAAAACAGAATGATACGCCAAGCATTTTTTATAAAGTGGCACAAGGTACTGTACAAGAAAAGGAATCTAACTTAATTGTAAGTATATAACTCAATTAATTCATAAGTTTGATTATTCAAAATACGCTTCCGTAAAAAAAAAGTAACCAAACAGAGGCACAAGGATTTTATCTGCACAAATACCTACTTTGAACACATGGTCCACCTCCTCAGCACAACTAGCAAAGATTACAGTCTTCAGGGATGTCTCAGAGGCAAAGTCCAAAATACTTAGCAAAACTGATGTTTTGTCACAATCCAAACAAAGATGTATCATCTAGTAACAAAAAAAACCTTAAAACAGATTTTCTTATTGCAAATAATAGTGATAGAAAAAGTTTCCAGTCAAACTCTAATTAGAAAACAAAATATTACAAACTACAAAATTATCTCAGCACCACAATAAGCAATGTACTTTAATGACACAAAATGGAATTTTCTTCTCTGTGATGCTTGAGATTACTGCCAAATACCACAATTTTCCTTTATAATACTAAATATTTTTCAGCAGACTTTGGGTTATAATTGACATTTTGATCAAAAGATCAAAAAGCAATGCTATATTATCAGTAAACTGGAGATAGTAAACAAAGATTTTCATATAGTTGGAGCACTGGCAGAAACTTGCACTACCCAAAATGAAATTAAAAGGAATTATTGCTCTTAAGACAGAATAAATGTTCACCATCAGTATTTATGTGACAATTCTAATAAATGCTAAGTGTGTGGCTAACATCGTTTCAATATATGTAGCAGAGCAAAAAAAGCTACAAGATGAATATATTTTTTTAAAAAAATCAGAATACGAATTGACATTAAATCTTCTACGGTAGTATAAGAGGATACAGAAAAGGGGTCAATGTATTTTTCAAATGGTTCTTTTAATACATTACATTCTGCTATACTAGCAAAGACTTTTCTTTTTAGAAAAGGTAATGGATATGTTATGACATACAAAGATGGCATCAGCATTAAATGACTCAGACCTAGCCACACGTCCCCAATACAAACCTGATGCACATTTCCATATAGTGCGGCCTCTTCCATGGCTGTTATGATAATATATGGATCACTTGGGGTTTTTTTAACCAGACATTCCATGCTCTTCGTCCAATGTGTTCCAACAGCTATCAGTTGTTGTGGTGTTGATTCTCTCTCTGGAACACTGATGGCCTCTTTGTAGCACTGTAAGATTGTAGCCATCTACATTTACAATAAAATAGGTTAGTTTCACACTTTGTATCAGAAAATATAGTCTCTTAAATTACACATTTATGTTCGCTTAATCAACATATAATGTTCAAGTTTGTGAGGACAGCAGTCAATCACATCACAAAATCTGAAATAAATAAAATCAAACAATAATATTGGATAATACCAGCAATGTCCACATATGCATTATTTCCTAATATTAGTCCTGGGAAAGAAATTAACTTTCCTTTTCCAACTCTAACTAATTCCAAGGATGGATAAGTCTTCCTTCATAGCTCAAGTCTGAGTCTTCCTATTGTGGACACTCAGTAGAATAAACAATACCAACGCTCTCTAGTTTTTGTTCAGCAATTCCATATTGAGACAAGTGAAATCAGAAGCTTACTGTGAAGAGGTGGAATTACCACTCCATAGTAACATGAATCAGTCAGTGTTTCAATGCTCAGCCTCAGGAAAAGAGAAGGGAGTTTCTCCTGGTGTCCAGGCCACCAATTCACCAAATAAACTAGTCATTCACCTTATCGCACTTCGTGAGACCTTGGTGGTCTATTTGGCTGTTTACAGGCACGACACATTACCTGTGGCGTGCTTTCAGATGTTTGGTTACACGTTCTAAACCTGGAGGTTTTTTTCTTTGACATCTATTATCCACCTTTATACTTGTTTGACCATGTAAACAGTCTACTCAAGATAGTTTTTTTTTCTTGGCTTCAACTATCTCACCACTCTTAAGATTGGCAGAGAAAAAACTGGACATCATTTGTAACCAAAGTCTGCTCTAGATGATGACAATGACACAGAAAATTCTCAACACATTAGGTGTTCAGACCAAAAGTTTGAACCAGTCAATACAACTTACTTCATTGACTGCTTCATCAAACAATATATTTACTCCATCCAATACTAAGTGGCTGAGCCGAATAAAAAATAGGCAGTGCTTTTGAAGAACTCGAACAAGACTTTGCGGAGTTGTAACAACTACTTCACCTGTAATTAGATTGTCGTTTTAAAATTATGATTCAACATTTCCATCAACAATCCAAGTACTGCAGCGGAGTTCCTATTATTTTGAGTGTGGAAACTATAAATCAGTTTGCTATAAGAGGGATTAATAAAGACAAATGTATCTAACAATTAGAAAAACTTCTGATGTAATTAGATTATCTGATATCTGCTTATCTGATAAGCATATTTCAGATGTTTATTAGAACACATTAGGTATGCATGACTAATTTTACTTTGAATAGATTCATGTTATAATAGTAATAGTCTTACCAAATGCAAACAAATCATAAGACATATTGCAAAATAGAAGACAGTCATTTTACATATGAGGTGGTCGTTTGGAATTTCTGTTGTTGACAGATAAATACGTCTACTTACATCCTTTAACAAGCTTTATATTCTTCACCTCTTCAGGATCTTCTCCGATTAAAACCAATGATGGATGAAGAGGTCGAGAAAATCTAGTTAATTCTGTTAGTTTCTGGCATGTAAAATGAGCCTTCTGCCATCCAGGACATACAATTACCACTAATGGCTGGCATTCAAAGAAAAAGAGACTGAAATAATTCAGTTAATATTTGTTTTCTTAATTATTACAATTACAATTAAAAACATACCATTTGAATATGTCTTGAATATGTTCAATGACTGAGCATTCACAGCCTTCTGGGGTAGAGAATTTCATAAATTCACTACCCTCTGAGTGAAGAAATGTTTTCTCAACTCAGTTCTAAAAGGCTGACGTTTAATCCTGAGACTATGACCCCTAGTTTTACATTTTCCAACTTGGGGAAGCAGTCTCACACTATCTATCCTGTCAATACCCTTAAGAATCATATACGTTTCTATAAGATCACCTCTAATTTTTCTATATTCTAGAGAATATAGGCCTAGTTTACTCAACCTCTCCTCGCAGGTCAACCCCCTCATCCCAGGAACCAACCTAGTGAACCTACGTTGTACACCCTCTAAGGCGAGTATATCCTTTCTTAGATAAGGAGACCAAAACTGCACACAATATTCTAGGTGCGGTCTCACCAAGGCCCTATACAATTGCAGCAAGACTTCCTTAGTCTTGTACTCTAACCCCTTTGCAAAAAAAGCTAACATGCTATTAGCCTTTCTAATTGCTTGCTGTACCTGCATACTAACTTTCTGTGATTGATGTACAAGGACACCTAAATCTCTCTGAATATTAACACTACCTATGACTTTTTGGACATGTGAGACATGTAAGACAAGTAGGTATTTCCTTGTAGTTATTCCCTCCCTATTCTCTCTAATCTATTGAACTCAGAAGCAGGAGACCCAATGAACAGGAATACATGCAGAGATCACAGAATGTGAAGTCTTCACAGTTGTATTCTATTGAAAGTATCTTGTATAGATTTACCAGAAGCTAACATGATTAAATTGTGTGAGAAAGAAGTTATCAAAAATCATTTGGCACAGGTCTGAACTTTGTTGCCAAAAAGGAAGTGTTTGTGGCAATTCCTTTTCAAGGATGAACAAAGGATGTAAGCTCTCAGCCAAACAAACAGTGACTAATGAATCAGACACATACGCACACACACACATATATATATATAATTTTAACTCCTGAAAGAGTTATATCTAGATGTATGTACAAAATGTTATAATTATAAGTTTGTCAGTATATTCAAAAAAGATGTTTGACACCCAATAATTAATAAATTCTCAGAAGAGTTAGAACTACAAAACACTAGCGTTAGCCAAAAACAGACACACCATGCTCCTTACCCGATTTTGACTAGAAAGCGTATTATATAGAGATGATGATTGCAGAAAGCTCAGCAATGGAGGGATATATAGAAGAGGATCATCTCCTTTCTGTGATACTGCAACTAAATCACAACCCCGACTTATAACTGGCCAGCAGTAAGCCTGGGCGATATTTGGACCTACAAAGGTATTCTTGGACAGCCCCTTGAAGCAAAGACAACCCAGGTTATTGCACTGCCTTGACTACATAAAGGAGTTATATTTTTAAATTTGACACTGTTTACAATATTCTACCAACAATCAGGCATGTCATATAAAAAAAAGCTACTCATTGTTGAATACATGGCGCTGTTCAGTGCTCCGAGACACTACCCTGCATGAAGGGCACTGTGTAAATTCAAGTTGTTGTTGCAAATAGGTTTTCTACGCAGTGCAAGGCAGTGAAATAGCAATACAACCACACATATCCGTTATTAGCTGGCTACAATTAGAAGCAGTGCAAAGTAGGTTTCAAAATGGTGCTCCTTCTGCTACAGGCATAATAACATGGTGGAATCCAGACACATTTGTATTGACTTTGATTGCTGAGAAAGTGAAAAAATGTACCAATATGTATTTTGCATTAATGTTTGCACAAGATAAATGACAAATTGTGAATTCACTTTTAATATTGCAGTTATAAACTCTATGTAGCCTGTTTAAAACAATACAGTACTTACCTTTTTCAAATCCAGAGAAATAGGTGCCATTTCCAGGCTTTTGCAGGGACTCAGTTTGACAAATGAATGTACCAAAACTCCGCTCCATGGGTCAAACGTCACATTCTGTGACGACTAATCAGAATAACATTAAATCTGTCAACATAAACTGAATTGACATCACATAATGCAAACAAATTCAAAACTAGTATTTCATTGGACCGAAGACACTTGTGCAGAGAAAAAAAAATAGTTTTAGTTGAACTTTTGCTGGAAAAGAATTCAAAAATTAAGTACCATGAACAGTACATCAATGCAGCAACCATGAGAGGTCACAATGACTTGCTAACCACCTGCATTGTTCACGTTTCGTATGGACCAATTAGAAAAAATGTAATAGATTTTTGATTAATATTGATGACATTTTCTAGCTTGTAGTAAATATTGTAGAACTGATCTGACAACAGAGCTAATCTATGGCTAAGAAATACAAGTTCAGCTAAAGAAATGCAGGATATCACTGCTAATTTTCACAAAATTTGACGATATGCTTTTTTAAAGCTAGAAAAACCCTGCAATTAATCCAGAGAAAGTACCTCCGAAATTCAAAATATTTCACTTGCATAAAACCAATGTAATTCAAAACTAATTTTAACTACATCAACATTTACCTGTTGGACCTGCATTTCAGATTCATATCTTGTGCATAATGGATCCGGATTTAGCAACTGTAGAAGCCTGCAAATCAATTGTATTAATATTTAATACAGAAATATTTCTTCAGAACCATCAGTCCGTGCCAATTCAGCACAAATTTATAAAGGAAAGTCAACCCCAAATTGAAATTGTGAGGGAGATAAAGCATGATAAATTAATTATTATAACAGTCTGCTTTTAACTTGGGAGATAGGAATAGAATGAGTTTATGTTAACCATGTTTGCTGAGATTCATACCAAGTGTCTGGAATAGGGAATTCTAAACCATATTTAGAGTGAAAAGGACTGGAAAAATTAGATTGCTACAACCCAATGTAAAAAGATTAATGTAGGAGTTTTGCATAGCTGAACCCAAAAGCTAAATTAAATAGCCTTTTATTCAACTTTGAGACACACTTATATTTAAGCAGGGAACAGCTGGTGAGAGGAGTGGAAGCTCCCAAATAATTTATTTTAATGAAGCTGAACTAAACATTGTACTATGAAACAAGTGGAGGTTTATGAAAAAAACAATAATAATAAAAAAACTATACATTTGGTATATCACCTTTCATGTCAGGATGTCCCAAAGAACTTCACGGGATTTAATGTAAAGTGTAGCGGCTGTGTATTTGTATGGGAACAAACAGAATTATTTGTTGCTCTGAGTTACATTATAAAATATAAATACAAACAGTTCTGTGACAAAGTGTCATGTACACACCTTGCACAAGCTTGTGTTTCATCAAACTCTTTGGGGATGGTCTGGTCTTTCTCCATTCTATTGCACAGATGAAACCTGAATTTTTAAAAGGAACCATTTTTCTGCTTCTTAGGTGCGAAGACAAAAAAACTTCAGGATACAAGATTAGATGTTCCATTATCAATTGAACAGATCTAACTTTGCATTCTCATTCTTTAAACATGTTAAGCAGTAAATATAGTGAATTACAAATCCCACTTAACCAGAGCTTTGAATGGTGGTTACATTTTATGATTTACAAGCTGCCAAACCACATAGTTCACAATAAATTCAAATCCTTCAATCAGCTATACTGCATTTCAATATTCAACCTCCATTCCATTTATCAGAATTATTACTACACCCATTCCCCATTCTTGTATTGTATTGAATCAAGTTCAGTATTCAAAGGTATCACTTTAATTTTTTTTAAATGGGATGGAGGCAGACAATACAAACTTGATATTTGCTACTAGAAAGAACTTGCCAGAAAATTTTGATCAGAGAGTCCACCTTAAAGGATTTCACATGATTTACTGTAAAAGTGTAGTGACTGTGTGTTTTGTAGGTGGATTATCCCCTTGAAAGCAAGCACATTTCTAAATTAAACTATGTATACCGGGTTTTATTGTAATCGGATTCCGATTTCTCCAACAGAGAAGAAAACATTTTCAGAGGTGGATCTAATGAATTCCTGGAAGATAATGATTCACATGTTATGTTGCATTGATCACTGTTCCTTTCTTCTGCCTGTAGACATTGAACTGTTGCCTCTTTGTGAACAGAACCTACAAATCACAGAATAAGGAAATTCAAATATTTTTAATTTGAAGCAAGATGCAAGGTGAAGTCACAAAGAAATGGTTAAAATCTAAAGATAAACATTTCCCAATCTATTATTTGCGGGTTTGTCGACAGAATGCGAAATTAAAATAGCTGTTCTAGTTTACGTGTTAAACTGTTACAATATTTCAGATAAGAAAGATGTAAGCAGAGACCCACTTTACCACTTTCTTTTAAAAAAATATTTTTTGAAAATGTTATTTAAATATTACGTGTGTCATGAATGAATTCAACTTAAGAGTGTTATTTAGTGTTTCTGATTGTAGGAACTAGGATGCATGGTAAGTCAAGTGCTGGCATGATTAGCAATGTTGTAATGGTGAGCTATCTTACCTCGCTTTATTACGGCACTTGAAGTTCCTTGCATAATTTCAGGCCAAAGAGTTAAAATAGCACAAGTAGCATTTTTCTTAGATGGTGTTATTCTCTTCAGGCATTGTGTTGAAGAGACCTCTAGTGATAAATCCATATTTTTTGCTTCATTTGGATTTTCCTTTATTGGTGAAGTGTAGCATGCAAATAATTTTGCTACTAAATCATCATTGAGGCAGACCTAAAAGAGAATAGAAGACTTTAAAGTCTTGAACAATAAAATGTCAAAGTTTGACTGTCAAAGACACCTCATTTTATATCCAGATAAGAGTCACTGAAAAGATTATAACAAATCCACATTTATACATATAGCAAAAAACAGATCATTATGTATATTTCATATCTAAACCTAGGAAGGAAGTACTGACAAAATACTTATTCACAGCTGTACATAACTGTGAAAATGAAAGCCTAGTTTGCCTGGAATTACCTTCATTCGGTATCAAAAACAAAACAGGAAAGTATTACCTTATCATCATTCAAAGTGAGATACAGTTGAACTGCAAAGTTGTCTTCAACAACACCTTGCAACTTTGCTTCAACAACTTCAGATTCTGTGGTGAACAAAAGTCAGCAGTATAGAAATTCTCAGAAAATAAATATGCAGTGATTACAGTGCATCGGGATCTTAAAATCAATATCCCCAATCCGATTATTTAAAAAAAGGTGTATTTCTTCCATCCTCTCAAATGGATCTCTCAAGTTTCTCAGTAAAACATTGAATAATACATATACTATTTCAAAGTTTCTTTTTTTAAAAAAATTGTGAATAAGAAAAAAAAGCTAAGGTCCCTCATGGGCTAAAAGCATATCTGGGAATCATTCTTCTCATAAGTAATTATCACTGCAAATATACAAGCAGTATGTATATACTTACTCTAAATAGTATATTTCATAAGCAAAATGTTCCCTAGAGGAACACAATGCTTTATAATTTAGGATATCTGCTAAAAATGCTTACCTTGGACCATTTTATTAAAATACTGAATTGCAGCAATATCCCATTTTCTTGCTGGTCTGCAAATACACACAAAAAGAAAATTGTCAATATGACTCGCCTCGCATGTGAGAGACCTGGGTTCGATTCCCGGCAGGGTGAAACCTTGGGCAAATTTCCTTATTCCACAAGGCTGATAATAATCCCTCAAGTTAAAAAAAATAATAAATTGGTCACTTCAATCCATGACCGTTTGTTGGACACTGCTGTGTGCAATTGGTTGCCATGTTTCGCCCACAAATATACAGTCAATTCACTTTACAGTCTATTCTGTGAAGCACTTTGAGAAGTCTAGAAGATATGAAAAGCACTATATCAAATGAAAGGATTATTATTATTTAAAAAGGAAGAGGTCAAGAACCAAAACATGGCAAAACATTAAAAATTAACTAAACCAAGAAAAACATTTTCAAAATTGCGGTTGACATGGCATTGCATTTTTAAAACTGGTAAATAATAAATAATCTTTGCATTTTGATATAGCATCTGTTACGTTGCAAGAATGTCTCAAAGCACTCCACAAGATTTACTGTAAAATGGAGCTGACTATGTATTTTGTAAGCAAATGCTGCAGTCAATTTGTGCACAGCAAATAGCCATTAAGTGAATGAACAATTTTACCTGGGGCACTGTTGGTCAGGACACTGGGAAAAACTCCTCTTTTCAAGTGGTGCCAGAGAATCTTTAAAGATTCTATGGCACTATTTGAAAAGAGAAGTGCAAACAAGCAAAGAGAACAGGCAAATGAGTCCTCCAAAGGAATGCACCTCCAACAATATAGCACACCTACAATACTGCATTGGTATGTCATCTTAAGACTAGATTGTGAGATCAAAGTCCTAACTTGAACTCGCAACACTCTTGACTCAAATACGAAAGTGCTACCAACTGAGCCAAAGTAACACTTAATAATCAGTGTTTTGATAACATATTTTGATACGACAGCATGTACTAATATACCAACTTGAATTTTGGCAAACATATTATAAATGTAAATATTAGCAGGTTTAAGAATGTTCAAAGTTAAAAGAAATAATGATCATGGTTTTAAACTGAACTAAACCCACGAATGGCAAGGGGCTTATAGAACTCGGGTGGACTAAAAATAGATTGAAGTTGGATTAATTCAGAAGTGTTTAGCTAATCATGCCAGACAGATAATCTTCAAAACATATGGATATTTTTGGTGTAGCTACTATTAAAGTCCATTAGAGTTTACCTTAGCTGCATATTAGAATTGTATCTATGTATTTTGAAATTGCTTATACTCACCCAATTTTTGCTTTATCCTTGTAAACATCAACATGCAATGTTACTGGCTGTATACCAAAGAGCATGAATTTTTTAGCACAATATGGGAGCTTCCAAAATGTATCAATTGCCCTCCGTATACTGAACAGAAATACAGAAACAGTATTAATGCTTTTGAAAAGAACAGTAATAACACAATATACATTTAAATGTAGTTTCTCCAGAGGTCCTGATCCATAAAATATCTTGCAGTTTTGCAGAAAGGGATCATCTTAAAAGATGATTTTTTTTGTTCTGGAGAGTGAATTTTCCCATTAATATTTTCCTCCTTTCCATCACTTCTCATCACACTTATACTTCTACAGTGGTCACGCTGAGGACAAAAATCATTAGCTTAGTGCTGTGATGGGAAGATATTAGGGTGGGTAGTCTGGAATATTGCAACAATCGAATGAGCCAAAGGGCCTCTTCTGAACCTCTTGTCATCTTGTCAACCCACATCCATATCTTGGTTTTGATGAAAATACCCCATGTTCAAAGACTATATATTGTTTGTTGTTGTAGTGTAAAAAAACATAAAACATATTGAATACTAAGTAACAAATCACTTGTTTACTAAAAAGTAGTTTGTAAATCCATTTGTTGATAAACATGGAGAAGGATACTTACTCTTTGACTTTCACCAGAATGTACTTTGCATAGTCAACAAGGAAACATTCTGCAAGATAACTACTTCCACTTGACATGAGAGATTCTAGTATTGCCCTGCACCAGCATTTCAGTTCATGGCAATAAATCGCACAAATCTGAGGGGAAAAAACAAGATATGCAATAACTATCAAAAAGTTATTTCATTATTTTGTACATTTCATATTTTAGTCGCATACAAGATTTGTCAGACTTCACCCTATAATGGTATAAATGACTCAAACAAAACCCAAGGATCTATTCAGTTAAACCTAGCTTTATGACATACACATAAAACAATGGCTTCTTCAGACAAATTAGTTTTTAAAACCATCTTCATTCAGGGGATTTTTCAGGGGATTCAGTTGCCAGTTTCCTCTTTGGTAAAGGCAGCTTATGATCTAATGTAAAGCCTGGACACATAATGAGTGCACATGTAAATGCTCTACAGATTAGCAGCAGGACAGGAGTCTGCATCAGCAATTTATCTGCGTAAATAATTATCTGTCTTGGCTAGGTTATTGAGAGGGATAAATGTGCTTTCTCAACAGGCTCAATTTTTCAGAGATTAAAATGCAAAATTGAAATTGGATTGCCGGAAGCAAAATGTTTTTTATTTGCATATAGTGTTGCTCAATACTTTCATCAACCACAAGGTAGTGTGAACGCCACCAGACGTACCTGTCCCTGTTCCAGAATAGGAAGTTTAAATTCTTCCAGTTTTTCATACCCTCTCTGGTATAGCTGGTTCATCTGTTGTTGCAGTATCTGATACTCTTCTGGATTTCCAGAAAGATCACTGGAGCCATGTGTTATCCTGCCCCAGAAACAGCCAGGGTCATCTACCTATACACACACACATACACAACAAATATTGTAAAAAAAAACTTCTCACTTGTGGCAATATAAACTGAGTGTAACGCACTGGTTTCTTTTTCCATAAATCAAGTCCAGATATTTTATTTGTACCATACATTCAGGTATAAATACCTGAATGGTTCACTCATGCTGTTAGGATATAGGGATTCCCCTATAATATTTAGAATAGAGCAAGTTTTTATATATATATTCATTTTAAGAGATGTTTAATTAATTGTACTAACAGGTCAAAATGGCCGACCAATTAGCTTCCTTACTAATGGAATGTGGCACAGACTGGAACCATGGTACCCGTTATCTCCCCTCTCTCCAGATGCACTTTGATAAGTGTTACTATAACCTGGGGTACCAGCTGGACTTGGAGGAAAGGTCTGCAAAACATCATGTGTTAGGTCTAGGAAGGTAAGGAATAGACAAGACAATGGAGACTCACTTTATCAATACCGGTCGGGCTGACGCCAGGCCAATGATTGATTAGGATGAGTACGTCCAGGACGAGTAAGGGGGGTAAAGGTATCTGGCAAGTGTTCAGAAAGGGGTATAATTAGTGGAGAGAAAGAGAGAGAAGTCAATTGGCCTGACTGGCAGGAAGGAAGCAAGGTTTTTCACACCAGAGAAACCAGGGCAAGAGCGGGACGACAGCCAAGAAATCTTCTTCCACTTTTGTTCTACGCAGATTAACCGGTAGTATGCTCTTCTTTACACACTGTTAAGCCCACTGTCTCATAATAAAAGAATTATTGCACCATTTTGGATTATCGGGTCATATTTCGAACTACGGGATCGGAAATCCCAACAATGTGAATTTGAAAAAAATGAAAGCAAACATTTAATCATATGGGAGACCTTATTGATGAAGGATGCTGACAGTAGTTGTACTATATCACACGACATCAGCATGAAGTCAAGTTGGCAACCCACAATTGAGCAGTGTAAAGTAGGAGGTAACATTTTTGTTTTGTATTATTAGTTATGAGTAGGGAGAAACACACAACATACTAAACCCACAATTTAATTGTTGACCTAATTTAATGGTCTCACACCTCCCTAGCTCTGCTATCCTCTGCCTGGTAGCTCCATCTGCTCAGCAAACACACACCTGCTTCATGTACCCCCAACTGATCAATCCCACATATTATTGGGCACAAATAATAAATTGAACATTTTTAAACTTTTTGAACTGTAATTGGACCCCCAAGTCTTTGTCCAATTACAGCTTCTTGTATGAAATTATAGAAGACACGGGATCCTTATACTGAAATCACGTGCAGTATTGATGGAACACTTTTGAGATCATCAATGTCAACTTCCGTTTGGTGCCGGGCACCTACGACAGAATTGAAAAATTAATCTCGCATTAATTGAGGAAACTTCTGAAGGCCGACATATACTCCATTTCTCCCATAAAACTTATTATTGCTGTTACCTTTATAATGATAATTTCAATCATTCTCAACGTAAATATGTAAATTTTCCAAATGTGTCTTGAGGAACCTGTTTCAAAACAAAATATTGTTGTGATACACTTTAGGCACTACTAACTCTTATTGGAATCAGTATTAATGTAACATCTACCGCTCCACTCTAGCCTCGGCCAAGTCGTCCTTCTACTCCAGGACAAGCGCTTTGGGACGTCCGCCCGACGTGAAAAGCGCTATATCAAATGCAAGGATTATTATAATAATCCTGGAGGCGAAGAACAACCCCAGGCTTCTGTTTTCTACCACATCCCGACTCCTCCGTCCCCCCCGCCACCCCGCGCAGGTCATCTCCTCCAACCTTCACTGCGAGGAGATGCTGGATTTCCTTGAATCCCAAATCAAGGGAATCCCTTCCGCGGTCACTCCCCCTCCAACTTCCACCCACCCCCCACCCCATCCCTCCCACACTCCGACTCCTACCCATCCTCCCCCACACACTTTCGAACCCGTTTTCCCACCCTCTGTCACCAAACTCATCCTGTCCCTGAAACCTACCACCTACTCCCTTGACCCCATCCCCACTCCACTCCTTATCTCTCAGCTCCACCTCCTTGCCCCACTTATCACAGACATCATCAACCTGTCCCTCTCCTCTGGCTCTGTTCCCATTCCCTAAAAACTGCCATCATCACTCCCACTTTGAAAAAACCCTCCCTTGATGCGTCGCAGCTATCAAGCTACCGGCCCATCTCCAACCTCCCCTTCCTGTCCAAGGTCCTTGAAAGAGTTGTCGCCTCCCAGCTGCGCTCTTTCCTCTCCACCCATTCATTATTCGAACCCCTTCAGTCGGGTTTCCGTGCTGCCCATAGCACAGAAACCGCCCTGGTCAAGGTCACCAATGACATCTTGACCATCTGCGACCAGGGCTCCCTCTGCCTCCTCGACCTATCGGCAGCATTCGATACGGTCGACCACGCTATCCTCCTCCACCGCTTGTCCTCCCACCTCAACCTTCAAGGCCCTGTCCTTGAGTGGTTTAGGTCGTACCTCTCCCACCGTCTTCATTTTGTTTCCACGAACGGCTTTTCCTCCGGCCCCCGCACTGTCTCGTGCGGTGTCCCTCAGGGCTCTGTCCTCGGTCCCCTCCTCTTCACCCTCTATATGCTCCCCCTTGGTGACATCATCCGCAGACATGGGGTTAACTTCCACATGTATGCGGATGACACCCAACTCTACCTTTCCTCCTCTACCCTCAACTCCACGACCACCGATGTCCTGACAGCCTGCCTGTCCGACATCGAGTCCTGGACGAGAGACAACTTTCTTCAGCTCAACGTGCGCAAAACTGAGGCCCTCCTGATTGGCTCACGTCAGCGCCTCCGCACCTCAGGCGCTGACAGCATCAGCATCCAAGGCTGCACTCTCCACCTCTCAAAGCCGGTCAGGAACCTCGGGGTTCTGTTCGACCCTGAGCTGTCCTTTCTCCCTCATATCCGCACCACAACTGGCACCGCCTTCCATCACCTCCGAAACATCGCCAGACTACGGCATTACCTCACCCCTCACGCTGCTGAAACTCTGGTCCACGCCTTTATCACCTCAAGGCTGGACTATGGGAACTCTCTCCTCGCCGGCCTTCCCGGCACCTCCCTCCACAAGCTGCAGGTCATTCAGAACTCTGCAGCTCGTGTACTGTCCCGCACCAGGCTTCGGGACCACATCACTCCCACCCTCGCTCGCCTCCACTGGCTCCCCATCCCCCTGAGGATCGAATTCAAGATCCTCATCTTCACCTACAAGGCCATTCACGGCCTTGCTCCCTCCTACCTCTCCGACCTACTATCCCCCTACCTACCTGCCCGTACCCTCCGTTCCTCTGGCTCCGGTCTACTCCACATCCCCCGCCCTAACCGCCCTACCATCGGTGGCCGGGCCTTCAGCCTCTCAACCCCGAGGCTCTGGAACTCTATCCCCCAGTGCCTTCGCCGCTTCCTCCCTTTCCTCCTTCAAGGTCAGTCTCAAGACCTTTCTCTTTGACTGTGCCTTCAGCTCCCCTCTGGATTCTCTACCTCCTCCTCGCTCCCTCCCTTCCCTCCCCTCACCCTGACCATTTCCCCCCTGCTCGGGTCCTGACCCAAATCTCCAGCGCCTTGGGACGTCCTCCCGACGTGAAAGGCGCTCTATAAATGGAATCTTGCTGTTGTTGTTGAATATAGCACTTTTCATGTCACTGAGACATCTCAAAACACTACACAGGATGGACTATAAGGTAGTTTGAGTGTGTATTTTGTGAGTGAAATGCAACAGCCAGTTGTGCACAGCCCCACATATCCCACAAATAGCTATGGAATGAGTAGCCAATTTTATTAGTATCCTTGTTGGCCAGGACACTATTCAAAATGAGAAGGGATAAACTCCTTTCTCATTCTGAATAGTAACACGGGATGTTTAACGTTCATCCTGAACAAGTGGTCAGGACCTTGGTTTAATGTCTCATCTAAAGGGCAGATTATGACATTGTTGTACAATAACTGTGCAAGCTGCACAGCCATTGATATTAAAGTCAGAAAAAGAACAATTGTGTAGTGAATTAAGAGTTATTAACATGGTGCCCAAGCATTAATTTCTCATGTCTTTGGACAATTGTAATTACATCTCTAGGTGTGAAGTGCATTGAATTCTTAAAAGTATTCTTCCAAATATCTCAAGTTTCAAAAGCAAAAGGGCAAAAGGCTTTGAAAGGTTGAGCTGAAAAACAGAGAAAGAATATTCTAAAGATAACCCGACAGACCTTTTTGTAGGCAGTTTTTTAGTATGGGTTTGAACTTTTTAAGATATATATATATATGTATGTATTATATATACATTAGTTTCACCCACAAATATACAGTCAATTCACTTTACAGCGTATTCTGTGAAGCGCTTTGAGACGTCGAGAAGACATGAAAAGCGCTCTCTCAAATGCAAGGATTATTATTATATTATTATAACTTTTATATACATACATACATATATATACATATGCTGTAAGGTTTATTCGGTGTCAGCTGGAGTCAGGTGAGTGGCAAACAGGGTAAGGGAGACCCAGTGAAAGACAACAGCAAAACTGCAGAGAGAATATAAATCACATGTACGTGTGCACAGAAAGTAACAGGTGATGGTGCGCTTAAGATTATCCTCATCGTCTGCCCCCCACCCCCACATCCCCCTCCCTCCCTCCATCCATCACTCCCTCTCTCCCCTCCCCCCCTGGGCCTATTCTGACCAACTCCCTTCTCAGACCCCGTCACCTCGACCGCCAACAGTCACGACCCAAACCAACCCTTTATAACGCGTGTCCTTTTACAACGCGCTCGCCATTCGGGGCCACGTCACCTAAGCGCCATCACCCCCCTCCCGGCCCCGGGCCCCGGGTCCGGGGGACTCACCTTAACGGCGACTTTCGTCAATTTAGTCGTCGAGCGGCTGCGAAGGCCCCTCCGCCTCCCTGACCACGTGACACGGCCCCACCCCGCGCGCAGGCGCACCGCTCCCCCCCCCGGCCCGCGCAGGCGCACCGTGTCCCTGCTCGGCCCCGCCCACCCACCACTCGCCACGTGCAGCTCCAAGTGTCTGGAGCAGAGATGCCAATCACCTGCACTGACCACTGGCTCCTGTGCAGAAAATTGGGGCACCACCCACTCACTCTCCACCCCCCCCCCCCCCACCCACCCCCCCAAAAAACTTCACTATTTTTTTTAAAAAATTTCAAAAATGGCAAAGCCATTAATCCCCCCTCCCCCCCCAAAAAAAAACAAAACAATAATTGGTCATTTTCAATCTACGACTTGTTTGTGGGACGCTGCTGTTGCGCAATAATAGTCAGTGCACTTTACAGTGTGTTCTGTGAAGCGCTTTGGGACATCCTCCCGATGTGAAAAGCGCTCTGTCAAATGCAAGGATTATTATTATTAAAGCAATTCATTGGCTTTGAAATGTTGTGGATCCGAAATGGCTTCTCTTTCTCTGTCTGTTTCTCTCTTTCAGCCTTCAGGATCTATCTGTTCCGGTGATTGTCCTCCACCCCCCACCCCCGGAGTTTGCCTAACATTGACCGACTCTTGTTTTAGAGAAAGGAAAGTGAGTCAACGTCGGGTTCTGACGAAGGAGGTCGTGGACCCAAAACGTTGACTCACTTTCCTTTCTCCGTAGGTGCTGCCTGACCTGCTGAGTGTTGGCAGCGACTTCTGTTTTCAGATTTCCAGGATCTGCAGTATTTTGTGCATTGTTTAGTTGGCAAAACAGTCACATTTATCATTTGTATTATGTGTTAAATTGATTTCAAACAAATATCACTCCCAAAACATGATTTCTTTATTCCAGTGAAACCTTTTATAAGTTCAAACCCATGCAAGCATACTTTTGATTGCCATCTTTATTCTCTGCAATTGCAGTCATGCAGCACGACTGCAATGCAATCTTACACCTTAGATTGACAACTATTAAAATCAAAATCAATTTGAATTACACAATAAAAATAGTACCGATTTCCAATAATCTGGTACTTCTGTGTTCACTCCTGGTTTGGCTGAAATTATTTTTGGTAGATCTATTAATGCCCCACTAGGTGCTCCCTCAATGGAGGAGCAGCATTGGTAGATGTTATGCATAGTCAACTGTAGATGTATCAGTGGATACAGATGCCTCACTACCTACATCTGCAAATTGCATCGATAGCCCTGCATCGATGTCAAGCATCAGAAATGATGGGCTGAATATCTTTCTTCTGTGCTGTAAATTTCCATGGTTCTAAGCTTCTCTGTGGTATTATAATCTTAACAAAGGTACTTAACCGTTCTGGGCTTCCTGATGTCACGATACTGCTGCCATCATGAGTGCTTTCATGTCGGGACATCCTCCCGACGTGAAAGGCGCTATACAAATGTAATCTTGCTGTTGCTTACTGTCTGAACCTGTGATACCCTGCGTATGTCGATGATGGAGATTATCTTATCAAGATAACAATGGATTTCTTTCTGCATAGAACATTGGACACCCTTCAGGTTTCTGAAAAAAAATCTTCATCTTGGAAAGTTCCAAAATCTTCATCTTAACCCCAAAGCTTCCAGATTAGAAATATGAGCAAGAATTCAATACAAGCGCTTCCACTCAGTCCATGGCCTGCAAAACCGATGTCTCAAAGGAAGATGCATTTTGTGCTGCTAGTTTCATAGTAGCAGACCAATGTGCATGTAACTTAACTTCAGTATGAATGTAAGAGATTGCATCAAATATAGTAGAATTTTCAGCACTACTTATTACGCCTTCCAGAATCATATGAATAGAACAAATCCCTTTACACAATTCTCACACCCTCCAGCACTCTGTTTAATGAGAGATCCTCTGAGGTCTGTGTCCCCATGCATTACATTCTAGCATGAGAGTTGACTCCAGTTTAACTTACATACGATGGGAGGCACAGAATTAAACATAAAAACTCAAAGTTCACTCTTATGATTATATAATTATTGATCCAAGCATTGAACCTAAATAATCCTGGTCCCAACAATGATTTTTAGTAGTACAAAACTTTGTGCCTCAACTGTAAGAATATTAGCTTGTCGCAGAAGAGGGTTAGTATACTTGGCATAGGAGTAGCATTGATTATTTGACTAATCTTTGTCTAATGGAAGAGCAAGAATTCAAGGAAGTGAAACATTTTGGAGAGCTACTGGCTCACTGCAGCTTCTGGAATCCGGTAGAAGCCGGCATTAAAAGACGAGCTATTAATCACATTGAGTGCTTTTTGTCAGGTTTTAATCCAAGGGTTTAGTTAGGCTTACTTTTTACGTAATGAACATTGATCTGCAGTGGTTAAAGCTGGTCAGCCTCATCTATGAGGACAAACACGTGAAAGTGTAGCTAAATACTGGCTTTTAGTCATTCAAGACTCCTGAATAAAACAAAATGCAGCAGCAACAGCATTAGATTCATACAATATGATTATCGGTATCATTCTTTGCAGAATCAAAAAATATTTTAATTGTAAAAGTAGCAACAAGTTAAAGGGGCCCTTTAACACCAGAGGGGAAGCTCAAAATTTGAAAGCCAGGTATAACTAAATTACCAGTATAGATAAAAGGAGCAAAATAATCTGAATGATCCCTCACTTCCCGACCAGGGTGGTGGTGAAAAGCACAGTCACACCACTTGTTCCACGGGATGTCCTCGCGACGTGAAAGGCGCTATACAAATGTAATTTTGTTGTTGTTGAACATAGAAGTAGACTATTCAGCACCTCGAGCATGTTCCTCCATTTTATAAAATCATGGCTGATCTGTACATCAAGTCCAGTTACACACCCTTACCCCATATCCCTTAATACCCAGATGCAACAATTATCTATCTAAATCCAAAAAATCTATCTAAATTATCTATTCTTTGCCTACATTGTTTAAAATCACAGAGAGCCCATATAGGTTTTCTCATAGCTGAATACTCAATTTTATTCAAAAATGGTAATGCATCTTTAATCTAAAGGTTTTTTTTAAAAATAACACAGCAAAGTTCGACATGGCTGCATTTGCAATTGAATAGTGCAAAAGGGTTATTTTGCACTAATTTCCTGACCTAAATCATGGAGATAGTGAATTCTCGATTGTTATTTAAAACATACACAAATCTCGTTACCCCTCCTTCCCCCTGCATACTTTGCAAAGAAAAATATTGATTAGTTCTCAGCAAAATTTGACAAAGTTACATTTTATTATAAATACAGTATTACTTAATACTTCAACTCAACATTGTGTGTCACAAAACATTTACAATTTAATATATAGTACTGTAACGATACATTTCAAAAATGCATTTCCGTATCAACACACTGGACGGCAGTTGGTTAGTTATCAGATGCACTGTGGAAGGTTTATATTATTCGGTTCTACCGGAGACACAAAATATTGTCACTGTACATAACTGAAAACTGTATGGACCAAATCCACTGTCAACTGTACCTCGTCGTAAGAAACCACTGAATAAATATTTTTTTTTAAAAAAAAAGATGTGGTTGTATCATTTTCACCAATAAGACTGATATGTAAACGTGAGCCAGCAGTTTACACGAACCAGTCTATCGCCAAAGTGCTCTTGCCGCAATTCATAAAATTCACATTTCTGCAACAGGCGAGATTAACCCTCGGGTTTTCATCTCGTAAAAAGGCAACAATTCCAGGCAGAGCGAAACCTTGGGCAAGTTTCCTTACTCCACACAGAGCCTAATAATAATCCCTCCAAAACCCAAACAATAATAAATTGGTCATTTACAATCTACGACTGTTTGTGGGACATTGCTGTGCGCAATTGGCTGCCGCGTTCGCCCACAAATATACAGTCAATTCACTTGACAGTGTGTTCTGTGAAGCGCTTTGGGACGTTCCTCCCGACGTGAAAAGCGCTATATCAAATGCAAGGATTATTATTATTATTATTATTATTACAACGTCCACGTTAACTTCTCCGGGCGCGTCCGGATTTCAGGCCGTCCGAGAACGTGTCGGCGCCCGCGTCGGAAACCTCGAGCTCGCGCGCTCCGGCCGGGCCGTCCGTCCATCCGTCCGTCCGGCGTTCCAGCCCCCGTTGCGCTGCGGGCGGCGCCGTGTCGTCTTCGGGGGCGCCCGTCCTCTCGGGTGAGACGCTTCGAACCGTCCGTCCCCCCCCCCACCCCCACACCCCCCGCTTCCGGGGCGGCCGATAAAAGATCCCCACGGCACGGTTTCGTTTCGAAAAAAGAGGGGAACACACACACACACACACACAAAAAAAAGGGGGGGGGAGATTTCTCCCAATAGTTCCTGTCCTGACCATCCCTCGGGACACCAAGTGGGGGGGGGGTCAGGAGTGGGGGTGGGGTGAGGTGGGGGTTAAGGGGGGGGGGCAATGCCTCGCTCCAGTCGGCTCCACATTCACGACACAGTCACTAACACTTGGGGACAGAAAGGGGGGAGAACCCCACAGAAGGGGGAAAGACGGCGGTGGGTGGGTGGAGGAGGAGGGGGGGAGGAGGAGGTGGGGGGGTGGAGGAGGAGGTGGGGGGGGGGGGGTCGAGGCCAGTGGGGGGTGGGGTGGGTGTCAGGCGAATTGCACGACGCACGCGGCGAGCACCACGGCCACCAGGAAGACGGCGGCGAACATGGCCCCGGCGGCCAAGCGGCCGGACTCGCACAGCCCCTTCCCGGCGCCGCCGTTGCCGCCGTTGCCGCCGCCGCTCTCGCTCTCGGCCTCGGCGCCGACCGACGACGACGACAACAACACCGCCCCCCTCCCCCTCCCCCCCCGCCCCGGAGCTCGGCCCCGGGGCCCTGCCGGGCCTGCACCGTCCAGTGCGGGACCCCGACCTTCATCTCCATCTGGTACAGCATGTCGCCCACCTCGTCGATCTCCTGCTCCAGGTCGCTCAGGTCGGCCGTGTCGATGTTGCTGCCGCCGCCGTACCTCATGTCGCGGACGCTCATGGCCCGGGCGGCCACGGCCGACGTGCCGCCGGACAGGCCCGACTGGATCAGGTGCCGCCGGGGCACGTGCAGCGGGAAGTCGTGGCCCAGCTCCAGGGCCCTCCGCATGTCCACCTCCAGCAGCTCCACGCAGGTGGAGAAGACCACCCACAGCCGCTCGAACTCGGCCCGGTCCTCCCGGCCCAGGGCCCGGTCCTTCAGGGCGGCGGTCAGCCGGTTCCTGTTGGCCACGGCCAGGACCCGGGCCTTCTGGCGGGTCTCCCGCAGCTCCTCGCGCAGGTTCTGGGAGTCCGACGTCCCCCCGACGCAAACCACCAAATGCCTGTAACAGGCGGAGACTTTGTTCAGCGCGTCCAGAAGCGTTTTGCATTCGTCCCTCACCATCGCGGTCCCCGTTGGGGGGTTGGGGTGGGGGTGGGGGGGGGGGGGTCGATCGATCCGATCCGGTCTTCCTTTCGTCGGGGTTCTCGGTGGTGGGGGTGGGGGGGGGGGGGGAAGTGGTGGGAGGACGACGACGGTGTTTGTGACCAAAGTTAAAGCAGAGCCCTTGTCCTCGGCTTTCCCGCTGAGCGTTAACCGGTCAGAACCGAAAGCGGCTCCGCCATGAACCCACTTCGGTCCAACAGGAGTGTCACCGTCGATTTCGACGCATTCATTCTCGCCGTCAACCGGAGCCTCCGCTCTGCTCTCCCTCTCTCCCTTTCCCTCTCTCTCTCTCTCGTCCGCTGCCTCTTCCCTTCTAATCCGAACTTTCTACGCGCCCCCCCCCGAGCACATCGCTGTCAGCACACAATTTGCACAAGAGAGGCACAGAGTCGGGTCCGCCCCTGTAACGATCTCGGATTACTTAAGAGAGACAGAGAGAGACAGACACACAGAGAGAGACAGAGACACACAGAGAGAGACACAGACACAGAGAGAGAGACAGACACACAGAGAGAGACAGACACACAGAGAGAGACAGACACACAGAGAGAGACAGACACACAGAGACAGACAGACACAGAGAGAGACACAGAGAGAGACAGACACACAGAGAGAGACAGACACACAGAGACAGACACACAGAGAGAGACAGACACACAGAGAGAGACAGACACACAGACAGAGACACACAGACAGAGAGAGACAGACACACAGAGAGACACAGACAGACAGAGAGAGACAGACACACAGACAGAGAGAGAGACAGAGAAAGAGACACAGAGAGAGTTGATGTGTAAGAACCGCCTCCAAGAGTCACTCACTAATCGCTCCTTCACTTTACAGCTGTTTCAGTCCGGATTAAACACCCGTTAAATACCCAGGACTGAGCACCTCCACCATCACGTGTGTGTGTGTGTGTGGGGGGGGAAGGGTGAAAAAAAGCCCCACCCAGGAAGTGATTGAAGACCCCGCCCCTCCTCCCTCTCCCCGCCCCCCTCCTCGGGGGAGGGGGTGGTTTCCGAACCTCCCGCCCCCGCCCCGCCCCCAACTCACTGCGACGTAACAATGTGGCCGCGAGCGGGCGGCTGATTGGCTGCCGCGGGCCGGGCTCGGGCTGTGATTGGGCCGCGGGCTGTTGCCACTCCGGCGAATGGCGACATTGTTTCCGCTCGTGACCGAGTGGGGGGAGAGGGGGAGAGAGAGAGGGGGGGAGGAGTTTGATGGGAAAACCGGAGGCGCGCACAGAAAGTTAAACGGTGAAACCGACCGCGCAAAAAAAAAATGGGCCGAGCGTGAGTGACGCCGTTTGGTGAGTCGCCTTGTCGTGTGTTTTTTTTGGGGGGGAGAGGGAGAGAGAGAGAGACAGAAAGAAAGAAAGAATGAGGGGGGGGGGCAGCTTGGAGCAGGTTATAATGCGGGGCCGAGGATTCGCTATGATAGACAGAGAGAGAGAGTGTGTGTGTGTGGCTTCTCTCTCGCTCTCTCTCTCTCTCTGCACTCTCGGGCCTGATCCCAAGTTTAACACGTTTGGTAATTGACGCTGACTCGGCTCGACTCGGCTCGGCTTAGCTGCTCTGGGCTCGGCTTAGCTGCTCTGGGCTCGGCTTAGCTGCTCTGGGCTCGGCTTGGCTCGGCTCGGCTTAGCTGCTCTGGGCTTGGCTCGGCTCGGCTTAGCTGCTCTGGGCTCGGCTTAGCTGCTCTGGGCTCGGCTTGGCTCGGCTCGGCTTAGCTGCTCTGGGCTTGGCTCGGCTCGGCTTAGCTGCACTGGGCTTGGCTCGGCTCGGCTTAGCTGCACTGGGCTTGGCTCGGCTCGGCTTAGCTGCTCTGGGCTTGGCTTGGCTCGGCTTAGCTGCTCTGGGCTTGGCTCGGCTCGGCTTAGCTGCACTGGGCTTGGCTCGGGTTGGCTCGGCTTAGCTGCCCTGGGCTCGGCTCGGTTGGCAACTTCAGTTGGTTTTCTGGTGGGAAGGGTCCGGATCTGACCCCGGGTTTTAGTGGCTGTCAGGAAACCGCGCTCTCACCCCGTTCGCTCAGAGCTAAAAGTTACACGAAATGATGCAAACCTCCACGCTCTGCCGTGGGTGTTTGCGTTATTGCTCTTTTAACGTTTCCGATTTGTTGGGTAAAACTTCCTCCCTGTAAATAAATAAAAAAAAACGAAGACCCTTTCCTTCCTCCCACACACCCCCTCTCTCAAATTGCTTGATGCTATCCCGAAATAAAGAGGGTTGCGGAATTGGGATTGTGCCATTTTTGAATGCCAATCAACAACAGCAACAACTTGGATTTATATAGCGCCCTCCACGCTAATCTAGCAATGACTCTTTTAGTTGGGTGACTCACGAGGAGGGTGTCTTAACAATGTCAATCAAGGAAAAGCAGTCATATATTCTGTTAATAAATGCTGGTAAGATCCACCTAAGAGCGGTGGCAAGTAAATGTATTTCATGATGCAGTAGTTATCGCAACAAATTGCAGTCATACAGCATCTCTCGGAAGGAGTGTCAAGACACTGGACAGTCAAGGACCTGTTGAATTAAACATCTTGCGGTAGCATATGGCCTTGTGCTCTCAGTTTCTTTATGCAGTTAGTTCCTTTTTTCAGCAATGTCTTGAGACTGTCAGGGAAAATCCAATGTGAAGACGACAACGAAAGACGTCATGGCCTAATAATAATAATAATAATAATAATAATCCTTGCATTTGTTTAAAGGATACACTGCAAAGTGAATTAACTGGATATTCTGCGGGTGAAACGCGGCACGCGTGTTAACACATTTCTACGTGGCTACATTAAGAGGTTGGCTGGAAACTTGGATTTTGGTTGCAATGCACAGATGATCCAAAGTAAAAATAAGTTTGTTAGCAGAGAGCACATTTTCAGTTTATGTTCACCTGTAGTGCAGTCACTTACTGTTGTTTGTATACGAGCAGCAGAAATTTGTTTTAAACAACAATCAATTACATTCGTATAGTGCCTTTCACGTCAGGAGGATGTCCCAAAGCGCTGGATGGTGAGGTAAACACTTATTTAAACTAATAATTCCACTTACCGGTCAAACTTTGTTACATCCTTTAGAATCAAATGCTGTGATACATAGGATCTGACACTTAAGCTGCTGAAAAATCCAGAAATGTACAGTAGTTCTACTGTACTGTAGTAGAGTACAGTAGGAACTACTGTTCTCTACTGCTCATGTGATGCATTTACAAATTACATTCTTTTTTATTAATAATTATTAATCATTTTATTCTTATCCTGCAGGTGAAATTTAGCTCAAAGCGTGAGGTGTCCATGGCAATGTATGATGAAGATATTTCAAAGAATCCATTCTATTTAGCACTACAGAAGCGAAAGCCTGACATATGGAACCATGTGGCGGAACTACATGGGATCGTGAGTTATCTTCTTCGTATGTTATAATGAAGCTTACTTTGTTTACATTTCTGTGTATACAGTACATGTATGTGTAATACCTGGACTCATCAAAGTGAAAGATGTCACCTATGCAGACTGAACATTTTCATTTTTGTTGCCTGGTATTCATGTCAAATGACTGCTCCAAATTGCACTTTTTGGTTTATATTTGTTGCATTATGTTTTTGATGAATTGAACAGCTATTTTAGGTTCCTGCAGTTTATTTGGAACCTGAGAGGATGTCCCACGTCCTCGACATGAAAGGCGCTATACCAAATACAAGGATTTTACAAGGATATAATGTCAATTCACTTTACAGTACATTCTGTGGAGCGCTGTGAGCCATCGTGAAGATGTGATACGATGATATATCAAATACAAGGATTATTGTTAACCTCTAGATGAAGTAGTTCCTCTTGATTCTCTTTTAGATCTCCGAGTCTCTACCTTAGTCATTTTATTTACTGTGCTGTACCCTATTTGAATAGAGAGAATTTGCTTAATGTGATGTTGCAATGTTAATGTACAGACAATACTTCTGTGTGAGTTTAATTTCCAGCAAGAATGGGCGTTGGGACAATGCAGCTATGAATTTGCCATCACTGTAAGGCTAATTTTAGGAGGCTGTGTGATGCAAAATGGGTTCAAGTATCACACCAGTGCAATTAGGGCTAGTTCTGAGGTTGAGAATTTTTTTTTGCCGTTTTCTAAGGTAGTGTGCTTTAATTATAACCCATACAATTGATTTTTTTAAAAAAAAACTTTCACAAAAGGGAGCTGTCTACAGTAGTACGGGAAGATTTTATTCTATTTTAATGGCACATATGTAGTGAATGCAGAAACACTATTCCCATTGTAGCCCTGGTTGGGATTTTATGGACCCCAGTCACCAGGATTGAACAAGCCCTGGTGACCCTTGAACATGAGATTGGTTATAACTGTAGACATTTTAAAATGTGCATTTTCTTACACTCAAACGTTGTGAATTGATGCATATTAGTTTTAAATATCTGATATTTGGACCTGCTCCAAGTAGCACAAATATTTGTGGATCAATAAAATTATTAGGATTGTAGTTTGCAATAGAAAATCATTAAGCATTAACATACCCGAGACAATCTTTTTGCTAGTATTCACGTACAATAGCCTGACTGTTCCTTGGAAGAAAATTCCGACACGATGGGTTGAATGGTTGTACAATTCCACAATTTATGCCTGTCAGAAGCTGTTTGCTGTATTGGATTAAAGTTGTGTACACTTTTCTTTCCTTGTGACAGTTCTAATTCTGAAATGAAATCATTGCCCTCCATGAACCCTTGTGATAGATGTTTGGGATCAAAGTATTATGCTGATTGAATGTAGTGCGTCTTCTCTGCAGCTGACATGATATTTTATGGCTGGTTTTTGGCAATTGGTCATGAGGCCAGTGAATTTGATCTCATTCAATAAGCGTTCTGTTATTTTGTATACTGGTAATGAGTATATTAATCATGTTGAATTGCTAAATCATGGTTTGTAAATGCCAGATTTGCAGTTTGTTTTGCCTGATTCTCCATCAAATTCCATTTAGATTGTAGAACATTGAAACTGAACGGTCTTTTTTACTGTTTTACACTTTGAGGTTTCCCATGGAATTTTCAGTCTGAAGATGGTTTATATTTAAGTGAAGGTTTTAAAAGTTATATACTAAATATTGGGAAGAATAGAAAATGGGCCATATGATGTTTAGGATAAAGTATGTAGAGGTGTTCATTAGGTGACTAATTTGTGTCCTTTTATTTGACGTAGTTTGTGGGTTGAATTCATTTGTGGAGTCCTATAGCTCAGTGGTTAGAGCATTCGCCTCTCAAGCGAGTGACCTGGGTTCGATTCCCAGCAGGGCGAAACCTTGAGCAAGTTTCCTTACTCCACATGCCTGATAATATTCCCTCAATAAAAAAATAATAAATTGGTCACTTCAATCCACAACTGTTTGTGGGACACTGCTGTGCGCAATTGGCTGCTGCGTTTCGCCCACAGATATACAGTCAGTTCACTTTAGAGTATATTCTATATCAAATGCAGGATTATTATTATTATGATTTTGATAAGGGAACTTTCCATGCCCGCTCTGCACTTTCAACTATTTTTCTATCTCGTGTCATTTTCTTAGTTTCATAAAAATGTTAAGAATATAAACTATTCTTTTTCTAATTTTAAAACAAAATTCATGAAATAAAAACTACTACCCTGGGGATTTAGTTTCCTATATTTAACCTTGCAATTCAGGTGTTGGTGCCTTGCAAAAGTAGTCTGTCACGAGCCAGCCTGGCATCAGCCAACTTTGAATCTTACATGTTGGAGCCATTAGAGGAAAACAGTGGTAGTTATCGAACATTGAACGGAAAGGTAAGCTTTTAATTCACCATATTGTTTCCCACTTAATTTATTTTGTCTGTATAAATTTTAATGTGAAATGAGATTTTGTGCGGTGAAAGGCACTGTATTGTGTTGATTTTTCACTTGCAAGATATTACTTTTGCACCAGCGATAATAGATTATAGTTTTCTATTTCACGTAATGCAAATGTTTCAAAATATATATAAAGCATTGGTGTCTTTCAGGAAGGAAGGAAGAAAGTTGTGGTAAAACTGCTTATTGGATTTTCATTTAATTTTCCTTCACTGTTAAATGTCCGTTCCATTACTCTCATTTCTTCCAGGAAGTAACCATTAAGGGAAATCTAGTTAATCTTGGAGCTGGCTTCAGCTCACCTTATGCAATACGTATTCTGTTTGAAGAGACCTTTTATAATGAAAAGGAAGAAAGTTTCAGCATATTGTGCATTGCTCGACCATTAGAAAAGAATTCCAGCGCAGGTAAGCAAGTACCAACTATGCGAACATATTGCATTGTGCGCATGTTCGTCAAATTGTTACAGCACATTTCACAGGCAGTGTCATTGGGGGAAAATTTCAGCAAACTAGTCTGTTTTACATTAGCAGAACTGAATGAGCTGGCTCCTTTTCTGATTTAATCCCCTCCCTGCCCCTGGGAAGGCTGGAATGCAATTTAATCTCCCTGGACAAGACCAGCAAATTCAAACCAGCAGCTCCTGGCCCGTAAGCTGTAGCTCTCTCTATCCACTACACCATTGGGGTTGCCTGCTTCAAAACCCTTAGATTAGTTGCCGCATTCCTATCAGGCCAGTGTTCAGAATTTTCTGGAGACCAGTCAAGAGTGGCATTCGTGTTGGCTTGGGAGCAGACAACCTACCCATTCTTTCAGCTGCAGAGGCCTAGGGCGCAGGGTATACTTGATAATTTATTTTTTGCCAAAAAGCTTAATATCTTAATCTGCCATAACAGTAACTCATATTATGTTAGTTCAAGCTCTTTGTTCCTGCAGTGGTAAGCTATGCCCTTTCAATGAGGCAATGATGAACCAAAAGCTAATTTGTTTAATGAATAGTATTCTTAATTTGTCTTTCATACATTGGTGCCTACTACTTGTGTACTAATATACAATCTGTTACTGTTTCTCTTTGTAGATGAGATTCCCTCTCCTGTATATTCCAACTGCCTGAAAAACCTCGAGGATGCTAAAGAGTTTTTGGGTCGGCAATTATACAAAGTGGATAAGTACATTGGAGCTTTCCGAAGTTCCTTTAGAGAGCTTGAAATGAAAAGTCTACGGCATCACATAGTTAGTACAAATTTGTGTCCTTTTTTTGCCTATGAGATGTGTGAAGTTTATTTTCCAATCACTTTCTGATTTAATTATTGGGGGAAGGGGAGAAGAAGGATTCCTTCCTTTCATACGTCCCCGTGACCACAAGAAATGTGTAAATTAAGGAAGCTCTGATGCTCATTTGATCTCATCCTTCTAGATGCCTATCGTATCATCTTCTCGTAACAACCTTCCAGGCTTTTGCTAGAGTCTTCCTCTTCCATCATGTGAGGACAAGACCAGCCTCTGCTTGGCACTCTCTCTCACTTCCTAATGTCAGAAGATTTTCAGAGTATTGCAGTTCCCCCATCAGGAATTCATCCCGTAATGAAAGGTTCCTTGATGGCAGGGACATTATATTGATAGGATCTTCATTAAACAAGCAAAAATGGGACTAGGTTGGGCTAGATTCCTCTTGCAATTGTGGGAGTTTACTCCTTTCTCTAATAATATCGTCTGTAGAACAATAGTGTGCCTACAAAAACAACAATCAACATTATTTTCAGGTTAGACAAATATTAAGGGACATTTTGTCCTGGCTCACTATGATTTACTCTTTATTAAGGAGCAGTGTGTCCATTATGTTGCAGTTGAATTTGCTCTTTGAAAGCCAAGTGCTAGTTGTCATGAGTTAGAACTTTTTTTTGACAAAGAAGTAACTTCAGCAAGTTATTTTTAGCATTACATTCCAAAGGCTCAATGTGTCATATAACAATTTAAGATTCTTTATGCTTCTAATTAGAGTATTGTTTAATTGAATTATTTTTGTTGCTTTTTCTCTTTCCTTGTTGTTTCTGTGTATTGTCCTTTCCTTTTCCCTTTAGTCTCTTGTGGATGTTTGACAGCTCTTTTAATAATTGGCAAGCCTTTAATCCAATCCGTGGCTAAGTGCTAGACTGAACTCAGCAATAAATAACTTGAAAAACTTAATTGAAGAGATCAGATGGCCTAATTTGGATTGTGGAGGGGTGGGGGTTGGGGGATAAGATGGAGTTGTTTACGATTGTCGCATTACAACACATAAAAATGTATCCTTGCAGCTGATATTATCATGTTGTACTTTAGATAATTAATAATATTATTAGATTTTTTGTCTCTTAAACCTTTTTTTGACACAGACTGCTAGCAGTTTTTCATGTATTCTTGTTTCTGTGGGCTGATTGGTTCCGTACAGTTTCACTTCTCCCCCTCCATTAATATGAAGTAGGATTGCCTTTTTGCTACTTTTTTAAAATCTGAGTCAAAAATCTTTTGAAAGTGGTGCCAAAAGCCATGGTTCTAGCACAAACAGGAGGAGTAAATTGGGAAAGAATCATATTATTCCCACCCTTTCAGCCACTACAGCCAGAAACTTTGCAACTGTCTCCGTCAGTCCCTCCACCTTGCCCCCTCCGTCCCCTTTTTCAGACTACACCTGAAGACCTTCCACTGGGCTTATGGTCACCTCCCTCTCCCCGGCTTGGCCTCAGGCTTGCCACTGTGAAGTGCTCTGAGATGCTTCCCTGTGTGAAGGGCGCTATATAATGCAAGTTGTTGTTCACAGTTGTTGTTGTATTGTGTCAGTTGAAGGATTGATTAAAATTGGGACCTCCAGCAGGGAAGCTAGCACTAACACAATGGCCAAATTGTTTGTTTTGTGGTTGGTAAATCTCTTATGATTCAAAAGACTGATCAATTGACCTCTTTAATTTTTGTTCTCTATCATGATTTATTTTTACTTTAATCACAGAATATCAGTGCTAAGTAACATCTACAAGAGGAAATAGGGATTTGAGGTGTGTGGGAGAGGGATAGGAAGAGAGGATTAGTTAGTTTATAAGGAGTATAAACTCTCAACATGGACTAATTGGGTTGAACTTTTTCTAATCTAGAATAGGAGCTTAATACAAATCCAAATTTGGGTAATAGTTTCATTTGTTTTTACTTGAAACAGGACGCTGTGAATGCACTCTATACAAAATGCTTGCAATATCTTTTGAGAGATTCCCGATTGGTAAGTTGTTTTGTATGCCCCATCCTCCGGGATTTTATTGGGACAGCTTTCAAAAACTACACAGGAGTTTGAAACTGCAATTAAATATATCTGACAAAACTAATCTTATTTTTGCAATGATCATTGTTGAATTTCAGAAAATCGTGGCCAAACAGGAGATGCAAATGGCATTGTTGAAGCAAGCGGTTGAGGTGTGTACCACATTTTTAGTCATGAATGTAGCATCATACTGGTTCTATTAGTGATTAGAAAGCTGAGACTAGATTATTTCCTGTTATTCATCCTGCAGATGTATGTACTTCATGGTATCCATGATCAGATCTTTAAGAGTGTGGGAACTATCGAGGCCAGTCAGGTATGACTTGCTCAGCTGATTTGTGTCCTTTTATTTGTATGTTTGATTGACATTTAACGATCTGATAGTGTAGTGTGTTCTGCATGAACTTGATATAGTTGGATGATAATGTTTATTCATATTAAAATATTACTTTTAGCAGATTTTTCATGCATTCAGTGCAACAGATTATAGATACTTTGAAACGTAACCTGTGCTTTCTATTGATTCATCTATTTTGGTCAGAAATTATCTCTGTTTGAGTGGTGGTGACACATGGTGTTTATTTGCAGGATGCTGCTTTTAATAAAACTACCCGAGGATTACAAGACCTTCAGCTAAAAGATTTGGGGATCAAGTCTGAGTTCAGGTAAGATTATTGGATCTAAAATCGAGTCTTGCGAGCAGTCACTGACTTTCAACTTCTAGTTCTGTGACAGTTTTATGTTTCGCTACATTAATATTGGATTTCCTTCCAAGAGCGTTAAAATATTTCTGAATCGTCTTAATACTGACAATCTTGCTTTTAGTTGTATAGCTGTATGATAAATTAGACTCAAGTATAAAAGAGAAGTAATTTAAAGGTAAAATTGAAGGCTATTTACTCTTTCATTTTGGTTCTCTCTCCAGCATTAATATACCTCGTGCCAAACGGGAATTGAGTCAGCTGAACCGGTGTACCAGCCCCCAGCAGAAGCTGATTTGTTTACAGAATGTAGTACATGCCATCATGCAGTCCCCAAGCCAAAGAGGTTAGGAATGTTTCAGGAATGACACTTCAGTTTTATACTGTAGTTTGTTACTGTTTTTTTTCTATTCAAGTTTACCTATTTGATTAGTGTACCGCATATTTTTTAAAAACATTTCACCCACAAAATATAGTAAATTCACTTTACAGTATATTCTCAAGGATTATTATATATAATATGATTTTTTAAATAAAATAAGCTCAGTGTCTCGAGTGGAATGAATGAAACACTGTTTACAATCTACCATATTACTGTTTGCAAACAAGATGCTAATTGCTTGGTTTTCTATTTCCAGTTAATTTGCACTCTATGTCAGCTGATGATCTGTTGCCTGTTCTGCTTTACTTACTGGTCAAAACAGAAATTCCCAACTGGTAAGAACCTTCTTTAAAAATTAAATATTCAAGATAATAGTGCAGTAGAGCACTACCTATATGTTCGTCAGATAACTTGGCTCTGCTTACCCACTGCACTTGAGAAAGTGAAATCTTGATGAAATTATGATGCCAAAGACGATTTTCATATATATATGTATATTAAAAAAATTATGGTTGCTCATTTAGCATCCTCCCCAGCAGGAATGAACAAGAAGCTGTTTATAACATTGAACTTTGGCAAGGGTTCAGAGAGTGAACCAGCTACAATGATGTTGTCCATCCGGAATTGGCTTCTGAAGCCTAAAGTCCACGGCCAAATGTTCTGCTTCAGATTTAATGTTGATGTTTTGTTTGGACATTGCTCAAACCTGATCCTTTGGATAAAAAGGTTCCCTGACTGCATGTTATCGATGTCTGGTTTGATTATGGGAGTTGTCATTTGATTTCTGATAGAATATGTGGTTCTGGACCAATGCTAGAAATCTGTGAAGTGAAATATTACCAGTCGTTAAACTGACCAACCTTGGGATGTGTGCATTAGATATCCCCCATTATAATTACATGCAGTCAAGGTTAGTAACTTTTACCGAGCAATGTTCAGTCACTATATACTCTCATCCTGTCTCCTTAACCCTTCCTTCTTGCCCCCTCTCTGTTTTCCAAAAACAGCTCACAATCCACCTCTCTAACTGTACCTAAGTTTCTATTTGCACCTCCTCCATATTCCCTGCTGCTGTCTGGCACCGTTTATGTAACCACTCCACATTTTGCTCCTACTCCTTATCAGTATGCAGCGAGATTATGCTCAGAAATTAAACCTCTTACATGCTGATCGATGAAGGTCGGAGTGCCTTTGCAGTATTCAAATCCTACTCATGTGATTGACACTTGGCATCTATCAACATTTCTTATAAACTGTATTTTTCTGTGCTTGTTGCCTCACTGCTAACTGTATTCACTCTGTATTAGTATTCAGTGTCTCATGTAACTGCTCTTGGCTCGTGTTTGACATCGTGCATTTAGACAGTTCTTTTTTAATAAAGTATACTTTGCCTTTTTTTTAAATTTAAAGCTATTTGTGCGAAGAGAGACAACCTTTTATATTTTAGCAAAAATCTGCTAAACTTTTAGCAGTTACATATTTCTTTCTCTCATTACAGGATGGCCAACCTTAGCTATGTCAAGAATTTTAGGTTTTGCAGTGCAGTAAAAGATGAGTTGGGATATTGTCTAACTTCCTTCGAAGCGGCAGTGGAATATATTCACCAAGGCAACCTAAAGTTTGGACAGCCAGTAAGAAATCCTTTGTCTACAATTTTTTTTATTTCTGTTTCTTAACGTATGAGGTAGTTGGCCAATAAGCTGGAGGTTAATGACCGCAAACTTGAATTGTTAGTGATAAACACTCTCGAGGTCATTCCTGTTGGTTTTTAATAGATCTTGTATCATATTTTCTGTAACATAAAATGATCTAATGTTTGTGTCGTCCTCTCTCAGGTTCAGATTGTAGCAGAGATGGATTTCATATTTATTTGCCATGATTTTTTTTTAAAAATGAACATCAATAACATTGCCATGTATCCCAGTGTAAATGGGGTGGCGGGGGAAAATATATACATTGTACATGCGTTAGTTGTGTTGGCCTGGCATCAATTTGCAGGTACTTATGATGAGGATTATTAATTTTACATAATATTAACTACGTGCACTTTACATCAATCCATGACATAAGCTTATTTTATTTCTTGGCTGATATCCAAAGGTTATTAAGTTCACCCCAAAGGTCCAAATAGAAACTCATCACCAAAGATGTTTGCAGATATTGGTTCAAACGACCATTTACATTTGTCTTGCATATGAAACACCTGCTGTGTGCTGACAGCAGGTTATCGAGGCAATAAGGCCATGTTCGTGCTATACAACCATCTGCTCATAAGGCTTCTTGGTGACATTTTCTTTTATGCTTTGGAAGCATAGTCAAGCTGTGGCTTCATGCAAAATTTAGGTGGGAGTGAAAGGATAAAGTGCAGGAGTATTTGTCTATTCTGAAATACCTGCCTCTGTTAAATTAATAAAATGTACATATGAATCTTAATTTTGGGCATTCAGTTAGTAGGTGATATATTGCTTGAACCCATCACCCAAACACTGCACAGAGTGGTTCTAACTCAATTGGCAGAGGTCTACATTTGCACTTTGAGAAAAAATTATAATGTGGAAGATTGAGAGGCAGGAACTCAATCTCCCAATGTAACAGCCTGATTTCAATGCAGACTTCATTTTCATTGTTACCAGTGGGTTAAAATGTTGAGACCTCCTGTGATCTCACTTGAGTTCAGATTGTGGTGTGCAAGGCGTCTTGAGCAACTTTGCTTTTTGCTCTTAAAGTTGCTCTCTGCAACACAGTATTGTGTAAGTGAACATAAATCGATGGCAAATGTTTGGTAGTATTTTGCTCGTTTTCTCAGTAATTTTGTCAAATGTTATAAATGGTGGAACTGTTTTTCTGATTGGTTTGCTTCCTATGTTAATAGGGTTCTGGTGACTTGAATGACAAAGTCTTTTTTAGACAGAGGATGAATTTACTGTCTCAGCTGTCCACCGCTCCCATTGATTTCTTATTTGAGGTAAACCTGGATTGCTTATGTGTATCTGTTCTTACTGCAGTCTTAAACAAATCAATTCAATCTGGTAATGGTCTGAGTGGCTGGATTCTTAGATTCATTCTAGAGTGTCATTTCTAGGGGCTGACTTGTGAAACTAGTAAATCTTGAAATGATTAGATGCACAATTGCTAATAAGACACAGCTGCATTGAAAAAAAAACTTTTGAAGGTGATTTGAAAATGTTCATTGAAAAGTCACTCTTTCGTGTTGAATCTTTTAATGTCTGCTAAACAGAACTAATGCCTTAATATGAATTTAGACCCCTTTTATTCGCCATGACGATGAGTTCTTTCAGGTTATCAGAAGCTGAACAAAGGAACTTTGTCAATTGATGCAATTTTAATTGCTTATTTCTTATAAGACTGGACTTCAACTTGATTATGACTGCAAGCTCCTTTCTTTGGTGGTACACAGGAAAGGGTTATAATACAAAAGTCAGTATCATTTGTAATTTTGTGACAATGTGCTTTCCAGCAGGTTTCCAGGCAGAAAAGAACCTGGGAATTGTATAATTGGCTTTCTGTCCTCTCAGTTAATGCTTTGCTGGGGTGTCTGTCATGGTCATGTGTGCAGATACTCCTAATGTGCAGCTGTGCAGAGACCTATTAAAATGTGACCTGTGGTTCTGGTGTTGCCATACCCATGATTCGCTGCCCCGTGAGTTCTTAATCTCAACTGGGTCATGGTGGGGAGAGGAGAGGGAGAAGCCGTATGAAGCAGAGGTCAGACAGTTAACCTTAACAGCAGGAGGCAGAGCAAACTGGGGAAGTCATCTTGTATACTTCCTACTACCCAGACTAGCCGAGGTCAGAGCATGTTGATTTATGGATGCCCCCAAGCATGGTTGTATTACATTTTGGGTGGGGAGAGAAGAGAAGGGAGGATGTATAAAAAGTCTTGGTAGTAAATCTTTCTTGCTCTCCCCACCCCATGGCTGATTTTGTGGTTGTATTTTGACAGCATATCGCAGCTGGTAATCGGGCAGAAGTGGAAGCATTGTTGAGTCAAGGTGAAAATGTTGAGGACCACGTGCAGAAAATGTGCCATCCGCTCTGCTTCTGTGACAACTGTGAGAAGCTGGTGTCAGGGTAAGCTGACAATTGGTTTGAAAGGTGCTGCTTGATGTTAATCAAAAAAGTACGTCTGACTGTGAAAAGGTAATGGAGATAGTCCTCCATACATTAGCTATTGAATTTAGAGATGTGTTGGCAGAGCTTTCACACGTCTATTATGTCGATGACAACGTAACTTGTACGTCCATCTTTCTTTAACTATCAAATTTGTGTGATTTTTTAAAAATAAAATAAAAGTACCCAATATCAACATCAAGAACATGGTAACTTTTTTTTAAATTGAAGAATAACCATAGATGGGAGAGAAAATTTGTTGAGGGGTGTATTGGCTGCATAAATATTGCTACAGGTGACTAAATTTAGTAGTAGATTTGAGTCGATGCAACTTCTAGGTAAAGGCCTTTTTTTAAAAAAAAAATTGTTTAAGTGAGATGAATTCAAAAATAGAGTGAATGTACTGTCTCAGAAGAGTTAAGTGTTCCAGGTCGTTGTGTGTGCTAACTTCAGGGTACACGGTTAATCCACTGTACAATATATTCTGCAAAGCATTTTGAGACGTTTTGATAAGACTCCATATCAAATGCAAGGATTATTATTATTAAGATTGAAACCAGTGGAAGTTGGTTAACTATACACACAACCCAGAGACTTTAAATATCTGCATGCTTACTCTAAACTTCAGAATTGTGAGGATAAATTCATTGCATTTTAAGCAACTGTAACTAATTCAGAATGTCATTTTTTTAAACTCCCATTTCTTAATGCTTTTATTTTATCGTAGGAGGATGAATGACCCATCTATAGTCACTCCATTTTCCAGAGATGATCGGGGCTACACACCATTGCACGTGGCTTCTCTCTGCGGTAAGTTGTATTTGCGTGCCGAAGTTTTTAAACAGTAAATTATGCACTAAATTACAAGACAGTCACATTCTTTGCTGAAGTGGGTGGGGAAAAAAAAATCCATTCATTGATGTAAATGTTTGAATATTCCACGATTTTACAGTTGTAGATTTTCTTATTGTTTTATCTAAACTGACTATTTCATCCACAAGGCCAAGCAACGTTAATTGACCTGTTGATATCCAAAGGAGGAACAGTTAATGCTATAGACTATCATGGATTCACCCCGCTCCATCTCTCCTGTCAGAAAGGATATCAAAATGTGACAGTGAGTGAAACAGTCCAACAATTTTACAAGATGCCTGAAGAATCAATTACAATATTAGTCTTTCTGCTTTCAAACGGGTACATCGTCTGTGTAATGATGACCCATGCTCTCACTTGGAGTCTTTTCATGTTTTGTGAGGATTAATTGGGTATACAGCTACTGTGTTTTGATGTGGTTCAGTAAAATAATGTCTGGCATGATGACTCCAATTTATATTGCACATCAAAGAAAATTTCAGAGTTCAGATGATAAAATAAACAGCTTAACTTGTTTTGCAACTTGACATTTATCTCTCTTTCTTCCCCACCCACCCCCTCCAGTTGTTGCTTCTCCACTACAGTGCCAGTTCTGAAGTTCAAGATAATAATGGCAATACTCCACTTCATTTGGCTTGCATGTATGGCCATGAAGATGTAAGTTATTTTAATACAAATTCAATGGCAGAATAATAAATGCACATTAGTAATTTTTGTTAAACTTTCATGTTTTCCCTTTCGCCTCTGGGGGTAAAATGCATTAGGATTTGAGCAAGCACTTGTTATGAGGAAGAGGCCAAGTAAAATAGTAATGCTAAATATTAATTCTGAATTATTAGCTTTTTTTTTTTAGCTGTGATTTCTCTTGTTTAAAAAAGAATTCTTTTAAGTATTAACAGAAGATTTAGGGAAGCCTAAATGATCAAGGTAAATGGATGTCAGTGAAGGTTGCTGCAGTCTTTTTGTTTCTTGTTGCATTTTAATATTAAATAATGGATTTGGGTTGATTAACCATAAATACTCTCGTGTGGCATTTTTTTTAACTTGATTACGGTATTAATTTAACCATTACTTTTTTGTTTGCAGTGTGTCAAGGCTCTGGTTTATTATGATTTAAATGCCTGTAGGTTAAACCTCACAAATGACAAAGGTGATTCACCTCTTCACATTGCAGCTCGATGGGGATATGACGGGATAATTGAGGTTTTACTGGAAAATGGAGCAAGTAACGAAATTCAGAACAAAATGAAAGAAACTCCATTACAATGTGCACTCAATTCTAAGGTCAGTTTGCATGTTAAGGCAGTTTGCTCTGTGATTGGAAAAATGTCTTTCAAGATCCCCTGCAGTTTTAAGAGGGAAGAAAGGGACGTTAATAAGTATTTGTTAGTTCATTCTTGCATGTTAGTATACGTAATTGAGCAGAAACTGCAAAAGCTCAGCTGAATTTAATATGATTTGGATGTGAAAATGTTACTAGAGCATTAAACTCAAGTACCAGTTAATTTGCTGATACTATTTTTGCATACAAATTCAATGTTTTTTGGGGAGTTTTAAGTTGTAATGTTCTTTACAACCAAGACTTGCTTCAGTAAATTCTATCAGTAAAAATGTTTTGCATTTTGATTGTCTTTTCAAAGATTCTTCTTTGTCTTGCTTTTTTTTAAAAGAAAATCCTTTCTCACTTTGTGGAAACAATTAACCTGGTTTAATGTCTTATCCAAAAGATGGCACCTCTGATAATACAGCAGCCCCCCCTCCCCCAGCACTCTACTGGAGTGCAATAAATGGTTGCTTGCTGAATAATGCATTTATTTCATCCTGTGACCATTCACATAGTAAAAGATGAGCTAATATCTCTGACATGACATTGTCCTTATATTTGATATGAATTGTCACAACTACCTCATATCAAACACAAGGTGAGGAGAAATCCCACATAGGGGAGGTGAGGGGAAGTTTTTTTTACACAGCCAGTTGTTCGGATCTGGAATGCATTGCCTGAAAGGGTGGTGGAAGCCAATTCGATAACAACTTTTAAGAGAGAAGTAGATAATGATTTGGGGAGGACATGTTTGCAGGGCTATGGGGAGAGAGCGGGGGAGTGGGATTGAATTGAATAGCTCCTTTTAAAGAGCTGGCACAGTCACGATGGGCCGAATGGCCTCCTTCTGTGCTGTATAATTCTATGATTCTATAATGCCTCCAGTTGATCCTGAACTCAGTGGTGAAAGCTGATGTCATCTGATGCTCATGGTTGATGTCGATAAAGAGGTTAATCCTATACTTGACAAACTTGGACCAAAAGTATTTTAAAAATAGATTTTGATTCGCTATATAGTGTCACCTCATGTGTTTGAGATTAAATTGTATTTTTGGGAAGGCATGAGATTATGTTGTATTTTTGGAAGGTATTAGTGTTTTTTTGACGCAGTGCTTTTTGTTTCTAATTAATAGTTACTCGCTTTCTGTGCATCAAACGAGTAATTAATTTACATCAGAGGAGAAGGAGAACTTTTTCAATTTATGTAAAAATGTTAATACAGGGAAAGTTCATTAAGACTTTGGGCCCAATGCTGACTGAGAAAGTGGCTGTTTTCCGGGATGTTGGGTCCCTCCTGAGGTTGCCTTGAAGCACCGTTGATGTCACTTTCTTTGTGCATTTTGCTTAGGCATTATATCTGCATTATAAATTCAGCAGTATTGTTGCCAGTTAACAAAGTGTTGTGCAAATATAATGTTCTTCTCAAATCCTTTCAGATATTAGACTTGCTGGAAATCACCCACATTGGTAACGATAGACGACAGAGTGTTCCCGAGGTAATTTTCATTATTTTGTCCTAATCAAACTGACTCTTTCAGGGTCTTAAACAACAATGGGATCGAGCTGCAATGGTGTGGTATTGATTCTGTCTGTTAATACTTCATCAGAACATCAGGAAGCAACTTTTTTTATTGATCAGACTACTATTTCTCCCCAGCAGTCTCTGCAGCACCAAAGCCACTAAGGTGGCCAAACTATATAATGTTGAGTGGCACTTTAAGAGAAGTTAAACAAATGATCTTATTTGTTAGCCTGGTTTACCATAACTTAGCCTTCCTTAATCATCGCTATTTTGGGGGACATAAGGGGGGTGGGGAGGCGAACAAAGGTTTTGCTAACAATTATTTTGCTTAGCTGTAGTGTAAGTGTAATATTGTGTATCCTGAACTGTTGCTTTATTTGTAGTCCTCTATCAGATCTCAATCTTCAACAGACGCCGGCAGTCAGAAGTCATCTGTTTCCAGTCTATCCTCTACGTCAGTTGAGGTGAGGCACGAGGAAGATAAGGGCCGATACAAAGAGGTAAAAGGCTGGTTTCACTCCACTGCTGTTTCTACATAATCCAGAATCTCTCCTGGAGTACTAGCACATCTGAATCACTTGAGGCAATAAAAGATATCAACAAATATCACTCAAAACTGATCAAAATTTCCAAGAATATATATTAACAAAAAAAGGATTTAAGTAACTTTCATTCTTGAAGTGGTCGGAGGATTCTAAGCATAGTATTATGGAGGGGGGACACGGGGCTTTAAAAGGGGGAAATGAACAATTGAGCAAAGCATCATTCCAGTGGTAAGCAAACCGTAAAATAGAGCCTGGATTATAATGCAGTAATTAGGGTTCCATAAGATCCCAATGAAAGCAAGTAACAACATACGCTCGCTAGTAAGAGGTTCAGCATTCGCTGTGCAGAAAGATACTAATAATCCTTGCAGTTGATATAACTCCTTATCACGTTTTCGAGACATCTCAAAGCGCTTTATAGTGACTGTATATTTTGTGGACGAAACGCGGAAGCACACAGCAGCGTCCACAAGCAGGTAGTTGGCTTCATTCCCGCATTAACAACCCTGGCTGGTGTGCAGGTAACCAATGTGACTGACGTCGGGGTCACTTTTAAACTTGTTGAAACATTTTTTTTAAAAAAACAAGCTTTTAAACTGCCTTCACATTGCTGCAGTTTAAATGCCTCCTACACTACACACCACTTGCCTGAATCGAGTGGAATTTCTGAAAATGTCGAGATAAAAGCTACATCGAATTGCTGCAAAGTATTAACTGCAGCATAAGGAACTCTTGATAATCCTAGCTAGCAACAATCCAATGTCATGAGGCAAAAAGGAAAATGGTTCAAGAACTAAATATTTTAAACTATTTTGGGTTATTGGTGAGTAAAAATAGTAATGAAAGTTGCCAAATGCCTTGATTCAAGTTGTTTTCATTTTAGAAATTGATGTTTTTTAATAGGTCCTTAACCAGTTAACTCATTAATGTTTTGCGTAATCCTTGTCTAACAAGATTAGAGTGTTGTTGAAGGGCATGGCCTAAAGCCAGATAATGCAGTTTTATTTCAACTTGTTAATCCAAATAAATTTAGCTTTTTGTCATTTCATTGCAGGTAGAAAAATTACTGCGCGCTGTTGCTGATGGAGATTTAGAGATGGTGAGTGCAATGCCATCAAACATAACTGAAAATATTGGGGGGGGCATTTGTACAGGAAGCATGTGAATCCAATTTTGGGGTCCTCTTTGTACCTGAGGTTTGCTATCCATATTGTTAATCTGTGCTCCTTATTTTCAGGTGATTAGCACATTAACGTGGTGACATCGCAGTCTTCTGACATTAGTGCTTGTGTGGCTAAATTGCCAGTGTGTAAATACTGAGCATCGTTTGTCTCTGGTGTGAAAAGAGGCTTAAAGGACATTATCAAGAGTGCTATCTAAAGTAAATTATTTTGGTGGGAAGATATGGGTGCCATAAGTGTTCTCCCTCAGTAATCCTCTATCTGTCTGCTTATGGTACAGCCAGATCAGATGGTATGAAGGAGCCTCTAATTTTTATTGAATCTGCTGAAAGCAGACTGGGAATTATTGTGACTGCGAGTGACTGAATATACGGTGTTCATAACTTTTAATCCCATTTGTAAAAGTGTTTTTGTAATGTATGATTTTTTTTTTGCTGCTCTCAGTCATTGCTAGTTAAATATGAATATCGCCTATATCAAAAATCATTTCAGTTTTCCTTAGATCTGCTTTCAGTCTTCCTTTCTTTACCTGATAAATGAATTGCATTTTATATTCCTTTTCTCTCCCATGGGCTGCCCTTTTAACGTGTTTTTTTTTAAAAAAAAGACTTTCGTTAAATTAAGACCATTTGACACATTAAATCTATTCCTTCAACAGAAAGTCTACATGTTTCCCTACCATAGACTATTAGAGTTCCTGAGAGAAAGCTTGGCGCAAATAACAGTCTATCCATTGCCACATCTCAATTATTCACTACTTGTTGCACTCTACAGATGACAATTCCCCTCTTCCAGTTTTACCATTGCATCCCATGAAATAACGGGCTATCACTGTCTGTGCCTATCTATGTGAGCTTCCATCCTTTTCCCATCCAGATTTTCTACCAGCTCCATTTTGAAGATTTAATCACTAATTTTGCTAACTAGTTTTGCTAAGAGTTTGTTCCGTGAATCTGTGGGAATCAGTTTCTTTTCATTTCCAGTTTCACTTGAGGTTTATTAATGTCAAGGTCCTTGACCTTGAATAACTGAATCGGTTTTCTCTTCCCTTCCCTCTTAATCTAATTTTTCTTTCTATATGGAAAAGCCACTCAACAAATCTCTCATCATTTAGACTAAATCCTAAAATAATCCTGGTTGTCCTTTTTTGGGAAGCTTTTCCAAAATTGACACACAATATTTTGAATATAACTTGTTCCAATTTAGTCAAATACTTTGAGATGAAAAGCTGAGATGTCTTTGGGTTTTCTTGCCTTAAGCTTCATATTAACTGGAACTTTCGGTGACTGATCAATAGTCCTTGTGCAGCTTTGGTAATGGACAGCCTGTATGCATTGCACGCATCAATTTTTAATGCACGTAACCGTAACCTCACATTCATTCATTCGTTGCCCATCGCATTATTGTTTTTTTCCCTTAGTCTAGTCATATTAGCGTGGATGGTATTCAAAAATGTAATATAAAACCCTCCTCCGATATCCAGACCTTTTTCTGTAATGAATAGATCAAAAATAAAATATTCTTGAGCAGGTTAATTTGGGTTCCCAAGACCTTCTGTTGTAAACTGATTACAAATAAATATGGAAGCTAATGATAGGTTATTGGTCAAATGATCAATCTACATCGAGAATTGGAAGGAAATGGAGTTATCTGACATCAGTTGCTTAAAACCCTTATTAACATTTTCATAATCTTAGAAATCCACTCAAATCCACTTTAAGGGGATTTGAACAGAGGAGAGTGATCACTGATTAAGTTGTATATTGTCGTTTATAATTTAGTTTACTGTCATTCAGCAGTCTGACTGCCCCTAGCACAGTGAGCTTTCATTTGTCAGTAGGAACCAAGATAAATCTATATTAGGAAGCTGGAAAGTGAGGACTTCGGGATATTATTATTATTATTAATGTAGACACTACAGATTTATCTAATTTTATTAAAACTGTTGAAAATCAATTGAATATTCCCTTCTGTTCACAAGCTAGGAAGCTTGACCATGCTGTATTTTATATTTAGGTACGTTATCTATTAGAGTGGATGGATGACGAGCCAGAGGAAGAGGATGAACCTGTGTTGAAATCTGAATTCTGTCACCCTTTATGCCAATGTCCAAAGTGTGAACCTGCTCAAAAGGTATATTCTCCTTTCTGTAGACTACAGCCTCGCTCTCACTTGAGCTGTGTTTCAAATGACATTTAGTGCAATCTCCTGTTTGCCATCAAGGTTGCTGAATGGTTTATGTGTTCTGCATAGAAACTTTCCAGTGTTACTGTAAATGGACTGAGTGTGAATGCTACCAATCAGGATGGGTTTACACCGCTACATGTGGCTGCTTTACATGGACACTTTGACCTTGTCTCACTTCTGCTGCGGCACGGTGCCAGTGTCAACACAAAGAATTTCCACAATTCAACTGCACTCCACCTAATTTGCCAGCACAATGAACCACAGGTAAGACTTAGCAACAGCGAGTGGCCTGCATTAATATCTTCCTATTCTCTTCCCCCTCTCCCACCAAAATAAAACATTAACCCCAGTGCCTTCGCCTTGCTTCCTCCCTTTCCTCCTTCAAGGCCGGTCTCAAAACCTTTCTCTTTGACCGTGGCTTCAGCTCCCCTCTCGACTCTATCCCCTCCTCGCTCCCTCCCTTCCCTCCCCTCACCCTGACCATGTCCCCCCTGCTCGGGCCCTGACCCAACTGTCCAGCGCCTTGGGACGTCCTCCCGACGTGAAGGCGCGCTATAAATGAAATCTTGTTGTTGTTAACCTTGTGCAGTTTACATCTTTTTTCCTCCATGTATCTGCATTTTCACAGCTATTTAGTGGAACAATCAATTTCTGTTCTGTCCTCCTTCCTCCAGCTGGGCTATATTTATATCTGTTTGCTTGAATAGTTATATTGTAAAAAAAAAAGCTGAGCTATATTGTAAAATTAGATTTTGGTTGCTAATTGTCATTTTGGAAAATGCAAATGTTTCAGAGATCAAGGGGCTGCTTTACATTCAGAGATCTTTTATGTATAATGTTTATACATAATACATTGTGAAATAACATTACATTATTTTGATATTGCCTTTTCTGCTCTTGGAAGACAGTCCCAGTCGATCAACATCCAAATCTATTGCTTGATACTTTGCTATTCATTCATTTCCTAAGCTCACTTGGCATACTTCTCTCGTGCATATCAAATGGAATAGTGTTTCAAGTGCAGAGCTTTGAATGAAGATGGCTGATTATATATCTTCAAAATGGGTCTTAATAATTTGGAGAATAAGAATCCATCTAATCGACAAATAATGTATTCTGTCATAGTTGTGTGTTCGGAGTATTCATAAGGAGTGCCACCAAATTAAATTAATGCATTGGTATGAAATTAACATACCTAAAAAAATTGTTTTCATTTTTGGTTTGTATTCATTTCAGGAAATTATGGATTTTCTGTGGTTCTGAATTACTATTGAATATTGATTTAATCTTCTGGTCATATTATAAAAAGACAAAACACACCTTTCTGTGCTGTAAGATTCTATGATTCTGTTCCATTTCTTACAAAATCCAGTCGCATTGAAACTGCAAGAAATAGTTTTGAAATAGTTGGAATACTGTTTCTGGTTTGGTACAATAAACGTAGAACTTTTTTTCTTAAGTGCATTTTTTTAAATTAAACTCCATTTTATGTTCTTCAAATAAATAAGTGATACTCTATTCGTTCTGCTTTTGAAACAGATAGTGAAATACTTTCTGGATTATAATGCAAAATTGAATAAGAAAGATTCCTATGGTAATACTCCACTGTTGCACGCCTGTTTACGTGGCCATCTAGAAGTTGCTGAGCTGCTGCTAGAGGTAGGAGCATTTATTGTGTGAAATGTTTGTAAAGTTAAATTTATCTCTCTTAGTCTTGTTAGAATCAGACAATTTAGGCCATTATTTCTTCTGTGACTAGTTTGTATGTCCTGCAATATGTTGGGCTTGGGAAAGGAATCCTGTCCAAGCCCATATATGAAGCGTAGTGTGTAAGTGACAAAATCAACAATAGTCAAATGTAATAGCCAAACACGTTATTAGCTCCATGAATGATTTACCATTTGCTTATTTGGGGGTCGGTTCCTCAGCATGGCGCGTCCATCAACCTCACAAACAACCAAGGGAATACAGCCCTGCACGAGGCCGTAAAAGGAAAGCACGAAACTCTGGTGAATCTGCTCTTGACTTACGGGGGTTCAATCCACGTGCGAAATAAACAACAGTGTACACCGATAGACTGCGCTGAGGAAGTCTGCGGAAAGGTAAGAGGTTGAGACCAGCATGTGGCTTCATATCAGAACCTGATTTTTTGTTTTTTTAAAAAAAAATGACTCGGTGACTCCTGGCTGGATAAAGGCAAACGTAAAGCTCTTGCTATTTTCCAAAGTGGTTGCATCCTGAGCCATTCTTCCATGTACCTTCTGGCAGCGTTCAAGGTGAACAGGAATCCCTTCCTGACTAAGAAGGAAGTAGTTCAGAATATTTGTGGGGGCTGGCTGTATCGTAACTTTTGTTTTTACTGAATTTAATAAGCTTCTTGCTTCTTAATACATTTTGTACTTAACTTTGTCACAGGATACTGTTTTGTGTGGTCACAACAATATAAACACGTCATTTTTTTTACCCAAAGTGCAGAACAATGTGAATTTATGATCCATATTTATGGCTCAACCTAAAGGAAAATACATTTTAAAAAGTCAGATTTCATTCTACTAGTAATTTTATGATGATGGAAAGCTTTTTTTTAAAAAAGAACTATTTGTGCAACTGGAATGTCCTGGCTTCACTGAACAGTTTTTGGCTTGACACTTGCTTCTTGAAAATTGCACTCTTCAGTAAATTAAACTGGTTGGAATAGAGTAAATTCAAGATTGATTAATGCAAATAACAGTCAGTACTTGAAAGCATAGCTTTTAGCTGGGGCACACAGCCTTATAAACATGCTATCCACTTACCGTGGAAATGACACCACCATTCCATAATTTAAATTAAATCATTTCCTGAGCACCGCTGAAAATGTCATAGTGTGATAAATGGTGGATGCAGTTTCATTACCTCTACAGATGAGAACGGGTATGACTCATTATTTACTCCAGCCATAATGATAACTGGTGATTTAAAAATATTGCCTATTTTTAGGACACTGAGATTTTTAAAATCACAATCCCTTGGTTCTACCTGTTTAAATGTTAGTTGCATCTGATTTTTGCAAATTTTGATCTTATAGTTTCATAGTTATTGTGCTATCAAATATGAGTAGTGGAGTGCTAAGAAGTTTTGGTGCATATCCAATTGTTTTCAGTAGTCAGTAATTTGACTAATATCCCTGCTCCCCACCCCACCCCCATTGATATTTGAAAGCTTAATAAACTATTTTAATGACACTAAGGAATGTGGAGCATCACTTATTTTGTGGGTTAACATTGAATTATCTACTACAGCAACAACAAAATTACATTTATAGAGCGCCTTTCACCTCGGGAGGACGACCGAAGGCACTGATTTATCTATCTGATTTTCGCCCACAAAATTTACAGTCAATTCACTTTACAATATATTCTGTGAAGCGCTTTGAGACGTCTAGAAGACGTGAAAAGTGCTATTATCAAATGCAAGGATTATTCTTATTATTATCAGTTTTCCTCGTGGTATTGTTTTGCAACTCTATAAAGTTTTTGGCTTTCTTTTCTGTAAATGAGTTGCTTGGATTGCCAGTTGTCATTTTATTTTTGGTTTTATATAGATCCGTTTTTTGTGACCAGATTATTTTGGCCACCTGTTATGGCAGGAAATAATTGGCTGTGGTTCACCTACTGGTCTTTTTTATTTAGACTGCGCTGCGGGTTCCATAATTTGAATATTTTATAGAATGTTTATTTTACATTTCGACGGAGGTTTACAAATGTATGTTATCCCAGGGTTGCTGAATTTTGGTTTATGAGAAGTAATGTAGTCTGATACAGATACCCAGGAATAATCATAAAACATTTAAACAGAGGCAAGTCTATAATGATTTCTGGGGCTTTGTGTTTATTATATTCAGAATATGGAGCTTTTGAAGACTTTGCAGAGAGTATCTGCTCATGTGACTGAGATGGATGGTATTCCCCGACTCAACACTGATCGGAAGAATCTCCCTGAAAATGTCAAAAAGAAACGTAAGATATTACTGAAACATGAATTGAACAAGTGCATAAAAATATGACACTTTTGTTACAGAATTGCACAGAACTGACTAGAGAGGTGCAATCTAGGGTAAAGCAGTTTTTATTCATCGTCATGAATAAAAACTGCTTTACCCTAGATTGAAACTATAGGATAGTTTCTAATTCCCCAATTTATTGAATGAATTTTCTTCTGTGGAAAAAATGAAGCCACTATATGTATTTTAATAGGTGTTCAAATCCTGTTGATAGTCATAAGTTATTATGTAATTCCAATGTAGAAGTAGAACTAAATCCACTGACTGCTCTGTTTTAATCCAGTCTCTGTATGATTTTATGCCACAAATGTTGAGGCCAGTGCTTTGAAGATTAATGCCATCATCCGAATGCTTTTCATTTGTTAGTTTGCCTGAAATTAATCCTCCCAAATCATTTCTTTTGTCGTTTAGCTGATATTTTTGTGAAGCAGACAGAAGCAGTAGATGAACTGACCAGAGGAAGAACGCAGCTCGTGAACTCTATTAATAAATTTAATAAGTAAGTAACTACTCTTGCAGAAGACATGCAATTTTTTAAAATCAATTTGGCTACTTTTCACTAATACGGTAAATATTTGTTCAGAGAATGTTTTGTACATTTTGCAAATAGTCGAGTGGAAATTGCTTCTGCTTGAGCCAGGATTCTAACTCTGAAATTCCCACTCTTGTCCTAATAGCATGGTCATTTCTGCCTCTTGTCAGTTTGGTGTATCTCCCCCTCCCTTTATTCCTTGAGCCCTTCACTGAAAGAAAGGCAGGACAACCTGAGTATCCACATTATAATATTCCTAATAAAAATAAAGCTATCAGAGGGAAGTTTTATGTCGAACTATCTGTGATATATTTTCACAACTTTGTTGCCCCTCTTATCCCAATGGGTCAGAAGAAACTTCCACAAAAAATGTAAACAAACCTCAAAATCCAGATAATCTGATGCTTTTCTTTAACTGTGGTATAATCAATGTTTTAGATGTTTAGTAACGAGAGCTGCTCAATTAAGAAACTGCACACACAACTATATCTAGATACTTTTTTATGAAAATCAAAGCCATAACCTTTTTTTAAAGGAATTGATAATGATTAACATTTGACTGAAGATTACATATATACAGGCTGTTATTCTAGCTACATTCTTGTATTTAGATCCAAGCATTTAAGGAAGACAATGACCAGAGATAATAGCATGCCGAAATTTGATGAACACTTAATTCATCAGGTAAGAAAATTGATTGATCTTGTAGTCATGAAAATGTGTAAAATACAAGAGTATGATGAGCATATTTTACAAACTGAACATTGCAAATATCCATGAGTAACTGTTTTATGTGTTAAATATTGCATCTGAATGAGGATGGATTTTTTTTGTCTTGTTAAGATGTCTTATTCCAATCGGTCATCCTGTTCTACAATTGGAAATTACCACACATTCAAAATACAGTACTGTGTTCGAATCACACAAAGAATTCATGGAACTATCGGCATTATCTTTTCGGCGGTGTTTTATTAACAAAAAGAATAAACTGCTGTGAATAAGAGATTACTGAAAGCATCTAATTTTACAATTCACGAAGATGGTCTCTCTCTCTCGCTCTGTTTTGTGTGTATTGTACTTTCACAGTATTTATACGATGTGTTCTCATCTGGTCCCAACAGTTAGCAATCAAGACATTTGATAAAGGGAAATTGAAACGAGTCAAAACAGTGGATCATAGCGGACCATCACTTTTCCATTCTGAAGTTGACGGTGAGAATGAGAAAGAAATGCTGGTGTCTCCAAACAGCAGGACAGAGTCTGGGTATCTGGGTGCACGGCGCACAGTTTCATTGAGCTATTTACCCAATGAATTGAACGATGTAAACAGCAACACAGAATTCGTAGGGAATTGCAGACTTTCTTCAAAGGTTTCACCCGATTTAGGGGACGCAAGGGTTGGCAACCACAGAAAATAAATTTCACTGCAATTTAGGGGACAAGAAATGTGTGGAAACAAAACACTTTCCTGGAAACAAAAAGGTAGGACTTGTGCAGGTGCTGTTCAAGAAAGGACTTTATCTGTCAATATATTTGTTCTTCTGTCAGTCTTGTAAGACTACAACTATGAAGCAAAAAGCACCGTTAAATTGAAAAAAAATAGCACTTCCACTGTGAGGTTACAAAGGGGAAAAGCACTTCCACTGTTAATGTATTACAATATTTTTTTGCACTTGACTATTAGGGAATTGATGCTTTGTCCACGTTAGCTGCTGCATTGTACGCCATAAACATGCAATCTGTATTATGTGTGTGTATAATATATATATATATGAAAAATATCACTGCTAGGCTGTTTGGGAATTTAGATTTTAATGCCAAGATTCTAAAATAGAGACCATTCAAATCTTATGAAAATGTATTTTTTAAATGCTGGTCTACCTTTCTATAAAGCACATACTAAACTTGTGTTTCCATTGATGTCTGTATTTTTCAAGAGACCTTTCTATAACAATGTAATAATGTGTGCCTTATTTAATTTGTAAATGTGCTTAAGGAATGTTACTCTTCGTGTAAACAAATGACTAAATATTAAAACAATAAAACTTGGGTTTTTTGGAAAAGTTGTTTCAAACATTTCTTCAGAGTTTAAATGACTTCTTGGTGGCATATTAAATTGCTGTGAAGATCCATCCTAGCATTTCAATAGATTTGCTGAGGTTGACTCCATATTGACTTGAAATTTCATTAATAATCAAAATGCTAATCGATGCTACTTCATTGTGCACCTATTTAATTCCTTGCATTTGATATAGCGCTTTTCACGTCGGGAGGACGTCCCAAAGCGCTTCACAGAACACACTGTAAAGTGAATTGACTATATTTGTGAGCGAACGCGGCAGCCAATTGCGCACAGTAATGTCCCACAAACAGTCGTGGATTGAAGATGACCAATTTATTATTGTTTTTGGTTTTGGAGGGATTATTATGTGTGTGGAGTAAGGAAACTTGCCCAAGGTTTCGCCCTCTGCCTGGAATTGAACTCCGGTCTCTCGCTTGCAAAGCGAGTGCTCGAACCACTGAGCTATAGGACTCCTAATTTCCTGTTATGATTTGCAAACCATATTCATCTGTAGTAAAATCCATCTGATGCTAATTAAATCTTCACTGTCTTTTGTAGTTGTAATATAACTCTGAAGTTTGCTTGAACTCAAGCTTGACAACATTGTATTGTGTGGAAGGTGATTATGATAAGTGGTTCTTTCATTAATTGGTCTTGTCATATTCCTGAGGATAATGACCTGTTTTGTTAAGCACTTAAGTACTTTGAAGAGAAACTGGGTTGATAGCATTATCTTCCAATTAATAGGTGAGCTAAGGTCACTGTTCCAGTCTTATCCCTTAGAGCATAGGCCTTAAAACGGTAAAGAAGATGACCTGTGACACCTTCAGCAATGGCTTTCATATGAGTTTAATTGTTGCTGCCTGAAATTCATGCTCGATAGATATAGCAATATTTCAGTTGCAAGAAGTAACTTCAATCCAGAGCATGGTTGCTATGAAGCACATCTTTATTTATTCATGGGCACTGAGGTGCAGATTAAATTAAGATTTAAAAAAAAATACAGCACAAAACTGTGCTATCTTAATATTTAACTATAAACTGATGAGAGTAAACTTACTGTTGCACTCAAGAGTACAACTCAGATATACAAGTTGTTTGCATGAAACCCCAACTTCACACAAGAGCTGCTTTTGGTAGATACATTTTCCAATGTGCCAACAACTTAATTCAAACTTAAATGAAATAAAACCCATGGAAGTTTATTATAGACACTAATGAGAGGCATAACACCCTTAGTACGTTTGTAATAGATCCTGGTTATTGTTCTTGGGTGATGGTGGGGTGTTTGGCAAATAACAAATGCCTACATTAAGATTATGCAACAATTTGTGCTTGTAATCCTGAGACTGTGGATCAGGATGATTAGCTGCCTAGAGAAATACCACCACACTGTCTGCTATCACAATAGCAGTGAACTGTGAGTTTGACGACCTATTCTGAATCTGCTTGTAGGGTCACAGTCCTCCTCCCAAATGGATTGTATGCCACTGCGTAAAAAACTCAAAACACCCATCTGGCACTGAAATGTGGGCTTGTGCCTCTTACTCTTAAAGACAAGTGGTTTTGTTCAGCATTTCTACTTAATGACACAAACCTGTAGAATTTTCTTGCTTGTGATTTTGCCATTTAAAGTCGTAAAGCTGCAATGTTCTGTTCCCAGCTGTTAAAAACTTGAATCAAACCGATATCTCGTTTCAACACTAGTCCATTAGAAACATACTTGCTGATTAATAAGGACTCAGTTGACAAGCAATTCAATAAATATTCAAACCAAACTTCAATTTAGTTAAAACATATTGAACGTGGTTTTGTTATTGCACAGCGTAATTGTGCCCAAGTTACACTAAAGTCCAAACAGGCTGTGATCATCTTGTCACAAATGCATTACAAAAGCAGAATGTGCATGCTGATTAGATGTGCATACAACTAATGACACTCTGCAACACTGCAATGGTTATGTTGGGATGAGCACTAGAAGGAAAGGCCATAGAAAGCTATAGAAGAGAACATAGGCTCATCTCCTGTCTGTTGTCAATTCCAGAGCTACTTTCACTTCTAAGGAAAAGGCAAATGGTTATGGCTGTGCGACCTGTTCTAAACATATTCTTGTTTTGTGTTGTAGTAATCCACTCTAAATGATGGGTTCAAGCCATGTAGTTTATAAGAACAATAGATATTTAATTATTTCAAACTCATTGTTTCTTTATACAATGGCATATTTTGCCTCTTTGCATTTCTGAATGTTTCAATGAATATCATTATAGCAACCACTTGCATGAACTCCTATCAGCAAAAAGCAATTGGGAGCTTCGGGCGAGATAATATACACACTTCTGTTTCCATTATGTTCCAATAGCTGAAGGAATCAATAAAACAAATGCAAAAATCCCCAAACACAAACAGTTATGAATTCGCAGATCACCGACTATATTGCAAGTTTGCAGCCAGATGTGTTACAGAAACATTAAACAAGGCGGGATGGGGGAGAGGGGGGCGGATGGGGGAGAGGGGGGCGGATGGGGGAGGGGGC